TCCCAAGTACCGCATGGTTGTTTACTTAACATCGGGCTGGAGAGCGGAGGAGTTTTGTGCGATGTGTACCTGGCAGAGCTGGCGAAACCTCGCACAGCCCACACTCCGTCTCAAAACCTAATGAATCTTATTGGCAGGAGCAGGTTCCGTACTGATTAAAGAATGCACTACTTTGGGCATTTAAAAACAAGAAGATTTTGTATTTTCTTGTTACAAAATTGCACATGACACGGCCAACAATATATGGGTCACTGGAAGGGGTGAAATACTACACATATTATTTTGCAGTACATAGCAATGGTAGGTGATTACAGCAAAGTGAGTTCTTCAATGAATCAACTTGGGAAACACAGAGGAACAGAAGTGCTCTAATGAGTGGTGCAATTGGAGCAATTTGGCCAAATTGGGCCCCGTGTGCCACTCCTAAGACACCCCCCCCCCGCACCAGGGCAATCTAGATGGATTTTATTTATAAGGTTTTGCAAACTTTGGCTGTGAACTGGGGACCTACAAAAAAAAATTTCAAGTTGCACCCCACTGCTTCAATTTGGGACCCACTGGCTAGCCCTGAGTCTCATAGTTGCTGGGCCTGAGATGCCCTGCCCTCGCATGAAGTCTTGGGTTTGCAATTTTGGGAGAGGGGAGACTGCCCACTGGGAAGTGGGAGGGCTGGCAAGGCCCCCTAGACTTATAGGCCCTAGGCTTCAGCCTACTTATCCTATACATAAATTCGGCATTGGGTCAAGGCGACGGCGACCCCTCAGCCACCGGCATCGCTGCAGCATCAACGTCCCGAACGTGTACTGTAGTATTTATTTATTTATTTATTTAGCCCCGCCCCGCCCCCCCTGCCGGCCGACCAGATTGGTCGACTCAAGGAGTGATGCAGCCGGGGACTCCCTAATGGTGCCTGGCAGGCGCTGGGGGGGGGGGGCACAAGAGAATGCTTTTTCAAAATTGCCTGGGGGGCCGTTTGAAACATGTGAGGGGACCACAAGTGGCCCCCAGGCCAGACTTTGGACATGCCTGTCTTAATTGGTCCATGTCTGAACTTTACAAATTAGAGAAGGCAAATGCTGGGGATACTGTATAGGGATTGTCTGAGCTGTAATCTCAAGTATCTCTTTAAAAAACTCCCTTCCACAGTAGCTCTATTTGTAGACATTCCCACCACAGACATTGGCTGGTACCTAGAATTTGGCATCCTCTCCAACATCATCAAGAGCCGTTGGGCTTTATAGAAGATAGGAGCCTCGGTGTTAAATACCACCCACGCACATTTTTTAGTGAACAATTCCTAGCTGTTGCTGACAAAGATTTGTATGGTGGTTTTGTGCATAAATTGTCCCATTTATCCTCTTCAATGTTTATATCCCATCAGCTTTTTAGATTTTGTCGGGGCAAAACTGGTCCTTAAAAAGGGGTTTGTATAAAAGGGAAATTAATCCCTTAGTCCATATACCATCTCTTATTACTATCTTTTCATATTCTGTTAGTTTACATTGTAGCTTCATTTTTAATCTGTGTATTTGTAAGAAATGATCTCAATTGATATCCTAACAGCCATGAAAACTGATTGTTTTCTAAATGTATTTGCATCTTTGCTACTGAATAGAATAGAATAGAATAGAATAGAATAGAGATGGAAGAGTCTCCGAGGGTCACCTAGGAGTCTCTTCCAGCTCTATGATTCTCTTCTATTTTATTTGTAAGAGAATGTCCTTTCCTATACTAATCTTTCAAGTGATCTAAATGGTGTTCTTCCATACCTTCACATTATGTAATCTATTTTTTTAATAATAAAGGATGGTATTATATCAGAATTATAGGTACTTATAGGCATTTACTGGCATACGATGGGCCTCAGCTCTAGGGGTAGAACATAGAATCATAGAATTGTAGAGTTGAGAGGGACCCCAAGGGTCATCTAGTCCAACCCCCTGCAATGCAGGAATCACAGCTAAAGAATCCCTGGCAGATGGCCATCCAACCTCAGTTTAAGAAACTCCAATGAAAGTGAGTCCACCTCTTTCTGAAGTTGTTCAGATTACATTTTTAAAGGCTTTAGGAAATTCACAGAGGATGGGCCCCTCAATGGCTATTGGTCATGAGACGTAAATGGAACCTCTTTGTTCAGATGCAGTCTACCTCTGCTTGGAGCCAAGAGCAAGAGGGGGCTGCTGCTGTCATGCTGTCCTCATGAGCTCCCTGGTGGCATTTGCTTGATCTCCTTTGGAAACAGAAGGAGAAGGATGGAGTGGGCCTCCAAGGTCTGGGACAGTTCTGCTCATTTCATTTCTCTTCTTTCCCACTTTCATGTGCAAAGAACATGCTCAGGAATCCAGATGTTGTGCCAGGCGCCAGATTCATTAGAGAAAGCAGAACTATCGCCGCCCTTTCTCGAGAGATAAGAGTGTCAGAACTCGCTCCTGCTGATGGTCTCCAGGATGGCAATGGAGAAGTGGCTAATAATAATAATAATAATAATAATTTATACCCCGCCCATCTGGCTGGGTTTTCCCAGCCACTCTGGGAATATATTTCCAACAGAATATTAAAATACAATAGTCTGTTAAACATTAAAAGCTTCCCTAAACAGGGCTGCCTTCAGATGTCTTCTAAAAGTCTGGTACCCTTTTCTCCCTGCAACGCACAATGCTGGAATGATATGGCTTTTGGCAGTGAGTTTCCTTGCGGGTGGCGCTGTGGGTTAAACCGCAGAGCCTAGGACTTGCCGATCAGAAGGTCAGCGGTTTGAATCCCTGCGACGGGGTGAGCTCCCATTGCTCGGTCCCTGCTCCTGCCAACCTAGCAATTCAAAATCACGTCAAAGTGCAAGTAGATAAATAGGTACTGCTCCGGTGGGAAGGTAAACGGCGTTTCTGTGCGCTGTTCTGGTTCGCCAGAAGTGGCTTAGTCATGCTGGCCACATGACCCAGAAGCTATACGCCGGCTCCCTCAGCCAATAAAGTGAGATGAGCTCCGCAACCCCAGAGTCGTACATGACTGGACCTAATGGTCAGGGGTCCCTTTACCTTTACCTTTTCCTTGTGCAGGGCTAGCGAGAAGCAGAGAGCTCCATCCCTTCCAATCTCCTGTTCTGCCGTAGCTTTAAACACAAACCCCACACGCTCTCTCTCTCTCTCCCCCAAAGTGCACAGGCATCCACACACCCACACGCCCCTTTGGAGACCCATCTCGGCTGTGTTTGTTCACCACATTCAGTTCATACTTGGCACAAGTAGAAAGGGCTCCAGAGCTTTCCTTTCAGCTCCCAAACCAAACAGGGATGAGATCTCGTTTAATCCAAAGCAGATGAGGGTGTTAATAGCCAGGGTTGTGGGAGCTGTTAAGATAAAGGCAATGGGTTCTTTCTAACAGGGTTTTGTTTTTGAGTGGGGAAACATCCTGCCTTGAGCAAACTTAGAACAGCTCCATGGATGTGGGGTGTGGGGCAGACAGGGGTGTGCGCGATGCATCTGCTTTGATTCGGGAGGCAGCTGGGAGGCAGAGTGAACTAGACTGCTGCAATATTCTCCTTGGGAGAAGATGGAGCCTGGAAGGGGGCTGGAAGTCCGCAGAAGACCCCAGGGTGAGGTCAAAGTCAGGATGGGAGAATCTGCCAATTTCAGTTTCTCTCACTTTCTCGTTTTTCCAATCTTAAGTTCAGTTCTTCCGTTTTCTTGATCAGTTTGTGATTATTATTATTATTTTTTAAAGGCCTCATTAAAATTCATCAAATTTCTCCTGCAGCACATGATTTATACAGTGGTACCTCAGGTTAAGTACTTAATTCGTTCCGGAGGTCCGTTCTTAACCTGAAACTGTTCTTAACCTGAAGCACCACTTTAGCTAATGGGGCCTCCTGCTGCTGCTGCATTGCCGGAGCACGATTTCTGTTCTCATCCTGAGGCAAAGTTCTTAACCTGAAGCACTATTTCTGGGTTAGCGGAGTCTGTAACCTGAAGCGTATGTAACCTGAAGCGTATGTAACCTGAGGTACCACTGTATATGCAATTTTGTCTAATATGCACATTTTTGCAAAGGATTTCCCCCTAATACTATGCATGTTTGTATTTTGTTTTTGCTAATACAGTCGCACCTTGGTTCCCAAACAGCTTAGTTGCGAACAAATCGGCTCCTGAACGTCACAAACCCGGAATAAATGTTCCAGTTTGCAGACGTTTTTCTGAAGCCAAATGTCTGACGCGGCTTCCATGGCTTCCGACTGAGTGCAGGAAGTTCCTGCAGCTGATCAGAAGCCACAGCTTGGTTTTTGAATGGTTTCAGGAGTTGAACCGACTCCCGGAACGGATTAAGTTCGAGAACCAAGGTACTACTGTAGATGTGTTTATATGCATGCTGTACCTTCCTTGGCTCTGTGCCCCATTAGGCTTAAAACCCCCCCCCACTCCAAAAAGAAAAAGAAAAAGCTCCCATAGCCAAGTGGACAGCATTTTGGGGGGTGGCAGCTCGAAATGGAAATTGGGCTTAGGAAAAGGTCCCCTTCATGCAGGAACAGAGATAAAGACAGACAGACAGACAGACAGACAGACAGACAGAGAATATGAATACCCCCCACTCACTTTGGCCCTGTCCACATTTTCCTTTAGTCCTGCCCATTAAAAACTCTCACCCCGCCTATTCCTGGTATGTGCCTCCCAATGTATTTCCCTTGAAGAAATAAGGCCAAAAAAAATTCTCCATCCCTGGCCAATACACACACTTTTTCTTTTCTTTCTAAAAGGAAGCCGGGGTTCCTAGAAAGTTGGATTCTGTGCCCAACATCACAGTCTGCGCTACAAAACTGTGTGAAACTAGAATAATCTCGGGTGGAATCTAGACACATATAAAAAACGTTGTGAAAATGCTTCTTAAGAAAAAGATTTGAAAAATATATTGAATTTGCCACAGCTCACCATCGCCATCTAGTGTCACATTTGTATAATGCACTTTACAACACACTCAAAACGTTTTATTTGCAGCTGTATAGTTGAGTCCTTAGATAAAGCTTCCCAGCCAAGAGAGCAATGAATGCTTGGAATGAGGTGCCCAGGGAAGAAAAGAAGACTGGGTGCTTGTTTGCTGAGGATGCAGTTGACATACTGCAGAAGGTAGGACCAAACTGCATCCTTTCACCTTTGTCTTTCCAGGACCCAGCAACCCAGGCTGATGCAAAGCATGTGCAAAGGAGACCTCCGTTGACAGCATTCTTCCTTGCAGAGAAGCCACAGCTCAGAGCTCTGCTTCCCCAGGAAAAGCAGCCCTGATGCTCCCAAGCCAAGCCAGACAGGCTGTCTCCAAGATCATTGATCATTACGTCCTAATTGCTAGCATCCTCCATCGCTTCATCCTGTGCAGAAGCACTGCCGAGCAACAAGGATCTAGAAGAGCCGAAGTTCAAAAGTGCAAAGTGTAGCCCTGTTGGATTTCTGATGGTGGCTGTTCGGAACAGGGAGAAAGAGGAAGAAAGAGCCACTGGTCTTCTTGCAAAGGCGGTGCAAATTTGAATCTCACTATCTTACTGCACATCTCTAAACCCTCTTTGCTGCCAATTGTAACTCAGAAGAACATAAGCAGAGCTTCATAGATCAGGCCAATGGTTCACCTAGTCCAGCATCCTGTTCTCTCAGTGGCCAACCAGATACCCCAATGGGAAACCCAAAAGCAGGATCTGAGCCCAAGAGACTTCTCCCCTCCTGTGGTTTCCAGCAACAGTAATTCAGAAGCATTGCTGCCTCTGACTGTGGAGGCATCACAGCTAGGAGTCATCAACAGCCCTCTCCACATACCTGTTTGCAGTTCTGGTTTTAGCCAAACTGCTTCTACACCCTTTGGAATTGTCACTGTCTATGCACCAACTTTTTTGACAGGGTACCTTGATGATCTGTCGTTGTTGGCCTCTTGTAATTCTATGTTCTCTGGCTATTTCAGACTGGAGTTATGGCGACTTTTTAATTTGTTATTGTTATATTGTTACATTTATATCCCACCTTTCCTCGAAGGAGCTCGATAAGGTGTACATACTTCTCCCCCCTTATTTTATCCTCAAAACCAGAGGCACCATCTAGGGGGCTGGGGGGTCAAGGGCCCCCCAGTTTTCAAAGGGGGGCAGGCCCCCTCAATATTCCATGGCCTGCCAGGCTCCGCCAGGCCTACCTGCAGTTAGCAGAAGGCTGCACCGGCCCGTGAAGTGCTGGGAGACACTGTGGGGACTGGCATGCCTGGCACAAGGTCACACTGGCCTGCGCAACATCTCCCGATGCAGGGAGTAGTAAGGCCTAGCATAGAGCTTTTTTTTTATATATATATAATTTTTTTATTAGTTTTTCAACATATCATTTTCAACAGTAATTAAACATACTTCATATCTTATACCATTTTTTTGAACTTCCATCAATCACATCTGAAAATTTTTCATTCTATTCACTAAATATACATTTCTTACTTCCACAATTACATTTAACTAATAACTGATATCTCTGTTCTTTCTCTACTTTGCAATGTTTCATACATTTCTCCTTACAAAACTTCTTGTAGTCCTACTAGCGTAATTTGTTGATTACAGTTGCTCTTCAAATAGTTCGTATATTTCTTCCAATCTTTTGTGAATCTCTGGTCCTGCAGGTTTCGAATCCTTCCTGCGTAGTCCATGCTGTGTCACGACACATTAGTGTGTCGGCTGCAGTGTGTAGGTGTCATGCGAAAACTCCCCACGCTCCTCCTGGGGCTAGAAAGGGGTTAGTTTAACCTCTGGTTTGATAGTAAAACTGAACCACTGTGTCGCAAAAAGATGCAAAACTGACTTACTGTGCCACGAAATTAAGCATGTCTAAAAAGTGTTGGGAGATGTGTGTGACATCACTCATTGCATGTGTGATGTCACAAGTGTGCGCCAGGCCCCCTCAATCTTATGGGCAACCCAGTCCCTGTGCTCACAATAACAGCCCTGTGAGGTTGGTGAAGCCAAGAGGCAGTGACTGGCCCAAGGTCACCCAGTGAGCTTCATGGCCCAGTTCAAGATTTGATCCCTTGCCTCCCAAGTCCCTAGTCCAGCATTCTAACCACTACACCACATTGACGGTCTCTCAGTGCAAAGAAGGAGGTGAAGTGCTATTGAGGCTTTCAAGGGCTCTGTGCCTCTAGTAAAGTGCTTCTTGCTTGCACTTTTATTGCTTCCTGAAGAGTATAGGAGCAAGATGAACGAGCAACAGCAGCTCTCCATTGCCTCACAGCTCCATTTTTCTCCCCAGTATTTCATTTGTAAAAAGTTAAATGGTGAAGGGGGATGAGAGGAAATTAAAACCTACACACACAAACACCCAGCAGCAACAGAAACTGACACTGGGACAAAATCAGCAGGAAAATTAGTACCCAAATAAACTGGACTGAATCTTTTACTTTAACATTGGCAGGAGACTTGACTGAGCCGCTCCTCCCTGTCACTTCCACCCCCAGGATGATGCCCCCGCATGATGTCCCGGGTCCAGAGGTAAGAATGTTGGCCGGTTTGTACTGGGAGTTGTAGCCCAAATCATCTGGAGACTAAGGGAGGCTGCCCTAAGTTATGCAAGCATTGAACTTAGCAAACTATAATACGAGATTGCCTCAACATTTATCACCTAGGATTTAAAAGCTGGCTTTCGAATCGCATTCCCAAAGGCTCGTTGGAAAGGCTTCAGCATGGAAATGTCTTGCATTGTTATTTTTTTGCCATTTTCTTCCTCCCTTTGGCTGTCAGTTTTGTTTCCACCCAGACAGGCATGATACAAGGAGGCAAAAAAAGTCGAGTTCCTTCCCTGCCAGAATCCTGGTATTCCGGGAATCCTGTCCAGCAACCCCGAGCTCATTTGTCGATAACGCCAAGCTGGTTCAAAGGCTCCTGGCAAGCAGAGTGCATTAAGCCACAATGACAGGAAAGGGGCCCTCAGCATCCGCTAGGAAGTCTTAAGTTATTTTGGTGGGAGCGGCAGGCGCAGCCCAGGGAGGGAAGGGTCTATTTCTCCTCTAGTGTGAGCAATGGAAGGCGTGCTCCCACTTACTTTCTGCAGCGTTCCCACTCTGTAGGGCGAGTGGGCAACTGGTTGATTTATTCAGAGAGTTGCACACACACATCCCTCTTTAGCCTTTGGGTAATGCAGTGCTGATTTGCTGATTTATTTAATTTCTATCCCAACCTCTTTCTCTAAGGAGCTCAAGGTGGTGTATGTGGTTGTCCCCCTCCCCATTTAATCCCCACACAGCAACAACCCTGTTAGATAGGTTAGGCTGAGAGAAGCAGAGACTGGCCCAAAGTCTTCCAGTCAGCTTCGTGGATGGGATAGCTCAGTCAATAGAGCATCAGACTCCTGATCTCAAGGTCATGGGTTTGAGCCCCTTATAGGAGAACAGGTTCCCATATTGCAGGGAATCAATTCTATGATTCTATGGCCAAGTGGGGCCTCTGAGCCCCGGTCTCTCCCAGGTCCTACTCTAACCACTGCACCACAATGGCTTTCTATCCATTAAAGCAAATGGAGCCTTGCCCCACCAACCTCAGCCAAAACCCCACCTGCCTGCCTTCTTACTTATTGTTATAATTAAACTCTTTCAACATATAACATCATACAAGCCAGCGTTTAGACAATAAGTGTAAAATAACATCCGAATAAACTAATGTTCTTATCCCAGACTACTAAGGAAGGCGATAAACAGTTTATGTGAACCCAAAAGTTTTATAATGCGAGTCCTCTGTTTTCTTTTTTAGCCATAAAACTGTTCCGATCGGCTACAAAAAGAGTATTTGTGCTTTAAACCTTGTGCCAATTTTATTTTATTATTGTTTTCCCACAAGTGCAATTTGGCCGTATTTTTGTTGCACCAATTTGTCAGAGAAGCCCCATTTAAGTTTTTCCAGGATCCTGTCATTATAAGCCTGCCTGTTAGCAGAAGAGAATTTATTTGAGGTTTGAGTTGCAGGTTAATATGGTTTCTGGTGAAAGAGTTTAGGTGCAACAGCTCTGGACATTTAGAAACATTGTGTCGCGTAATTGCTTTTATGTGGACAAATACTTCCTCCCAGAATAATCAGTTTGGGGAGTGGCCTTGCCTGCCAGCTTCCTCCTCCTCCTTAGTCTCAAGTGTTGCCCTTGTAGAACTCAAGGATGGGGGCAAAACCAGAATTAGTTGAGTCCTCCTGTCGTTGACTCTGGCGCCACCTACTGTTGGGCTCCTTGCCTTCTGTCCTGTCAATGGACATCAGCTACCACTAACAGATCTTGTAGGTTTTTATCTTGTTTCAAAAACCTGTTTCACTAGAGGGGAGGAGAGGGGCAGAAAAAAATGCATGTGCAGACAGCATAAGAAGGGAAGCTTCCCTCAAATCACTCCACCTATTTGGCCCCTTTAGCGGCACGCAAAACATTAATGAGAACCGCTGCTAGATCTCTCTTTCCTGCAGTAAAGAAGTGAAAAGAGATTCTGCAAGTTTAATCCTAGCTGCACTGTTTTTCTCTTTCCCGTTTTAACTCATTTTATGTTAGATTTTTTTTTGCATTTTGTTGTTTGTTCGTTTATTTATCTATACAATTTATATAGTGCTTACCTACAATAGTCTCTAAGCGGTTTACATGATAAATAAGTTTTACATGATAAATAAATAAAATAATCAATTAAATAAATAAGGTAAGATAAGAATCAATTAAAACTATAAAATCAAACATTAATTATTCGGTAGGCATCGGAAGCTCAATAGGAAGGCAGCCTGCCTGATATCAGCTGGAAGGAGGTTACGTATAATTAATGGACCTATGAATGTGCATTAGAGAAGAACAGTCTTGGTCAACTTGGCACCCTCCAGGTGTTCTGAACTACAACTCCCATCAGCCCAGAGTTGTACAGAACATCAGGAGGCCACAAGGTTGGGGAAGGATGTGGAAGAACCTAAGAAGTTAGTTGCTGGATCAGGCCAGTGGCCCACATAGTTCAGCACCCTGTTCTCATAGTGGACAAGCAGATGCTGCAATGGGAAGCCTATAAGCAGACCCTGAGGGTGCAACAGCACTGAGTATCTTATTTTTCCTTCTTTTGATAATTTCAATGTGGGTAGGTGACAAGAAACTTTCCCCACCGGGTACCAGCTGACCTTGCTATGCCACTGGCAGTGCTTTCCCCACTTGATTGACTCCCCGAGGGAGCTTAAGACAGTGATGCCACTTATCAGGTGCTAAGGTTATATGTTTATAGGGAAGTGAAGGCCTGACCACCTTTTTCTTTGCCTATTCCCATTTTACAGATGGTAAAAGAAGGTCCGAGACTAGCTACCTAACCAAGCGCACAGGCAGACTTCTTGGCAGAGCAGCGCTTGAAGCTGACCTCCCAAATCCAAGCTGAACACGCTCTCAGTTTCATTTTTGGTCTTACCCCAGAGGCACACACAGCGGGAACTGCTTTCCACATGTCCCAAGGAGGAGGACTGTATCCGCAAATGCTTTCCCTGAGGCACAATTTCAAGCTGAGAGCCGGAAATGGCTGGGGCAGCTAATTTTTCACCCTCTCCATTTAATTGCTGCAAGACAAGTAGAAGTTCAGGAAGTGAAGCAAGGGCTTTGAATGATTGGGAAAGCTTGGCCTGCTGCCATTTGTCCACAGGGAAGGACTCTGGCTCAGTCACAGAGCACCTGCTATGCAGGCAGAAGGTCGCAGGTTCAATTCCCAGCAACATCTCCAGGTAGCACTGGGGAAATAATTATACTTGAAACTGTGGCAAGCCACTGCCTGTTGGAATAGGTGTACCAGTGGTCTGGTTGGGTATGGGAAACAGACAGATCACAGGTATAAAAAGTGATTTATAATGCAATTTGGAAAAACCAAGCAAGAAGTCTCAGTGAGATCTGTGGCAGCCAACTGAAAGGAACTATCCAGTTTTATTTCTGATGGAGCGTGAAACAGGATGTAGTCCAGGATATCTCATCTAACATTTCATATAGAATGGAATAGAATTGTATACATAGAATTGTATATTTGGGAGGGACCACAAGGGTGGTCCAGTCCAACTCCCTGCAATGCAGGAATCACAGCTAAAGATTCCCTGACAGATGGCCATCCAACCTCTGATTAAAAACCTCCAGTGAAGGAGAGTCCACAACCTTCTGAGAGCATCCATTCCACTGTCCAACAACCCTTACTGTAAGAGAGGTCTTCCTAGTGTCTAGTCATAATCCCCTTTCTTGTTAATTGTGTGGGAATGTTCAGGGATGCAGGAGAGAATATATTGTCTGAAAATAGCCTTTCCAACTTGTGTTAACAAGTTCACAATTTAGCAGAGTAACATTCCCCCTTTTAAACTTGCAGCGGATGTGTTTGCTCAGGCTCGCTAAAGCCTCTATAATAACTGTTCTGGTATTTTCCCCTTATTCCCTCATAAAAGATAAGACACGACACAGTCTTCTATAAAAGTATAAAAATGTTTACTCACACATCATTCTGTTCACAATAGGATCCCAGAAGGCAGACTTAGCTTAGAAAAGTAACATATACCTAGAAACTATCTCATAAGAAAACAGTCCCTTTGTCCTCTCTTGGCTAAGCAGATGTTGCTTCTTCAATGCATGTAGTCAAAAAAGAGAGAGAGATGGCTGCCCTGCCCTGTGCTTTTGTCGTTACCTGCACAGGTGAGGCCACACCCACCTCTAGTCACATGCAGAGGAAGTCTGTCCCAGCCCAGAAGGAAACAGGAAGTTTACCTGCTGGCTGGACAAACATTCCTCCCCATGTGTAAACATGTTCACTCTAGGAATGTTGTACTTGACTGCTCTTGTGTTTCACATCCCACAAATTGAATCCCTTGGTTTGGGTCCTGCCCTCTGGAGCAGAAGAAAACAACCTCGCTCCATCTTCCACGTGACAGCCCTTCAGAGGTTGGAAGATGGCTCTCATTTCACCTCTCAGGCTTCTCTTCTCCAGGCTAAACATGCCCAAGTCAACCATTCCTCATAAGGCTTGGTTTCCAGACCCTTGATCATCTTGGTTGCCCTCCTATGTACAGACGTTTGAGATGTTTGGAGAAACTTTCACACAAACTGTGGCGTCCATATGCTCACAGACACACAAACATTTTATATGTGGCCTTAAATTCTTCGCTTTATTTTTCAAAATATGTTCTCATTGCTTTGGGAGGCTCCTGTGGTCTTGTCTATTGTTTCTCATATGCCTGGGGACCTTCTCCCTTGTTTTTGTTGGCTCAGTGTAAGGCAAGCTTCCTGTGTTCCTTTGTCATGTAGATATCAAAGGCATGGCAGTCCCTGCCTGAAGGACATAAGCAGAGCCTGCTGGATCAGACAGATGGCCCATCTAGTCCAGCATCCTGTTCTCACAGGGGCCAACCAGATGTTTATGGGAAACCCATAAGGCTAAGCAGCACAGGAGCACCAGAGCCCTCTACCCTCCTGTGGTTTCCAGCAAGTGGTATACGGAAGCAATACCATTGATAGCCTTCTCCTCCATGAATTTGTCCAAGTTGGTAGCCATCACTGCCTCCTTTGGAGCAAGTTCCATACTTTAGCTCTGTGGCATATGAAGAAGTCCTTTCTTTTATCTGTCTTGAATCTTCCAACATTCAGTTTTATTGGATATCCATGGGTTCTAGTGTTATGGAGAGAGGGAGAACAACCCCATCTGCACCGTGCATGATTTTATAAAGTTCTATCACGCCACCTCTTTGCTCACCTTTTCTCTAAGCTACAAAATTCCCAAACTCTGCAACATTTCCCCTTAGGGGAGTTGCTCCATTCCTTCGATCATTCTTGTTTGCCCTTTCCTGAACTTTTTCTAACTCTGCAATATGCTTTTGGAAGTGAGGTAGCCAGAGCTGTGCATAGTATTCTTTTTTTTTTTAATGATAATTTTTATTAAGTTTTCCATTTTAACAATCCAATCAAATCACATGTGCCTAGTATTCTATGTGCTGTCACACCATATAGTTGCATAACAGCATTATGATATCAGCAGTTTTGTTTTTGATTCCTTTCCAAAGATCCCCTAGCATGGGATTTGCATGGGATTTGCTAGAAAAGTTGGCCATCCCAGAGCAAGAGACAGGACTTTCCAAAAGGGCAGACAGGAATGCTTGGCTGCTCAGGCCTTGGGTCCACAACCCTTCAGTAAGCCAGGTGGCCAATGAATGCCTGGAGGCGAGGGTGTCTTCCGCCTGGGCTTGCGTTACTCAGCCAAATATTGCAGGATGCAAAGGACATTTTCCAACAGAAGGTAAAGTGGTCCCCAAATTGGACCTGAATGCAAATCCTAGGAGACAGACAGACAGACCGACAGACAGGAGAATGACACTCATCTAACCATTCAGAAGCAGCAGAGGCTTTGCTAGGAACATAAAACTTATCAGGGCAGAAGCCTCTAGACCAGGGGTCAGCAACCTTTTTCAGCCATGGGCCAGTCCACCATCCCTCAGACCATGTGGGGGGCCGGACTATATTTTGAAAAAAAATAATGAACGAATTCCTATGCTCCACACATAACCCAGAGATGCATTTTAAATAAAAGGACACATTCTACTCAGGTAAAAACACGGTGATTCCTGGACCATCCATGGGCCGGATTGAGAAGGCGATTGGGCCGCATCTGGCCCCCGGGCCTTAGGTTGCCTACCCCTGTCTAGACATCAACATACATAAGCACTTCCATTATATGCTAATTTATACGTACAGAACCAAAGTTCAGAATTTGAATGTCAAAGAAGGCAAACGGGCTAATTCTCCATCCAGCTTAATTCTTCAATTAATTTGCACCCCAGATTAGTTCCTCTTAGGTGCCCCAAACCCTCTCAATTAGTTTCCCAACAGATCCTGTTCCAAATGAATTCAATTCCTGTTGCCCCCCAGTAACCATTAATTATCATTCATTAGTCCTATTCATTCCCCACCCACCCCCACTATTTCAAGATAAAGTCACCTTGAAGCAATTCATTTCCCCAATGAAAACCCTACCCAGTAAACCCCCCCCCCCAATCTAAAAGCAAGTTCCTTTGACTTCCCCACCCAAAAACAGTCAGGGCACTTACAAAAAAGATCTAAGATACAACCCACTTAAGCCCATTCCTAGCAATGTTCCCGAGAGGCAGCCTTGACCTGGATATTAAGACAGGAGTGGATCAGAGTGATCACCTGGCATGGCCCCCACGCTTTGAGAATCTCAGCAGCAGAGGCCACTGAGGTTTCCCTCTGAGCTTCTCCACAGATACTGGTAAATCCAATTAGAGGGCCATAAGAGGGAGCTGTAGGCAGCCCCCTTCTCCCCTCTGGCAGCAAAGGTGCTGGAGACCCACATTGCTTTGCAAAGGGGAGTTTAGTGCAATGCAGTCCGAGGAGATTTGGTGTCACTGCAGATTTCTGCTCAGGCGCGGTTGTCTGCTTTGCCAGGAGGGGACACACAGTGGATGCCAAAAACAGGATTAATTTCAGCAGCAGCGGCAGCAGCAGCAGCAACATGCTTAAAAGTGCAGCTCAGGACTCCTAATCTGCACACACAGTCCTGGCTGGGTTTCATCATTCCTGCGAGGCTACAACAGCAGCCTTCCCCAGCCTGGTGCCCTCCAGATGTTCTGGACTCCAATTCCCATCAGACCCAACTGTAGGATGGCGGGGCTGATGGGGGAGGCGAAGCAATCCCATTGAAACATTAAAACACCCTCAGTTAAAATGTGCACCAAAACATAAGTAAGACAACAATTTAAGCAGGTGGTTTGAGCCAGAAGGCGAAAGGGATGTTTACCTAAACAGGTGCATCTTCAAGGGTCAGCGGAATGCCAATACTGATGGGGACTTTCCTTTTTCAGCAAGGAAAGCATTCTGCATAACTGGTGCCACCACATTTTTGCAATTGATTTTACCTTCTAGTAGGCAACATTTCCAGGTTGATGAGCCCCATCTGCCCCTCATTAAACTGAGGACCAAATTCTTTTACAGTGGTACCTCGGGTTAAGTACTTAATTCGTTCCGGAGGTCCGTTCTTAACCTGAAACTGTTCTTAACCTGAAGCACCATTTTAGCTAATGGGGCCTCCTGCTGCCGCCGCGCCGCCAGAGCACGATTTCTGGTCTCATCCTGAAGCAAAGTTCTTAACCTGAAGCACTATTTCTGAGTTAGCGGAGTCTGTAACCTGAAGCGTATGTAACCTGAGGTACCACTGTACTCCTTTTTTCTTTCTTCGTTTTTTTTTTCCCCTCCCCCTTCCTTCCTTCCTTTCTTTCTTTCTTTCTTTCTTTCTTTCTTTCTTTCTTTCTTTCTGAGTATTGCTTTATAGATGTATAAATAATTGTGTTTATGTGTATATGTATGAAATTTGTTCTGTATTTCTTTTCTTATTTGATATTCTTTTTTGGGGGGTATTCAATAAAATTATTTTAAAAAATAAAAATAAATAAATAAATAAACTGAGGACCGAATCAGTTTTCTCTCCAATCTCTAACTAAGGCCCCTGTACCTTCTTGTATCAGGTTCACCAGTTCTTGAAATATTGAGGATAATGGGAAGTGCCGCATGGTGCAGCCACTGCATGTCCATTGCTATCCTCACAACAACCCTGTGAGGTAGGTTAGGTTGAGAGAATGTGACTGGCCCAAGGTCATCTAGTGAGTGTCATGGCCAAACGGGGATTTGAACCCTGGTCTCCCCAGTCCAGGTTCAGCACTCTAACCACTACATCTCTGGTTCCTGCCCCTGACTCCATCCCCATAGTGGTCTCAGTCCCACTGTGCCAAACACAATGCAATGCAAGCTCCCCTTTCTGAAGATCACAAACCCAACATGGCTTTCACAAAAAGAGTTGTCATCATCTGATATTTCTTTCTTCCCCCACCCCCACCGAAAAAGAAAGACAAGAAAGTAGTTTTCTTGGCGTTCCTTCCCTATCAGATCCAGGCAGATTTTATGAAATGCCTCAGCTCAGCAAGGATACACTTGGATCGTCTCCTTATGGAAAAAATACCCCTTTGTTTGCTGGCAAACTGAGGAGGGATTGAACGGACAGACAGAAAGGATTTAATTTTATTATTTTCTGTCCTCAGGCACTTCAGAATTTAGCACTGACAGTAATAATAATAAAACCATTGTTCGTTTTTATCAGAGGTATTTGTAAATAGATGGGCAATTGCCAGCAATCGCCATACTAGACAATGTTCATTTAGCAAGAAAAGAAAAAGAAGCCTAGGAACTGTTCACTTTACACTCGCTCATAGTTGACCTGGTGTGGCCTTGAATGTACTGGCTGGATCCTAACAGAAAGGGCATCAAGATAGCTGATACCATGAGCCAGTGTGATGGTAGCAGTTAGGGCAGGGTAGTCCAACACGTCAAGTCGCATGTGGCCCTCAAGGCCTTTCTTGGCAGCCCTCAACAACAATGGTGGCCCCATCTGCCTTCTCCAGTAGCAGGGGCAGCTGAGCAAAGGTTCTCCCTGTTACTCACCACTGCTTAGCAGGGTCTAGGATGTCCCAGCCCAGCTGGTGGAACAGCAGTCCCAGCTTTGACCTCAAAGCTACCTTGCCAATGATCCGTCTCTGCAAACATCCTGCAAGGTGCCAGTGGAGTAATTGAGCTCCACCAGGTGCCGCCCGGAAGGGACGCACATCACATTCCCCGGCGGAACTGATGCTCTGATAACGTGCAACAAAGAACACAGCTTGTACTTTTTCTAAAGTTGGCACGAGTGATTCCTCCAAGTTTTTCTCGGGCTTGCTATCTTGCAAACTCAAGAGGCCCTCTCCTCTCTCAGTCCATGACTTTGGAGCCTTACAGAGATGTCAAGTTGAACAGTGGGTTCGGCAGCCACAGTTATCCCTGGACCAGAAAAGTTTGGCCATATTGTTCATGCATTGGCTACTTCAAGGCTGGATTACTGCAATGTGCTCTATGTGGGGCTTCCCTTGCGTTTGATCTGGAAAATGCAGAATGCTGCAACGTGATTGCTGATAGGAGTGGGATCTTGTCAGCCTACCTGTGCTCAGAGATCTGCACTGGTTGGCAGTTTGCTACTGGGCCAAGTTCAAGGTGTTATAATTAGTGTATAAAGCCCTTAAGTACTTGGGACCAGTTTACCTACAAGATCTCCTTACCCCAAATATGCCCCCTCAACCACTTCTATTGATGGAACTGGCCCTGTTGCAGGTGCCACATAATACCCTTCCTGTTTTTGTAATAACTCAATCATTCTCAAGCTTTGGAACTCCTTGCCACTTGATGTCAGGCAAGCGCCTTTACTGGACACTTCTCAGCACCTGCTAAAAACATTTCTGTTTAGCGAGCCAACCGAGATACTTAGAAACTTGGTGCGACTTTTAATCTTCCTTTCTTTCTTTTTGTCTATTGTTATTTTAACTTTTTGGAAGGCTTAAATCATTGATGTTGATTCTTCTTCTCTAAAATTATATTATTGGTTTATCCTTTTTGGAAACCGCTTTGAGGTTTTGTGTTGTTTTACAATAAGCAGTGCATAAATTTTATGAAAAAAATAAAATAATATAAAACAAATGCTCAGAAACAAAAGCTTCAGGAAGCGACTGTCTGGAGTGAGCAGAACTCCTCGGGGCCCTTCTACCATTTGCAAGCCATTCAGGTCTGAACCTAAAAAGAGAGAAGCTGGATTAGACTAAGGATTTAATGCCCTTTTCTGAGATCCTGGTTGTGATACAGTGCCTGGGAGAGATGCACCAGCAGAGGGCAAAAAGCCACACAACCCCACTGTTTGTTCCAGCATTGACTTTTCAGAGGTGTACAATACCTGTCCATGGAGGTTCCATTGATCTGCAGCTTGGCTCCCTCCAGATGTTTCAAAGCAGAACGTCCATCAGACCCAGCCAGAGACGGCATATAGCAGCCTCCAGATGTTTTGTGCTGCATGCTGGCTGTGGCTCATAGGAGCTGAAGTTGAAAACAGCTGGAGGGCAGTGCATTGAGGGAGGCTGCTATAGATAATGCCTTCTCCATGACTGTGTCCATTTCTAATCAGACCACAAGAACATGCATGTGTAGTCAAGGCTGGGAGGCTTGCCAGCTTTTAAAGTGTTGGACCAGGACCTAGGAAGCTAGGGTTCAAATTCCTGCTCACTGGGTGACTTCAAGGCCAGTCACTGCTTCTCAGACTAGCCTACCTCACAAGGTAGTTGTGTGGATTAAATGAGAAGGGGTGAGCTATGTGACCACCTTGAGGTCCTTGGAGGAAAAGGTGGGATATAAAGGTGACAAATGCAACAAACAAACAAACAAACAAACACACACACACACACACCCGCCCAGCTCCACAATTGGGGGAGCAGATGTGCCCAACCCTCAGCCTTGGCACTGAAACTTGTGGGTGTCTTGTTCCTTCCTCCCTCCCTCTCTGAAACTGCCTTGGTTTGTTCTTCCATCCAACTGCATCCACCAAGGCCAGTCTGGGCCTTTGTGGCAAGCCTTTGAAGAGCATCCTCGAATCCCTCTGCCCAGATATTTGGTCCATCAAGAGTTAAGAGGAGGGTGTCGCAGGGGAGGCTGAATGTCGACCCCCGCCCTCCTGGGCTGCTGCTGCTTCTGCTCTCCTCCTGGAGTTTCATTTTGCTGGTTTCTCTCTCTCTCTCTCCGCCCCCCCCCCCAGGCTTGGCTCTTTCCCCCTTTTCTTTCTTCCTGCCTCTCTTCCTGCAGAGGAGGCTCCGTCCCTTCTTAGTACACAGTCGGACAGAATCACACCCCCACCCCCCGGAATAAACTAAGGGCAGCTTAACCAGATTGTGCCAAAGGGGAGGGGAGGGGGAGGGGGTGGTCCTTTGCTCTTCCTGTAACCACTGACGCTGATTCCTCTGCAGGGGAAAATCCAGAGGCGGTTTCTCCGAGCCACCCCGCCCGCCCGCGTGCGCTCTCTCTCTCTCTCTCTCTCTCTCTCTCAGGAGGGGGGGAATAGCAGCGCCCTCCCGCTTCCCCGCTTGCCTGCTGGAGAGCTGCCTCACTCCTCCTAGACAACTTTCTGCATGACTGTCTCTAAGGTAAGGACCTGCCTTCCCTTGCCTCGGCTGTCATCCAGAGGTGGTGGTCAGGGTGGGGTGGGGGCTCTCTCCGTCAGCTCAGCGCCCGTTGCTGGGGTCCTCCCGGCGGCTGCCTGCCCGGGATGGGGGTCCCTAGCAGAGGCGCCTTCCCGGCTGCAGACCGGCCTCCAGGTCCAGTCCTTTTCGCAGAGCTGGCATTGGGTGCCTCGTGATTTTCTGCAGCTCCCTTTTTTGCGGGTTTTTTTATTATTTAATTGCAAAATCAGGAAAGGTCTTTGGCCAGTTTTTCAAGGAAAGGCCCCCGAGTGTGAGCAAGCGAGTTGGTGCCGGTTGGGCTTCCTTGCATCAGCAGAGCTTTGCGAGCGCCTTTGCACAGGGGGAGATTGTGCAGTAGATATACTGCATTTTTAACCCTTTCGGAAGCAGCCAGCGTGCCCGCTCCACAGTGGCGGCAGCTGTTGCCCGGTGTGGTACGTGCGTTTTTGCCGTGTGCAAGACTTCTTTGCTGCTCTCTCCGTTTGGCTTCCCGTGGTTGCTGTGACACGTCCCGCTTTGGCTTCGCATTAGCCCAGCAAGGGAAGGGAAAGCTCCCAGCTCTCCAAGTTCTGCTTCTGACGGAGATCCAGCGCGTTTTTCCCATTCCTGGGAGGGCGTTTTTGTAATATAAAAAACCTTCTGGGTAGGGTGCTTGGGGAGCCCTACAGGTGGCTGTTGGGGAAGGAAGTCTAATGGGGGGGCATGGAAGAGGGAGGGCAAGGGAGTTTGCCCTGGGATGGAGCAGCCTCTCACAATTTAAACTAGCCTTGCCCAATCCTCCTGCTTCATTGGCACAAGTGTAAAACCTGCTCAGCTTTACATGCCAGTCAAACGATTAACTGCAGATACTTGGAGGTGAGTTCAAAATCCAGCCTTCCTGAGTTATAACCAGGGAGTCCCCCTGACCTCAGTTGATCAAAACTGCAAAATGGGATCATTCAGGGTTCTTGTGGTCGGCGCAAGGATTGTAGATCAGCACACTGAGTTCCAAAATGTCTTAAGCAGTAGTTTCAAGGATGATTCTGAGTTACTTTTAAATGTGTTTCGTGTTGCTGTACGCTATCTTGATGTTTTGTGAGAGATCAGTATAGAAATACTTCTATAAATAAAGACAAATAGTGCATCCCTCAAAATCTGAGGGTTCTTGGAGTCAGTTCCCTTAACCTGGAAGAGTTCACCTACATGTGTGGAATGAGAAAGCAGGGAAGGGAATTTGAAGGGAGATGACCCAGAGGTCTCTGCTTTCTGGAGACACTTTGCAAGGCCATACCATACAAAGGAGCCAACTTTACTGTTTCAGTCTTGGGGATTTTTTATCACTTTCTTTGAGAGCTTATGGCCTCTCCTCCCTGTTTATCAGGCTGAAAATTCCCTTTTCCTCTTAAGTGAAAAGTTTTGCTTGGTGCTTCGGTCTGACTGTTTACTGGAGTCTGTGGCTTCTGTTCCAACGTGATATGAGAGAGGCCAGGTTAGCTGGGGAATTAGACAAAGCTCTCTCAAATTTGACAGCCTTTACTGTGTCAGCAACCCTCGTGCTTCGGCATAACTCTAGGAACACCTACAAAAAGTAGTTTTGTAGTCTTTTCTTCCGTTTTGCAGAGCTCTGCCCTTGCAAGTTGACGGCCCTGCAAAGCAGTACCCAGCAAGGGACAAAGAGCAGCTGCTGGAAGTTAAAATCAGCTACTAGCCTGCCACGTGCTCCTGAAAAGTGTTTTGCACATGCACAGAGGCCTCCGTAGCTCAGGAAGAGGAAACCTATCCCTTTTAATACCTTTGCATGTCTACCCACACAGCATCACTGCTTCTCAAAGTGTGATACGCTGCTGTTCTCAGCTGGGCAAAGCTTTTTGTTGCCGTGAGACACAGTGCAAGTGGGCAGGTATTGTAGAACAGGGGAGGCATTCATCTGTGATCCCATCGTGTCCAGGTTCCTTCAGCATCTTTTCTGTATGTGAGAGGCAAGGTGAACCTGGATGTTGGGGCTGCCTGAGTCATACGTTCTGCCCACGCCCTGCTTCTTTTAATCTAAGTAGGGAACCTGCGGCACACCCTGCTGGCCAGCCTCAGTCTGGTGCCCTCCAGATATTTGGAACTACAACTCCCAACAGCCCCAGCCATCATGGGTCCTGTGGCTGATGAGAGCTGTAGTCCAAAACATCTGGAGGGCACCAGCTATGGGGAGGTGGTGCCATGCCTGCCATTGCAGACATTTTATGCTGCCGCTGCACTATCCATTCAATGAGGTTTCTGCAGGTGAACTTCCTGGGCAGCTGTGCTCAGCGTTTCACGGTCCTGTAATGAAGCAATCTTAGACTTCTCTGCAAATGAAGGCCTTGTTTCCTTTCCAGCGAAGCTTCCATTTACAATACAGTAGACCTGCAGCTTACACAGGGGTTACATTTTGGAGATCATACGTGAAGCCAAAATTGCATATAGTCAAAACCTACTGGGTTCAATGGCGGGTGGGATTGCCAAAGTCATTTTCGTTTTCATTTTGCTACCCTCATAAAGTTAAATGCATGCAAATTGCAGGCATAGTGTACCAATATGAACCCCCTCAGGAGAAATTTAACAGTTTGGCTTCTAAGTATTTACTTTTTTCATTTATTTTTTTAAAGAGTTTACCCTGCCCATGTTCTTTTCTTTCTTTCTTTCTTTCTTTCTTTCTTTCTTTCTTTCTTTCAGTGCTTTGCAAGCATTAACTACTTCCTCTCTGGTCAGATCATCTGTGGGCATATTTTCTTGTTCTTTGGGCCCAAAGGTGATCCTTGCATTTTCCACAATCTCATTACTTCTCACATCTAATCCAAACATTAAAATGTAAGAACTGAAGCTTTTTCTGAAGTGTGATGAAAGCACTCGCTTTAATCCACACATCTTTATCTTCTACACTTTGGTATCTGTTAAATTCCTTAAGCTGAGCAAATTATTATCTTTGGGTTAATTTTGACAGTTACTGCCGGTCTGGTCGTATGCATGTTTACTTAGGAGCAAGTCCCACTGCTACATAGGATGTATGGCATTCTTAAGAGGCTAAAAAGGACAGCACTTCTGCAGTCAAATGAGTGTGTAGTTTAGTATCAGGCACACAAGGTGACTCCACCTTGGAATCTTTATTTTCACTTTAAAAAACACACCAAGTTTCTAGACCTTATGATTGAGGACAAAACTTAAAAATGGGTGAGCAGTATCCAGAGAAGTCAAAGAATCTAGAAAGAAGCTAAGCAGGTTCTGGAGTGGGGAAGCCTTTTAACACTTTATAAAGCTCTTTCCTCCTCCCTAGCAGAGAACACCTGAGAGGTGACCACACCGAGTTAAAACTGTTAAGATGTCACCTATGATTAATCCTACCTTGACCTAGTACTGATAGCACACAGGGGCTAAAAATAGGAAGGCAACCTAGAATCTCTCAACAGAGAGGGTACTTCTATTGATGAAGCTCATTAGAAGAAATCTCCCAAGTTAAAAATGGAAACAGCCCTGGGAGATTGTCACCTAAACTGGCGGTGTGTGTGTGTTTGATGGTGAGCGGGGTTTACAAGACGAGCAAAACAGCCAGATTATTAGTAAAAACAATGAAAACATTAAAAAAAACTTAAACCAGCAATAAACTAAAAACAAATCCGTGTTCTAAATATCTGGGTAGGCTTGTCTAAACAAAAATGTTTTCAGTAGGTGCCGAAAAGAGTACAGTGAAGGCACCTACCTGATGTCAAGAGGCAGGGAGTTCCAAAGTGTAGGTGCTTCCACATTGATTTCTTGCAATGGAGAAAGGGTAGGGAAGGGAAGCTCATACCCTCCAACATTTCTCTGTTGAAAATAGGGAGGTTCTATTTAATAATAATAATAGTTTTATTTATAACCCGTCCATCTGCTTAGGGACTCATCTGCTTAGGGACGCGGGTGGCGCTGTGGGTTAAACCACAGAGCCTAGGGCTTGCTGATCAGAAGGTTGGCGGTTCAAATCCCCGCGACGGGGTGAGCTCCCGTTGCTTGGTCCCAGCTCCTGCCAACCTAGCAGTTCAAAAGCACGTCAAAGTGCAAGTAGATAAATAGGTACCGCTCCGGCGGGAAGGTAAACAGCGTTTCCGTGTGCAGCTCTGGTTTGCCAGAAGCAGCTTAGTCATGCTGGCCACATGACCCGGAAGCTGTCTGCGGACAAACGCTGGCTCCCTTGGCCAATAAAGCGAGATGAGCGCCCCAACCCCAGAGTCGGTCACTACTGGACCTAATGGTCAGGGGTCCCTTTACCTTTACCAGCTGCTCCAGCCACTCTGGGCGGCTTCCAACATATATTAAAACATTAAAAACTTCCCTATACAGGGCTGCCTTCATGTGTCTTTTAAAGGTTGTATAGTTACCGTATTTTTCGCACCATAGGACGCACCGGACAATAGGGCGCACTTTGTTTTAGAGGGGGGAGAGCAAGAAAAAAAATATCTCCCCCTCTCTGCCCAGCGCCCCTTCAGCGAAGTGGCAGGAGGCGCTGTGCAGAGAGGTGGAGAACTTTCCCTCTTGTTTTCCCGCTCTAAAACAAGGTGCCGTTTAAGGTGCGTTCAGGCGGCTACCTTGGAAGCCTGGAGAGCGAGAGGGGTCGGTGTGCACTGACCCCTCTCGCTCTCCAGGCTTCAGGTTCCTTTCGACCTGCTCTTTGGGGCTGGTGGGGGGAAGCCCACCACCAGCCCCAAAGAGCAGTTCAGGGAGCAGCGGAAAGGTGCAGCGGAGAGGCTCCTGCCATAGCCGCGCGTCACCTCTCCAGCCGGGAGAGGGTCGCGGGGGGGCTGCTTTAGCCCCGCGCGCGCTCTCCTGGCTGGAGAGGTGACGCGGGGCTGTAGAGGCTCCTGCCATAGCCGCGCGTCACCTCTCCAGCCAGGAGAGGGTCACGGGGCTATGGCGTCTTCGCTCCATAGGACGCACACACATTTTCCCTTCATTTTTGAAGGGAAAAAAGTGCGTCCTATAGAGCGAAAAATACGGTACTTATCTGCTTGACTTGGGGGTCGCATAACTCCATACCCTCCAACATTTCTCTGGTGAAAATAGGGACATCCCAAGAAGATGTGGGACATTCCAGGATCAAATCAGAAAGTAGGACAGCTTCTGTAAATCTAGGACTGTGCCTTGGAACACCTGGAGGGTCTGGGAGCTTGGGGGTTCACAAAACGCCTGTCCTAGACTTTGCCTTTTCAGTGCTGGGGTTCAGCCACTGGTACAGATGAAACCGACTTCCGATTGGTCACTGCAAGAACAGAATGATGAACTAGCTAGGACTCCTTTGGCCTGATCCTGCATTCAGGCTCTTCTAATATTCTTGTTCTGGGGGAAAGGGGCACCAATTGCTCTTCCCCAGTCAGCAAAATGAGCCAGCTCACAAGCTGCAGGGAGACCCACCCAGGGATGACGTCCTACGAAGCAGAGTAGGAGTGGTGATTTATCAGAAATAGGAAGAAGGTTATCAGCAGTGCTCTACCTGGTTTGATACTGGGGTTGGGGGGCAGGGGAAAGCATCCCATGTGGGTAGGAAATGCATCCAGAGAAGCTGGATGTGCTCCCTAAAATGTGCCCCACTAGTGGCATTAATCCATCAAGGTTTAACTACTCATTGATCCATTAAAACTGCACTGTCAAAAGACCTAAATGGCATCCCAGTCTTTGGAACGCCAACTTTCCCCTTTCCTCTTCTTATTTTATAAGATGGGCATGTATGGAGAAAGGCGTTTTTCCAGTGCATAGTTAAACTGTGGAACTCACTGCCACGGGAGGCACTGATGACCACCAATCTAGATGGCTTTAAGAGGATTAAATAAATTCATGGAGGAGAGGGCTATTGATGGCTACCATCCATGATCGCTATGCTCTGCCTCTGCAATTGGAGGCAGTGATGCTTCTGAAAACCAGTTGCTGGAAACCACAGGAGGGGAGGGTGATCTTGTGCTCGAATCCTGCTTGTCAGTCTCCCAGAGGAGGCATCTGGTTGGCCACTGTGAGAAGAGGATGCCTGACTAGATGGGCCACTGGCCTGATGCAGTAGGCTCTTCTTATGTTCTTGTAGTGGGGAACCATGGTTTGCTCACTGACCCAAAGCTGTCAATGGGAAGGACCATGCCTCATTGGTGGAGCATCTGCTTGCATGCAAAAGATCCTGGGTTCAAACTCCTGCACTTCCAGGGAAGGCTGGGAGAAACCCCTGTCTAAAATCCCAGAGAGCTGCTGCCAGTCAGTGTAGACAATACTGAGCTAGATGGACCAATGATCTATCACACCCTATATATTGCAGTGAGCAGAACAGTGGAATGGGAAGCAATGGGGTTACTTTTTGTTCTTGTACGGGGGGGAAACCCAAATACACAAGACTGAGGTAGAAATGTATGGAGCGCCTTCTGGGCAAATTAAGATAGCTGGCAGAGGTATGTGTGGATGAACTAGTTTCTCTGAGTTTCTTCTTTTTCCAGTTCATTTCACACCATTTCTGTATTAACAAACTTTTTAAGACGGTGTTTTTATATGCATTTCTCCACCCTACGCATTTTTGCAAGCAATGTACTTTCCTCCCCACCATGAATACTTGCATTTTTTGTGCAAACTTTCTTCTAAAGACAGTTCCCCTGATCTGCCACTCCCTAACACTTTCAGAAGTCTGTAGGAGAAGTGAGGTCCAGCCTTTTGCTTATTTGCATAAGGGGTGCACCATATATTGAATCTGTCTTTCAGAAGGAAGGAGAGGGAGTTAGTCCTTCTGGACCTGCAAAGCAGCCTGCATAACAGCTCTGAAAACTCACGTGGTGCTGCACCCATCCCAGAGCCCACCACTCTGCTTACTTCCCTGATTCCTCCTGGCAGCTTGCTTGCACTTCTGGCTTTGTGACTGGGTGTAGTGAGATACCTTATAAATAGAAAAGTCAGTTAAAGTAAAGGTAAAGGGACCCCTGACCATTAGGTCCAGTCGTGACCGACTCTGGGGTTGCGGCGCTCATCTCGCTTTATTGGCCGAGGGAGCCGGCGTACAGCTTCCGGGTCATGTGGCCAGCATGACTAAGCTGCTTCTGGCGAACCAGAGCAGCGCACGGAAACGCCGTTTACCTTCCCACCAGAGCAGTACCTTGCACTTTGATGTGCTTTCGAACTGCTAGGTTGGCAGGAGCAGGGACCGAGCAACGGGAGCTCACCCTGTCGCGGGGATTCAAACCACCAACCTTCTGATCGGCAAGTCCTAGGCTCTGTGGTTTAACCCACAGTGCCACCCACGTCCCAGAAAAGTCAGTTACCGTACAGTAAATTTCAGCTGGTGCTTCTATAAAGCTCTGTGCCAGCTTTGGAAACTTTGCATCCTAAGCTTTGGATGGGCAATTGAACTTCTCTGGCTGATATTTCTAACAACTAGCCCAGACTCCAGTTCCCATCACCCCCAGCATCATATGGTCCAAAACATCTGGAAGGCACCAGGAGGGTAGAATAGTCACTTCTCCAGAGTTTCCCTAGCTGCGTTCTCACATTTGTATCACATCTTCCATACCTGGCTTTTATATTCCATTGTCGTGGCTGCCAAGAGGAGTTTGAGAGGATTGGGTGCACATCACCTGTGCCTTGTAGACTGAAAAACCAGAGAAAGGCAGCTTGGGGTTATTAGGGCATCCCAGCAGACCTAATGTGGGCATGGCCAGATTTGCACACAGCACCCCTTCTGTACAAAATAGTACACTCTTCTTCTTCTTACTTGCCCATCATATATCCGTACATATCTCAGTTGTCTGAGGGGATGGCTCTGAGCTTGGGGGACCTGGTACAGTTCTCCACTCGTTGCCCCTCTTTCATCAGTCCTGACTGACCCATTGTAACTTGTCAAATAATAGGCACAGTGTCTCCCTCCCATTCAGGCTGATCAGGCCTTTTCCTACACAGCCTTTGGGCATGGGGGTGGGGTGGACAAAGATCTCTGGGGAATCCTGCACCTTTCAAGTATGTTGAGAAGGATATACTCCAAGGACCTCTCCAGACTAGTGGGTGGGTTTTTTTGGGGGGGGGGTGCAATCCTCAGCATGTCATTGTTGATGTTCTTCCTCCTTCCTTGGAGGTTTTTAAACAGAAGTTGGTCATCTGTCATAGATTCTTTAGCTGAGATTCCTGCATTGGAGGGGGCTGGACTAGATGGCCCTTGGGGTCTCTTCCAACTGCAATTCTATGATTGAATATGAGGGCATCTGGGGTGGGTTTATACAGGATCATCCACACATCAATCCACTTTACTGATAGCTGTGTGAATCTTTTCCCATTTTTACCACGTTATTGTCATCTTGCACTGTAGTGTAACAGAAGTGGGACAACAGACAAACCGCAGAACATTTGTAGCATATAAATTTATAGATTGGAAATCTGGAACTATACTTGACGATCAGATAATGTTGATAGTCTTTACTTGGATTTCGTTATTTCAACTCATGACATGAGCAACTATTTATTCTACATGCCTATTTTATAGTTTTGCTTTTCATATGTTAATTTTCATCTGTTGTTATAATTGCTCTTTGTTTTATATACATTATAAAATGAAACAATAATGATAATAATTACTCCTCCTCCCTGCCCTGTCCCCCCACCCCCTGTTACAGGATTTTAGCAGGGAACTATGGGATGTGCATTGAACAGAAACAAAGCTGTGTGTCTGCCCTGAATCTTTTGCAGGCACAACTAGTATTGAAAGCAGGATTGTGTTCTCACATCCTCAATACTGTCATGAGCACAAATCATCATTGAACGCACTATAAAAAGGATGCCAGGAGGAGAGGCCCTGATTCAGCGGGCGTTTGTTCCTCCTTACACCTTCCTGAGTGGAATATTTCACGGAAAATGATGCTGTTTCTTTCTCTCCCTCAGTCTGTCCAGACTTTGTTATAAGCTGCTTTGTGTAGAAATGGTGGAGAGGGAGGGAAGACAACACCAATTGGGGACGAACAGGTCTTTCTAATCCTCAAGTGAAGAGAACAGAAGATGGATTCAGACTAGCAGGTGTCAGTTTCTAGCTCCTGCACATAACTAATGCAAGCTAAGGGTACATTCCATGCAGGAGACTGCATGAATTCATGTGTTGTCATGGGTAATGGGCATGCATGTACATCTCTCCCAGTGCGTCTTCCAAGCCTCTAAATTGCTGGTAGAGTTTCTGTGTATCTGTTGTTTTCTGCTCAGCTGCCCACGGAAAGGGAGAAAGGCTGGCCCAGTTAGATTCTCCAGGTGTTTGGGGAGGGTTCTCGAAGGACCGACCCCCATAAATGTAACTCTGTCCTGCTTATTTTCTCCTTCTTTAAAGTGGCTTGTAAATGGAACGTAGTGATGGGCCTTTGTTGAGCTGAAGTGTTTCATTTCTCAAGCAATTTTGAATGCACATGTTCTGCTGTGAAACTGACGATGAGTGGATGTGAAGTTCCACTAACATCAGCCTTCCTCTACCTACTGCCTTCCAGATGTGTTGGACTTCAACTCCCTTCAGCCCCAGCCAACATGCCTGGGAGTTGTAGTCCAACATAACTGGAAGGCGGCCGGTGGGGGGGCGGATTCCTGCCCTAAAAGTACAGTGCAAGTGTATTCATTAAATGAGGAATAATTTGTGGATGTACCATGAACAGCGATCTGGCCTCCAGCTCTCTGTTGCCAGCCCCAAACAAACACTTTGTATGATCAGAGTTGCAGCAGCTGTAAGCTGATGTATGAGTGGCAGATGTGATAAGAGCCTATGAAGTTCCCGGCTGGATCAGGCCATTGGGGGCTCATCTGGTCCAGCATCCTGTTTTCACAGTGATCAACCAGATGCCCCAATGGGAAGCCTTCAAGTGGGACCTGAACCCAAGAGCCCTCTCCTCTCTGTGGTTTCCAGCTAGTGGCATTCAGACGCATTGCTGCCTCCAACCAAGCAGGCAGAGCACAGTAGCCATTGATAACCTTTTCCTCCATAAATTGGTCCAATCTGCTTTTAAACCCATCACTGCCTCCTGTGGAAGAGGGCTCCGTATAACGGTGTACTACTGCGTGAAGATGTCCTTTCTTCTATATCTCCTGAATCTCCCAACGTTCATCTTCATTGGATACCCACGAGTTCCAGTGTCATGAAAGAAGGAGGAGAACTTTTCTCTAGCTACTTCCTGCATGCCATGCATAATTTCATATGTGTCTATCATGTCACCTCTTACTTACCTTCCCTCTAAACTAAAAAAAAGGCCCAAACTGCAACCTTTCCTCTTAGGGGAGATTCCATCTCCTTGATCTTTTGGTTGCCCTTTTCTGAACTTTTCCAAACTCAACAATATCCTTTTTGAGGTGAGGCGACCAGAACCGTACACAGTATCCCAAATAGCAACCCAGTCAGATGGGTGCGTTATAAGAAATATTATTATTATTATTAATCATTTTTATTAAAATTTCTGTTTTACAATTTAGAATACTCATTTAAACATCCTTAAAATATCAATGACTTCTCTTCTTTTCCTTCCATGGTTCATTTTGCATATCATGAATCCCTGCATATTTTACATAAAGTAAACCATTCAGCATTCCATTATTACTTCCATCAAAACTTATTTACACTGTGGAATTTATCTTAATGCTGCCAACATTTTCAAGTGTACACAATTTCCCTCCATATATTCAATAAACATTTTCCAGTCTTTTCTAAACGTATGTATGGGTGGGTAGTAATAATAATAATAACAACAATAATAATGTCACTACATAGCATTGTATAATAGCATTCAGATACTGGCAGTTTTATTTTCAATTCCTTTTGTAAATATCCCCAGCATGGAATTTGACTTTTTCACTGGGTGGACATCTTCATCGAGCTATGGACTATGACCCCGAGGCCTTGTTCCTGACTTGGGGCTGGGAATCCCATTTCTCCCATTTTTATTTTGGTAGTTGCCGCTTCTGACACACCTATTTTGAAGGAAGCTCTCCAGCAAGTCTGTTGGCCATCTCTATCCTGTTGCCCCGGCAGTGATTCTGCTTGCCAGACCGAGTCTTTCTGAGGGATCTTTGGAGCAGCAGATCGTTGGCGCAGTTTGTCAAACCACTTCTATTTAAAAAGAGAAAGGAAGGGAGAAGCACCTCAAAGGAAAAGGCCATTTTTCTTCCTGCTCACACTGCCTGGTGCTCAGCTGCTAAACGTATCAAGGCAGCAGTTGTTCTGGGTTCAGCGTGGGGCTCACCAGCCCGAAGCTGGGCCTCTGGAAGATTCTTCTTATCCGTGGTCCACTGTTGACACTTGAGCTGAATAATGGCCGTCTCCTGTTGAGGCACACAATAAATACACAAACAGAAGCAAACTTGGATGTTAAATTTGGGAGAGGCAGTGCTTGGCTGAAATCGCAGAGCTGTTTGTATAGTGCAGTCATTCACAGGCTGGGTTCCGTTCAGCCGGAAAAGATGCCCTTTGTAATACTAGCCAATGTTTTAACTGTACGGAGCGAATATCGGTAGAGACCAGGATAAGGCGGGTCTGTACTCAGCCTCTTTGTCTGCAATACAGTTGCCAGCATCTGTGAAGCAGGGGGTTGGCCGAGCATGCAAAATGCTAGCTTCTTCTGTTACCAGACCATTGGCTTATCTGTCCTGTATGGCCACACTCACAAGCATTTAAAGCGCTATGGTACCACTCCAACCAGCCATTGCTTTGTCCAATAATTGTGGGAGCTGTAGTTTGTTAAGGGTGCTGTTAGGACGCCCCTGTTCCCCCCAAAAAACTACAATTCCCAGAGTCAGAGGAGCCACCTCCTAAGGCCTGAGGTCCCTTCACCTCCCCCCAATAAAATATTTTAGGGGACTGGCTCCCCCTCAAAGTTGATGAGCATTGCCCTTCAAATAGGGTGTCTGTGTGCCGCATCTTGTGATTGATTATACAGGATGGGCCTTACCTGCCTCCCCCCTATGTTATTTATGTTTGACACCCCTGCCCACAGTGGTTTAACAATCAATCCTTCTTTCCATGGAACTCTGGGAATTGTAGCTTGGGGGGGGGACTGGGGTGCCCTAAGAACTCTCAGCACCCTTAACAAACCATAGCACCCAGAATTCTTTGAGAGAAGCCATGATTGTTTCATAGGATATCATAGTGCTTTAAATGTAGGGTTTAAATGTGGCCTAAATGCAGTATGTCTTGGCTGGGGCTGATGGGAGTTGTAGTCAAAAACATCTGGAGGGCACCAGATTGGGGAAGGCTGAAATATCCAGATTTGCAGAGGGGTCTCTAGGGTCATTCCTACCAGCTGTTACCTGAAGGCTGAATCAGGGCTTTCTACTTGCAAAGTGCAGAGTTAAACTGTGGAACTTAAACCCACAAGAAACAGTGATAGCCATTAACCTGGTAAAGGTAAAGGTAAAGAGACCCCTGACCAGTAGGTCCTGTCGTGACCGACTCTGGGGTTGCGGTACTCATCTCGCTTTATTGGACGAGGGAGCCGGCGTACAGCTTCCGGGTCATGTGGCCAGCAGGACTAAGCCGCTTCTGGCGAACCAGAGCAGCGCACGGAAACGCTGTTTACCTTCCCGCCGGAGCGGTACCTATTTATCTACTTGCACTTTGACGTGCTTTCGAACTGCTAGGTTGGCAGGAGCAGGGACCAAGCAACGGGAGCTCACCCCGTCGCAGGGATTCGAACCTCGACCTTATGATCAGCAAGTCCTAGGCTCTGTGGTTTAACCCACAGCTCCACCCGCGTCCCTCCAGCCATCAACCTAGATGGCTTTAAAAGAGGATTTGTGGAGAAGAGGGCTATCAGTGGCTCCTAGCCACGCTTATACTCTGCAACCACACTCGGAGGCATTAGTGCTTCTGAAAACCAGTTGCTGGAAATGACAGGAGGGGAGAGTGCTCTTGTGCTCAAATTCTGCTTGCAGGTTTCCCGAATCCCACAGGCCTCTGGCTGACTCGTGTGAGAACAGTGTGCTGGACTGGATGGGCCAGTGGCCTGACCCAGCACACATTTCTAATGTTCTTAAAGCAAGTGCTCTGTCCTTAACTGTGGCTCCTTCTCAGTAGCAGGGGACCCAGTTTGTGTGTGTACATCAGGCCACTCTCTGGACCTCCTGGCACATCTCTTGCAAATGCATCATCAGCCTTGCTGCTGAAGGCAAAATTAAATCAATGAGTAGTTGATGTGCACTTGTGTGCGTGCGCATGAGGTGTGTTGCCATAGGAACTGGGTTGCAGAGCACCCTAATTAACTCTGTCATGAACCTCATGCAACAAGGTTAGGAGGGCAGTTGCTGCAGGGGGGTGGGCAGGAGATACATGAGTCTGCAGCACAAATGGGGGGGGGGATAGCCTTGCCCAGATAGGTCTTGTGGGAGGGGGAGATTCCTGGCCTTCTGCTGCTCACTGTTCTTGCTAGAAATAATGCTCTGTCTTTGATATCTTTATTTTCCCACATTTCTTCCAACACGGAACTCGAAGCAGCGTATACATTTCTATATTTCCATGTTTGCATTTCAGTTTCCCCCTATTTATTGCATTCCTGCCCCACTTTTTCCTCCTGTGAGTTCATTTGCAGTTCTCTTCCTCCCACCCTCATTCTATGCTCACAAGAACCCTGTGAGGTAGAATAGGGTGAGAAGGGTCAGCTGGCTCAAAATATCTTCACCCAGGGAGCTTCACGGCTCCCACTGGGATTTGAACCAGGGCCCCAGAGTCCAGCACTCAAACCACCATTTAAAAGGGGAGGGGGGATGGAAATGAAAATTGCAAATAAGGAGATTCTGACTAAACAGTAGGAAGAACTTCCTGGCGGTAAGAACTGCTGGATTTCCGAAAGGCAGAGCTTTGTCCTGGATCTTCGGCAAGTCAATTGAAATTGTATATTTTTGGGGTTTCCTAAAAAAAACCTCAATATCTTTCGGGGTGTCCTGGTTTTTACTTTTTTGAAATATGGCAACCCTAAGTGGAATGGACTCCCTCAGAAGGTGGTGGACTCTACTTCATTGGAGGGTTTTCAACAGAGGTTGGCCCCTCCCAATTCTACAATTCTGTGATGCAGGCCTGTTTGCTCATTTCCAATGGGCCCTACATGGACTGCATGTCTTCAGGGTGAAGCTGGAGAATGCTTGCCAGGATGTTTGTTTCGCAAGCCCTGCAGCAGAGCTGGCTGCGTCTGCCCGTAGACTGGCAATGGAAGTGGCACCCCACACCCTGAGCCCGTCTCATAGCCAGCTTGGCACAGGAAGTGGGGAATCTGTCCACTGGGTGCCAGCAGAGTGATGGAACCAGCCTCATCAAAATGGGCATCAGTGCCTTGGTGTATTAAGAAAACAATAGAAACATCTGCCCCCTCAAAAAAAGGGGGGAAAGCCCACTATGCAGTTGTCCTTTTCCTGCTCCTTTTTGAGTTCCTAAACAGGGCTGCTTCTTCCCCACCCCCCCACAATCTTCGTATTACATTAAGGATTGGAATATCTTGAGTTGGAAAGTAAGCCTATTTGGCTACATCCCGATGCATTTGTAAGAATGTAGATGTAGCACATTCCTGTATGTTCAGGGATCGTTCCAGCCCTGCATGCACACCATTCATTTAAATCACACGGCTTTAAGGAGGATATTGACAAGCGGGAACGTGTGCAGAGGCGGGTGACCAAGATGATGAAGGGTCTGGAAGCCAAGCCTTGTGAGGAACGGTGGAGGGACTTGGGGATGTTTGGCTTGAGAGAAGAGAATGATCTCCGTCTTCATATATCCAAAGGGTTGTCGCATGGAAGATGGAGCAAGTTTGTTGCCTACTGCTACAAATGGTGGGACCTGAACCAATGGGTTCAAATGACAAGAGAGGAAATTCTGACAGAACTTTCTGACAGAGCCATTTGTCAGTCAAATGAAGTACCTTGGAAGGTGGTGCACTCTCCCTCACTGGAGGTTGTTAAGCAGAGATTAAATGGCCATCTGCATTGCAGGGGGTTGCACTAGATGATACCAGATGCAGGAAACCACAGTGAGGGGAGAGAGGTCTTGTGTTTGAATCTCGCACACATCATGTTGGTCACTGTAAGAACAGGATGCTGGACTTGTTGGGCCATTGGCCTGATCCAGCACACTCTTCTTATGTTCTTAGTTTTTAAAAATCCCGCTATTCAGCCGGAAAAGGTTCTCAAGTAGCTTACGAATATCCATGAGAGAGAGCCTACCCTCAATCTATTTGAGATTGCTTGTCTCAAGATGATGCATACCCAGTACTAGTATTTACCTTCTAATATTCCCTCTGGAGTGAAACATTAAAGAGGGAACTGGGTAACTTACAAAGCAGAATAACAAACCAGAGCCAGCCTCCTGCAATGAGGATCTTGTTGTTTTCTTTTAATATTTAAATGGTTGCAGATCATGAAAGAAACACACATCAGCCTGCCCAAAGGACTTTGCACCCTTATAAACCTGCATAGTTCCCCTCTGCCAAAAGAAACAGAAAATTGAATTTCACGAAGACAGGATAACTACGGTAGTCAGCATCAGCCCATGACCGGGGAGGCTAGTTCCTTAGGCCCATGAAGGCCCATGGATGGTATCTGACATTTGCCCAGGAATCGGGGCCTCTCTCTCTCAGGCTGAAGGAGGAGGGAGGGAGCTTGAGAATAATATTTTCCACCATCTCTGTCTCAAGCTGTATACATGTTTTATTGTATAAAAGGCAGAAGGATTACAGTGAACTGCTGGAGGTGTAAATGCCTGTCAGAATTTGAAAAGCTGGTCTGACTGCATCAAGTTCATAAATTTTGTGGAATTAATTAAACTAAACAGTTTTAATTGGGTTTTGAACAAATGTTGAATTAATTGCTTGAAATTTCACTGTGTTTTTATCTTCCTTAGTGTGTCGTGCAAAATGCTATTCTGAATAATGCTATTTGTAGAGTAGGGGAAACTAGGGAACCCAATGGGCGGTGATCCGAAAGTTTGCTCCTTCTGAATCTATTGCCCTTTAGTTCTGTGTAGACCCTGAATTCCAGCCTGATGAGAGAAAGAAATCCCTCCTCTGCACTGTTCATGACTATGGACCTCTTTAGTTGTATTTTTTCCTAATCTAAAAAGGCGCCACGCTTAGATCAGCCTTTGCCAACCTGGTGCCTTCCAGATGTTTTGAACTACATGTCTCCTGAGCCCCAGCCTGCATGACCATGCGCTTATCTGCCCCAGCATCATGTGACTGGTGGGATTATAGCCAGCGTTCAAAACTCCCATTGTTCTAGGTGCATTTTGCGACAGGGAATTTCATTAGGGCGAGCAGTTTCTGAGCTCTGGGTGCAATACTGCACCTAAGATTTCAGATTAAAACTGCAGAGTGGAAGGAAAGTAGGACCTTTTTCTACCTTCCCACTTCCAGCTCCTCTCTGAAGACTGGAGAAGAACCCCTCTTAAGAATATTAGGGGGGTGGGCAGGGGAAGGACTAGACCATGTGAAAAATAAACATAATACTTTAGCTGCAGTTCATTCATTTTCAGCTTTGTATTCTTGTTATAAAAAGGCGCGCTTGTTCCGTTGTTGCACCCATAACCTAGGTTTAAGGTGTCATTTAGCTCCTAGCTTTTATATCTCAGTTTCTAACACAGATTATAGTGCAAAATATCTGGAGGACATGAGCTTTGCTTAACCAATAGTTTGCTGGACCCTGGGGGTCGACATCTTCTGCTTGCTCTGCCCTAGAATTGCTGTCGGGTCATCCTGAAACCTTCACAATCTGTTTCCACAGGTTGATCTTTCAAAGGACATCACAGCTGCACTGGGGGTCTCTTCATTTTCCTTGCGGGGTGGTGTGCATGATGCTGGTGGCCTCAGGGCTCTGTCTGGGGGCGGGGCGGGTTTCTACAGCAGATAGAGGGGGCAGTTGCATCAGGTCCACCCAGAGAGTCGGTTCCCTTTGCCCAGGCATCTCCCATCTGTCGTTCAAGGTCGCAGCATCAGATGGTGGAGACTCGGGCATTGTTGCGCAGACTGCAGAGCCAGCTTGGCGTGGGTAGAGTCACGTCGGCTTCCTGCCGACAGAGCATCTGGCTGTCTGTCACATCAGGAATGGTGGGGGTTTCCTCCCCCTCCTCCTCTGCTGGGGCACTGGAGGCTGCCAAAGGATGCTTAATTGCTAAAAGGAGATACATTGCAGCTCAGCGCTGTCTGGAAACAACAGAATACTCCACCCTGCAATCTCTGCTGTGTGATGACTCTCTCTGCTTACTCTGTGGTATTGGAGAAAGACCTTTGAAGCTCTCTACAAGGCCCCTTTTCATCCATTCATATCCTCCAGAGTTCAAAGACCCTGGTAAGCCAAGGAACTGGAACCCCACTGCCCCAGACCAGGCAGGTATAGCCAACCTGTGTCCTGCAGATGTCATTGACCACAACTTTCACCACCCCTGACCATTCATTGGCCATGGTGGTTGTTGGGGCTGATGGGAGAGAGGCCCCTTCCAGAGGACCTGTTTATTGAGCATCCATCCTGATTTGCTTGTGGGAAGGTTAGAAGATACTGTAGCCAGCAAATTTCATCCCATACTTTCCAATGCATTGACCTGCCCCATTGCTTAGTGAAAAAAGTCAGATATTTTGAGGAAGACTTCACTGTAGATGTTGATCCCTGTGACACGCTTAAGCAACTTTAGCTGTGATTCCTGCATTGCAGGGGGTTGGACTTAATGACCCTTGGGATCCCTTTGTTGATCACACCTTCCAACTCTACAGTTCTATGTTTCTATAAGTGCCAGCTGGCAAGCTATGCTTTGTTTTGTTTTGTTTTGTTTTGGAGGGGGACAAATCCAGTAGCCCTGAGCTGTGTCTCTTTCCACACTAGCCCTCCATTACTCATCTCTCTTAAGTGGCAGTCACAACCTGAATTCAATAAACGCAGATAAGCCATCGGTTTGCATCCACCTCCCCTGGGCTTTTGCTGCTGCTTCCCTCTCCGCTCCATCAGCTCCCGCCCCACCCCCGATGGCGATGAGATAATCCTTCTGGAACGTCTGCCCTGCCCGCCATGTCAAGCCAAGTGAAACAACAACAACAACACACACACTTTTTATTCGATTTCTTACCCCCCCCCCACCGCCTTCCCTGTTCCCTGATCAGCTTATAACATAAGCATGGGACAAAAGCAGGCTGGAAGGAGCTTTTCACAATCAGTATGAATGCAAGTCCCGTCACCCAGTGAGCGATGGACGAAGTGGGCAACAATCTGCCCTGCCTGGCAATGGGAGAGGACCCATGACTTGTTGCTGGCTCCAAATCTAGCCAGAGGGAAAATGTCTCCATGGGAGAGCTGTGCCAATTTGGGGAGGAGGGCCAGTTATTGGCCTGGAAGGTGGCGGTTTTGCGGTGAATTTCTCCCTCAAACATAAGGCAAATTGGAAGACTTTGCTCCGAAACCTGGCTGGCTGGCATGCATGCCCCCTTGCTCTTCCACTTCACGGAGCTCCATGGGAATGGAGAATCGCCCTTTTCCCACCCTGAGAATATTATCCTTTGTCCACACGGGTTGGTGAGAATTCCTGTTGCCTGCCAGCTGAGGCCTTTGTATACTTAGGTCTTTTCAAACCAGGTTTTTTGATCTCTCTTCAGCGCAGCCACAGTGAAGTGAGGCTGACAGAATTCAGAGCATCCCAAAGCCAGGCATGTTTGGTGCCTCGCCCAATACAAAAGGTCAAAGTGACTTGGATTTGTGAAGCCAACCTGTGCACTATTTTTTCCCATTGATGACAGCAAAATTTGACAGGGTTGGGGGGGGTAATAGCTTGCATTTCATAGCCTCTTTTTCGATATTTACATCCTTATGTACACCAGTGTGGTTTAGTGGTTAGCACACCAGACTAGGACCTGGGAGAGATCAGGGTTTGAATCCCCACTTGGCCATGAAGTTCACTAGATGACCTTGGGCCAGGCACTGCCTTTTTGTCAGGAGTACGTGCAGGAGCCAGGCCCTGTGACCAGCAGGACTTTGCAGGACTGGGGCCTTCCTAAGTTTGTTCTAAAGAGGCAAGGCGCGGCCGCACAGGTGAGGCCAATTGGTAACTCACAGCACCTGGTGGCAAGAGCTGGGAAGGGATATAAGGTCAGCATTTCCCTTCGGCTCTTTGCCACAGCAACACGTTCCCTGCCTTGGGCTCCTTGACCCTCAGACCCTTGACTTCATGACTCCTTGCTTCCTGACCCTTGGGCCCTTGGCTTCTTGACTCCCGGCTCTCTGGCCCTCAGACTCTGGGCTTCCTGACTTCTGGCTTCATGGTCTCCCATTCCTGCTCCCACCCCACCATCTTTCCCCCGGTCCCGACATCCCCAGCCGGGACTTCAATTGCCCGTGAACTGGACTGTGACACTTTTGGCCTGACCTACCTCACAGGGTTGTGAGAATTAGGTGAGAAGGGGAAGGACAATGGACACTGCAGTGGCCTCCTTGGAGAAAAGGGTGGGATACAAATGCAATAAACAAATAAAATGAATAAGGTTCTAGAATAAGGGCAACCACTTCAGTAGGGTTGGACAACATCTTTCTCCTGTCAGTATGGTCAGAGAAGGTGCAGACAATACAGCCAAGCTTGACAGCGACTGAGGGGAGTTGTAATCCAATATACCAGGAGACCAACAGGTTAAGACCAGAAGAAAAGTCTGCTGGATCAGGCCAGTTGTCCATGTAGTCTAGCATCCTGTTCTCACAGTGGCCAACCAGAGGCCTGTGGGAAGCCCTCAAGCAAGATTTGAGCCCAAGAAGCCTCTCCCCTCCTGTGGTTTCCAGCAACTGGTATTCAGAATCATACTGCCTCCAGCTGTGGAGACAGAACAGTAGCCCTCAATATTTCCTGCATGAATGTGTCCAATCTTTTTTAAAGCCATCCAAGCAGCTGGCAGCCATCACTGCCTCCTGTGGGAGTGAGTTCCACAGATTAACTATGCACTGTGTAAAGGCTTTCCTTTCTCCGTTCTGAATCTTCCACCATTCAGCTTCATTTATGTCCACAAGTTCTAGTTTTACGAGAGAGGGGTGCAGAAACTGTTCTCCATCCACAGAGCCAGTGTGGTGTAGTGGTTAAGAGCGGTAGACTCATAATCTGGTAAACCGGGTTCGCGTCTCCGCTCCTCCACATGCAGCTGCTGGGTGACCTTGGGCCAGTCACACTTCTCTGAAGTCTCTCAGCCTCACTCAACTCACAGAGTGTTTGTTGTGGGGGAGGAAGGGAAAGGAGATAGCTGCTTTGAGACTCCTTTGGGTAGTGATAAAGCGGGATATCAAATCCAAACTCTCACGTTCTCTATGCCACGCATATTTTTTTTTTATAAAAAAAATTTAATACTTTTATTTTGCTTTAAACAAATACAGATAAATATAAACAACCAAAATTACAAAAGAAAAATCAATAATGATAATAATAATAATAATAATAATAATAATAATGAAAAAAAGCTAAAAAAACTGCAAAAAAATATCAAAGTACATGGCACAGAACATAAGCCATTATGGGAAAGAAAAAAGGAAAAAGGAAAAGGAAAGAAGGAGGGGGGGGGAGAGAAAAAAAGGGAAAAAAGAAGAAAAAAAGGGGAAGATGAGCCAAAACACAAGAAGGCTCATCTATTGTATGCTTCCGCCAAGGTCACAACAGATCATTATTCTTATCAATTCTCTCTATCTGCATTCCATAGAATCCCTCATCTTGGTATCAGGGAACATTTCCCTATGCCATGCATAATTTTATAAACTTCCATCATGACAACTCTTACTCACAAGCTTTTCTCTGAGCAAAAATATGTCCCAAACGCTGCAGGCTTTCCTCAGGGGGGAGTCACTCCATTCCCTTGATCGTTTTGGTTGTCCTTTTCAGAACCTTTTCTAACTCTGCAATATTCTTTTTGAGGTGGAGTGAGACAAATGGCCACGCTTGGCTGGGACTGAAGGGAGTTGTGCTCCAATATATCAGGGAAAGGCTGGTTTAAACTCCAGCCCAGTTCTGAACTGGCTTCAAGATGGAGTGGATATTGTCTGCTTCCATGTTAGGACTCATTAGTGCTGCTGAGCTACTCATAGAATCATAAATTGTAGGCTTGGAAGGGACTCAAAGGGTTATCTAGTTCAACCGCCTGCAATGCAGGAGTCACAACTAAAGAATTTTGGCAGCCCACTGCAAATGTCTTCAACCCCAGCAGTTTCACATGGCATTTAATGTAGTTCTCTGTCCCCCATCAAAATTTGGAAATGTCCTTTGCACAAGATGCAAATATATATATTTGTTCATAAGTCCCATTCAGCCATGTCAATGTAACATTTCTTGCTGTTACTACTTCTTCTTTTTTTAAAAGTGACTAATTAGTTTCTTCCTGTTCATTTGCCTTGCTGTGGTCTTCCTGACTTGCTGCTAATTAGTCAGTTTCTCTTCCTTGCTCAGGATAGGGGACCTTAATTACTGGTTTCCTCTTTGCAGCCAGAACAATTGCTTACTAATTCAGTGTATTCTATTTTGTAAAATTGCACTCATTTAAAGGGGGGGGCACTGCTGCAAGGAAGAAGCAAATAATTAAAGCTAACACCCCACCCCCATGGAACAGGAACTGACTAATTAAGGGAAATTCGGAAATGCCGCAACAATTGCATAAGAAGCAACTAAATATCTAACTTAATGGAAAGGGGTAAGCAGAGACCTACTAATTAAAGCAATAATAGCCCTGAAAAGTCTCAATAGCAATTTGGGCAGATAATTGTGTTTGAATTAAAATAATACAATCACCACTATCCAGGTCAGGAAAGTGATGAAAAGTCAATGTGGGAAAAGAGGGATGTGCAGGGATTGGTAGAGATGGCTACCGTATTTTTCGCTCTATAACACGCGCCCGACCATAACACGCACGTAGTTTTTAGAGGAGGAAAATCCGTAGGCATGCCACCCGTAGGCATTCCCTCCATAACACGCACAGACATTTCCCCTTACTTTTTAGGAGGAATAAAGTGAGTGTTATGGTGCAAAAAATACGGTAGTTCAGATGACAACCTTGAGTTAGGTTAAAAAGAAATGTCACTAGATCCTGGGGCAGTCCACATTTATATTGGTCTATTCTGACCTCTTTTTTTGAATGGTGACCTGGACCATTCACAACGTAAAGATATTCTTCACAACTGTGAGCAGGGCAGGGGGGTGGGGTAAGTGAAGACAAATACTGGTATATATATTGTTGTTTGCTCCTGCTCCTGCTCAGGCTGCAGGGAAAAAGCAACTTGGATCCTGGAATTCATTCTGATTGTGCAGATAAAATATGACTGATAGAATTCTATAGGATGTGGTATTAGTGTGCGAAAACAGTCAAGATCCAGTGATCCCCAGGCATGCATCTCCAGATGACAGAGATGTGAGGTGCCATCCTGGTGCCCAGGCATCTTCACTTGTTCGCAAGGGGTCAATAGGTGCAGAATCCACCTGGTGCCTGGCTAATTTCGAACACTGGTTTTCACTATACTGTGGTCTACTAAGAAGAGTTTGGATTTGATATCCCGCTTTATCACTACCCAAAAGAGTCTCAAAGCGGCTAACATTCTCCTTTCCCGTCCTCACAAACACTCTGTGAGGTGAGTGGGGCTGAGAGACTTCAGAGAAGTGTGACTAGCCCAAGGTCACCCAGCAGCTGCATGTGGAGGAGCGGAGACACAAACCCAGTTCCCCAGATTATGAGTCTACCGCTCTTAACCACTACACCACACTGGCTCTCCACAGCTGCAGGGGCAGGAGGCAAAAAACCTGGCTTTAGCCCTAGCCAGCAGCACTCCCTTGGCCAGAAGAAAGGTGGGCTTCTTTCCACTGGAAGCAGTTGAGCTGCCTGCAGCTGCACCCGCATCCTCGAAAGGAGCAATATCTATGACACGCAATAGAGCAATGCACAATAAATAATAATAATAATATATTATTTATACCCCGCCCATCTGGCTGGGTTCCCGCAGCCACCCTGGGCAGCTCTCAACAGAATACCAACAACAACCATAAAAAAGCGATAAAATGTCAAACATTAAAAACTTCCCTAAACAGGGCTGCCTTCAGATGTCTTCTAAAAGTCAGATAGTTGTTTATTTCCTTGACATCTAATGGGAGGGCGTTCCACAAGGTGGGCGCCACTACCAAGAAGGCCCTCTGCCTGGTTCCCTGTAGCTTCCCTTCTTGCAATAAAACAAGATATGCCTTGAAACAGCTGTGTAGAAGGCAATTAATAAATCAGTGATCATGGTGATAATGACAGTAGTAAGCATCTGAAGCAGCATGATCTTAAACTGTCAGTTACACCCTCAGGATGGAGTAGCACCCTCTTACACCAGGACAGCAAAATGGAACAGGAAAAGAAAATCCCCTGCTCTTGTGACCCCCATGTGCAAGTGGGACTCTGCCAGCACAAAGGAGGGAATCAGGTAGAGCTGGAATGTGTGGGAGACTGAGTGGATTTCTGACTGCCTCCTCCCGAAGGTGACCAAATGCTACGCTGTTCTATTCTGAGTGATGGCCACAACAATCTGAGGGTTTTAGCTCAATCAGGAGGTTCATGGCATACTTTGAGGGCCCAGCGAAGCAGAGTCAGGTGAGACAGAGGACAGAGCCCAGATTTCTGTGAGGCTGAGCAAGGTTAGGCCAGGCACAGTTCAGCTTCTTCTGATGAAGCAAAGTAACTACTGTAAAGCAAGGCAGGTATTTAGGATGCAGGTAGCACCCTGGACAGCTCCAGAAAGAGCTCAAGCCCAAGACTCCTAAGAGCAAGTCTCAAATATTGCTTCAGCAACACACACTCCCAGATCAAGCCTTAAACAGAGCTGAAGTTACCCTCTGGTCAGCTAAAGAGATGTGGCCTGCTTCAATACCTGTTGACTCTTAAGGATGCAGAGGAGCAGGAATTCCACTGGGGTTTCTGTGCTTGGCTCCTTGGGAATCTCTTGTGCTGGAGCTACTGGGGCCACGGAGGACATCCAGAGCCATGTCTGATGGCCATACACTCTCCCAGTTAGATACCTCCTCTGCATCCACAGCCTCTTCTTCTGAAGATGGTGAGTTGGACTGCAGGGCTATGGCATATAACCTCATTGGAGGTTTTTAGAAAGAGGTCAGAGATTCTTCAGATGTGATTTCTGCTTTGTGGGGCAGGGGCTCTTGTGCTTGGGTCCTGCTGGCAGGTTTCCTGCAGGCATCTCATTGGCCATGTGAGAATAAGATGCTGAACTACATGGGCCACTGGCCTGGTCCAGCAGGCTTTCTAGATGTTCTTAAGGCATCTTCCTTTTTCTCACAGGCACCTCTAGTCTAACAGGGGTTTAAAACAATGCAAAAACCTGCCAGCTCATTTGCCCAAAGCTGAAAATGGGGTGAGCTTAGATGCAATGAGCAAATATTCCTTTCCCGGCTGCTTTCAATTCGGTCAATTCCAGGATTGATTTGGTACCTGCCTGTGGCTTTATTAACTCGCAAAAGCATGATAAATGTTCTGTTCCTCTCCATTTTGTAAGCTGCACAGCTTTTAAAGCCGGAAGGAGGGCTTCGTAAGCTGTGCTTTCTGCAAGTCTGTGTGCCTGAGAACTAGAGAGAGACCCGTGCTGTTCTGAGGTTGCTAATGGTTCCAGTTCTGGTGGTTCTTTCTGCCGGAATTGCTTCCCAACCTGTTTGAAAAGGGAAGTGGGTGGCAGTGGTGCACAATTACAACACTGAAGTAGTTGCTGAAAAGCTGTCTCTCACCCAGGATAATAATGCAGTAGGATTGAGAGCAATTTCTGCCTGCTGGGAGGCAGAGCTGGCTCCGCAGGCTCCTTAAGAGCTTGCAGGCTTTGGCTTCGCTTCCCTGCCGATAAATCTGATTCAGCTAATGTGACATTTCCCTACAAAATGGCATTTGACAAGGTAGGGTGGGGCTCATTCAACACAGCATATATTGGTTGGGCTGTTCATGTCTTGGGCAAGTGCTTCTCCATGGGCCCTGCTCACTTACTGGGTCTACCTTCCTACCACCATTATCTCCACCTTCTCCTCTTCTTCCTCATCACTGCTGTCACTTGCTTGTCAGCCAGGCAGATGATCAAGGAGTGAACAAGCAGCGGCACCTCTTGCTCATATGATCTGGGCTAAGCCTGGTTGTCAAAAAGAAAGCTTTCGATTGGCCTGGCCCCCGAGCAGCCCTGGTCCCACAGTCTCTGTGCCATTCCCAATTTTTTATTAAACAACCTCTGTTGTTGTTTGGTTGGAGGGAGGTTTTGTAGGGGTTGCAGCCTGCTTTGTATGTGTGTGTTATTTTTTTGCGATGGTGCAGGCGTTTTGCCTGCCACTCAAGGAGTGTCTCTGGGTATTGTCAGTTTTTCTTCTCTGAAATGGTTACTTTGTGGTGCCCACGACATTTTCTTGGGTTTCCAAATATGTGCCTAGGCCTAAAAAGTTTGCTGTAGTAGGAAGCCATGCCAGCATCTCTGTTGTTGTTGCAGCAGTTCTTCTAATCTAGAGGTCCATGTGCCAAGATTTGTCTGTACTTGCAGCCTGCTTTAATTGGAAGCACAAGGCGTTGATTGGTCCCAATTATTTTCGGTGGTGTTTGGAAGGTCTCTCCTTCCAGGGAACACTGGAGAGAAACTGGCTACTCTTTAGAACATGAATTCCCCTGTTTTACACCTTCCTTCCTTTTCACACAGGATGCCATTGGTATAAGAAAGAGCAAAGGAAAGAAAATGCTGTCAGGCTGAACACAGAGGCTGTCCCCTGCTGAGGATGCAAAAAGCATCCTCTGTGCTTTAAAAAGCAGCTTCTGCTCCCAAGAACTTGCAACCGACCTGAACCCTAGAGGGGCCTTTTGGGGTTTCATCAGTGCAAGGGCTTTTCACAAGGGGGATTTTATATATATATATAAACAACAACAACCAAAAACTCACAGGGTTTTATGAACTCACTAAGCTGTTTGGCAGCTGGGTCCAGACAATGAAATACTTATAGACAGTTGCCCAGCTTTGGACCAGGAGAGCATCTGTGCCTTAAGTTAATGAGCCTTAGCCATGTCTTGTCTTAAGGCTGGAGTTCGGTCTGAATGACCCACTGTCTCCAACCCCCAACCCTATAATCCAGTTAATAGAATTGGGTGGCTAGGAAAATGCCCAACAAGTGTGCATTCTCCCCTACCTTGCAATGCTTATAATCACTAAATCATATAATTGTAGAGTAGGAAGGGATCACAAGGGTCATCTAGTCCAACTCCCTGCAATGCAAGAATATTTTGCCCAACAGGGGGCTCAAACCCATGACTGTGAGATTAAGAGTCTCATGCTCTACTGTCTGAGCTAATGGTACCAGGGGCATCATCAACACTCAGGATTAGCTGTCACCATCTAGTTCTCTGTAAATTTCTGTTTTTTCTTGCCTTAATGTGTGTATATACTGCTGTTTTAGGCTTTTTAAATGCTTTAGTAACCTATTGTTTGCCTTTTCGACTGTACACTTCTTTTTGAAATATTAAGCAATTTGTAAATGCCTACACAGAGAGAGAGAGAGAGAGAGAGAGATGAGAAATGATAGGTAGATGATAGATAGATAGATAGATAGATAGATAGATAGATAGATGGATAGATAGAAATATAGAGAGACATCTCTAGAAAGAGCTGCCTGTCTTCCACTCCAGCAGTGGTCTAGTGGAACAGGGACTTATTTCTCAGCATGGGCCATGATGTCATCTCCTGAGATGGTCCTTGCCAATCTTCTGCATGCCAAGTGAATAAACTTTTCTCAAAGAGAAACCCGTCAGATAGGCTCAGCAGAGGAAGAGGCAGGTTACATCAGAAAGAATGGCTCAGGGCTCAAGTGGCAATGGCCACCTTTTGTTTTAAAAATCCCCATGTTCCTTCATGATGACCAACCAGAATGTCCCAAGCATTGGGATCTGCTAAAACGCAAACAATAAAACAATCAAAACTTCTAAAACCAATTCTAGGACAGACACAGACTGGGCAAGATCTCTCTTCTTCTTGTTGGAAGAAGAAGGTCTTCAGTTGAGGTGTCAAAAAGACAAAGGGAGCCTGTGTGGTGTAGTGGTTAGAGTGTTGGATTAGGACCTCAAATCCCCCACTCAGCCATAAAGCTCAATGGGTGTGACGTTGGGCCAGTCACTGCCTCTCAGCCAAACCTACCTCACAGGGTTGTTGTGGGGATTAAACGAGGAGGGGGAGGAACCATGCATGCCACCTTGAGTCCCTTGGTGAAAAAGGTGGGATATAAATGTTGTTTAGTTGTTTAGTCGTGTCCAACTCTTCGTGACCCCATGGACCAGAGCACGCCAGGCACTCCTGTCTTCCACTGCTTCCCGCAGTTTGGTCAGACTCATGTTCGTAGCTTCGACAACACTGTCCAACCATCTCAACCTCTGTCATCCCCTTCTCCTTGTGCCCTCAATCTTTCCCAACTTCAAGGTCTTTTCCAGGGAGTCTTTTCTTCTCATGAGGTGGTCAAAGTATTGGAGCCTCAGCTTCAGAATCTGTCCTTCCAGTGAGCACTCAGGGCTGATTTCCTTCAGAATGGATAGGTTTGATCTTCGTGCAGTCCATGGGACTCTACTGCAATGAAATAATAAACAGAGGTGGAGCCCGCCTAATATTTAATGGGAGGAAATCGCAAAGGGTAGGAGGTGCCACAACACTAAAAGAAACACAATGGCATTTTGTCCAGGACAGGTACTATCTGTGCTGTGTGAGTATTTAAGACCTCAGTGGCTGTGGTGTTGTGAATGTTACCCCAGAAACAACCGTGGGACGGCATGCCTCACCCCATCCCTCTCGGTCACTCTCTGCTGAACATCACAGCGAACGTGACTTTTGCAAGGGAGTGTTATTGACCACCCCCACCGCCTCCATTGGCTTAGCGGGTCAATCGATATCCCCCAATGTCACTCAGAGATGAGGCTGACCTTCCTCTTGAATGGAAAGTGACTGGGATCTATTTCCATGGCCTGCGCGGGAGATGCCCTCCAAACGTGTCAAGCCCTCTCCTCTGCAGACCCAGACAGACCTCTCAGACTCAAACGCCCCCCTTGGTTCAATGGAGCCGGGCTCTGCTTTCAGTCCCCCTCTCTCTCTTGCCTTAGGAATCGTATTGCACGCCCTTTGCTTGCCTTGCAAGGAAGGCCTGCCCATTGCTGGGGCCGCCCTTGCGGGAAAGCACTCTGTCTGGCGCAATGAATAATTGAAGCGGTATAGATTCCTTAAAGTGCTTTTCTGGAGGGTGGGGAGGCGTTTATGGCGAGGTGGCAGCCGCCTGGCTCTTTCTGCCTGAAAGGTTTCGGTGGAGAGCACCGCAGTGCTTCGTGCTGTCTGTCCCACAGGCTGGAAGGTGAGCTGCCTGCCTGTTTAAAACGGGCAGATGCTCCAAGTTTCTTTTTTAAGTTGCCTTCCCAGACAAATCCAGCAGCTGCAGTGTGTCCCCAGGGCTATGGTTCTGTCAGTATCCAAAGCCACCCCCCACCCCCCGACTGGTGTGTTATTGTGGGTTTCTTGTACAACATGTTCCCGACACAATAACAGTGCATTAGCGGTGGATTTATTCTGCTTTATTAGTTGATCTCTGATGTTTCCCCAGTGATTCTACCATGTCATTGCTGTCTGGAAGGGCTATCAAAAGTCAGCCAACCCCCACCCACCCTCAGAAAATTTTCAGTATGCAAAGTTTCATATAATTGTAGAATTATAGAGCTGGAAGGGACCCTGAAGATCTAGGGTCCAATCCAGTGCAGGAATATGCAGTTATCCCTCCACGGTTGAGACAGCAACACTTCTGAATCCCAGGCACTGGAAGATGGGAGATAATTGTGTTTGAATCCAGTGTTTGTGCCCAGCAGCATAGCAATGCTTTCAGCTTCTCCTGCTGTCCTGCAGCGCCCGTGTCGCCCAGCAACCCCCCTGCAGCCCAGCAACCCCCAGGCCACCCCACGGTCCCCTGTGGCACCTGGTGCACCCCTCCCCTCCCAGGCCTTCCTATGCTACTGCTTGCTCCTTTCGCACAGGCATCTGGTTGGCCACTGTGAGAAAAGGATGCTAGACTCAATGGGCCATGGGCCTGATTCAGCAGGGCTCGTCATATGTTCTTAAGGGGAATCAGGCCTGCTAGGACAACTCCCAACAGCTGCAGCTCTTGCCAAGCTGAACAGAAGAAGCTGGCTTGGACAGAGTCAGATCCTTACACCAGCCAGCAGCTCATTGTCTCCATATTCAAAGCTCTCCAGAAAAGAAAGGCTTCTCTCTCTCTCTCTCTCTCTTTCTCTCTCTCACATGTGCCGTATTCACAGTCCTCCCCATTGCCCTCTCTACCTTCCTCTGGTCATCCAGAAGGCTGAAGAATGCAGTGTGTGCAACAATATAATCTGCGCCAGCATTTCCTTGTTGGCAAGAAGGAAATGGTAAGAAAGCATCAGCTGGAGAGAGAGAGAATAAGTGGTGTAAGGCCACAAACATCCCTTAATTAACATTCCTGAGTTCTGAGGTGTTTCTTTGGAGACAAAGCACGCTGGACTCTTTCTCTCTCTCTTTGGTCCAAGCCAAAAATGAGCCAGGATCCCAGAAAAGAAAGCCTTGCGATGTGCTTTCGATGTGGAAAGCGAATGTTCCTCCTGGGAAATGGAGAAGGGGCAAAAAGGACAGAAACGCCCCCCAAGCTCACCAGAAAGTCGGCCTGGAAAACTCAGTGCAAGGAGGCAAGGGATAAATTGTACTATCATGCCACCTCCAGAACATCCACATATAATCAGAAATATGTTTATTGGGACTGAAAAGCCCCCAAAGCCGGCCAGGTACCAGATGGCAATTCTTAAAATAGAAATGGGTGTTAATATAATCTCATTCCATTAAAATAATCCATAGAAACCTCCTCTGTTGGGGTTGTGGGGGCCTTGAAGTGAAACAACAAAATCTTATAAAAGGGAGTAAGATTACACTATGGGCTGTGAGTGGAGATAGATGACGCTGAGTCTGTTCTAGTTGTGGGATCTTGGGTTGCCTCCAAACTGGCACTGTTTTGCAGGAGACACTCAAGCACATACCAGAAATGTGGGGGATGTACAATCAAAGTGGGGTGACACAAATCTATTTCTTTAAACAATCCAATTCTAAAAAAAAAAAGCCCAGACTTTTTGCAGAGAACAGTGATGGAGCAATGCACTGAAAAGTGTGGGATGAACAGGTGATTGATGAGAAGACTTATAAAGAAATCAGAATGAATGCCCATCGTCATAAATCAAATCAAGAGGAATGCTCAATAAAGATAGGACATTGTCTAATCTCAGCGTAAGCTTTGTGAAAGCAAATCAAGATGAATGATGCCCAAGAAGCATGCTGCCTAAAGAAACCCTCAGCAAAATGATCTTTGAGGTGGCTCTCCCACCTTTCCCCCTACCATGTACCATATTTTTCGCTCTATAAGACGCACCAGACCACAAGACACACCTAGTTTTTGGAGGAGGAAAACAAGAAAAAAATATTCTGAATCTCAGAAGCCAGAACAGCTGCACAGTGAAAGCAGCAATCCCTCTTGCTGTTCTGGCCTCTGGTATAGCTGTGCAGCATGCATTCGCTCCATAAGACGCACATACATTTCCCCTTACTTTTTAGGAGGGGAAAAGTGAGTCTTATAGAGCAATAAATACAGTATTTCACCCTGTACATAGATCAGCTTTCTCCAGCCTGGTGCCTTCCAGATGTTTTGGACTACAACCCCCAGACACCATGACTGAGGAAGGCTGCTAAAGAGTAAACAGCTTGCTCTGGGTGTGTGCAACTACCACATTCTGTATTGGGTGCCAAAATACATTTCTCAGCATTTGTAAGTTTCTAGTCCTGACACTGGGAAAATGAGCTGGAGAAAGTGTGGACAATGCCTGTTGAGCTCTTGGGGCTGTGTAGACTTGATTCTGTTCGGCTTCTTGACCTTTCTAATATTTAGCAGAAATAAGCTATGCATAATTTTTTTTAATGCATTTGCTTCATATGCATAAACTCTTCAGGTTGCACAATCAGAGGCTTTTCTTGGCATGCATTTTGGACGTGCAGAAAGTGAATCAGTCCAGCCCTGCCTCACAAGTGGCCAAGAATCTTGCTGGGGAGGTGGCAACAGGCAGAACTGGAAGGCTTCTATGGAGTTCTGCCTTCAGGCTCCTTGCTGTACATTCATATTTTTCTTATATAACGGGGTGGCACTGGAGAGAACAGCTTAGAAATCTGCCAGCGTGATGGAGCTCCTTTGTCCTCAGGCCCCTGCTGACTCACTGATGACAACTGACTTAAATGTCCTACTTCATAAAACTCCTCTGTGTCAAGTAAGGACAGCTTCCTCCCAGGATGGTCTTACTGATGCATGGTGTGATTTGGAAAATGTTTGCAGCTGAAACATAGCCGGCAAGGAAGCTCCCACTTTTGTATCTTTCTGGCCACCAGAGAGTGCCTCAGAATCTCAGTTACCTTTGGGCAGAATTTGGGATTTTTTAATTTAAAAAATACAGACCTGACACACCCAAGGGCATGTGAAGAAACAAAGTACAGCTCCCGTATTTGCAAAGAAAGGAGCATTTTAGCAGATTCAGCTTGCCGTGCATGGGTAAGAAATGTGATTGGGTTGCTTTGTTCTATAATTTCCAGCTTGCCTTTCCAAATTACAGTAAGCTATTTTTATGATGATTTGCAACAGTGGATACAAGCCCTGTGTTGTTTCCAGCAACTGGAAGACTCAAGACCAGACCTTATATTCTGTGGCTTCCCAGACTGCACCCTGACCCCAGCTGCTGGTAAAAAAGGAGTTCCAGGAATTGCTTACTCACAAGTAGGCAACATACTCAAGAGTGGCATGACAACTCTGGGCTGGAAGGTGCATGTCGTGCCGTCACTCTGGCGCCTGCGTTCTTGAAGCTCCAAGGCTTCTTCAGCAGATTTCCTGCTAGAGGGATCTCCCAGGGGATCCTCAGCAACTGGTCCAAGTGGAAGCTCTACCTGCTCCCCAAGGCCTTTGACCTGTAGAGTGTCTGGTTTGTCCTCCATGTACTCAACAATACATGTGGAAAGTATCTAGAGATCTTAGTAGATCACAAGCTTAACTGGAGCCAACATTGTGGTGCAACAGCAAAGAAAACTAATGCAATTCTAGGCTGCATCATCAGAATAGTGACCAGATCAAGGAAAGTCATGGTTTCATTCTATTCTGCCTTGGTTAGACCACACCTGCAGTAATAGGTCCAGTTCTATGCACCACAATTTAAGAAGGATATTGACAAGCTGGAACATGTATAAAAGAGGGCAACCAAGATGATCAAGAGTCTGAAAACTTAGTCTTATGAAGAACTGTTGAGGGAGTTGGGTATGCTTCGCTTGCGTAAGAGAAGATTGAGATTGATATGGGAACCATTTTCAAATCTTTGAAGGGCTATCACATGGAAAATAGGGCAAGCTGCTCCAGAGGGTAGGACCCAAACCAATGGACTCAAACCAATGGACTCAAAGGTGGTGAACTCTCCTTTATTGGAGGTTTTTAAGCAGAGGTTGGTGACCACCTGCTTGAGATTCTTTAGCTGTGATTCCTGCATTGCAGGGGTTACTCTTGTGGTCTTTTCTAACTCTACAATGCTATGATTCTATTACTTGGTGTCTGGCATCAGGTCAGGTCGAGGCATGACAGGCAGGTGGCAAACCGTGAATGGCCTGGGCAGAGCCATGTTCCATTCACTTTGGGAGTGCAACAGTTTTACAAGGCAATGTGGATGAAGTTGCTGAATGATGAGCAACTTGTGTTCATTACCCCTTCTCCTCATGATAAGTTGCTTGTTTTCTGGGCAAGGAGGGGGCCTGTGTTGGCTCCAGAGTTCTTGTAATATAGGCCAGGTGTTTCAGCACCATGGGGAGCTCTGAGGGAGCCACTTGGCTCCAGCAGGGCCTAGAGGACCAGAGTCTCTGCCTCCCATCTGTTGCTCCTCAACTCCACCTACTTTGTGAGATTAGCAATCCTTAATGAACCAACCCTCTGGTCTACAGATGGGCATTTCTTTTGTGCTTCCTGGCCTTCCACCTGGCACGTATCCTGTGTCATGGAGTAGACTAAGAGACCAATGGATTCAAATGACAAGAAAGGAGATTCTAACTCAACACAAGGAAGAATTTCCTGACGTTAAGTGCTGTTTGATAGTGGAACAAGCTCCCTCAGAAAGCAATGGACTCTCTTTCAATTGAAGCTTTTAGATAGAGGTTCAATAACCACCTGTCAGGAATTATTTAGCTGTGATTCCTGCATTGCTCCTGAGTTGGAGGAGAGTTGCAGTCCCTTCCAACTCTACAATTCTGTGATTTTGTGAACATGAAGAAGCTGCTGATCTGGAGTCAGGTGTTTCCATAGCTCTTTGGGCAGCTGACCTTCCTCCCCAAAAACACAGATACACATATACACACTCCAAGGACTTAACTGGATGGAGGTGGTCATTGGAATCCCTGGTGTTACACTGCCAATGTGACTTTCTTCAAGAGTCTCTACCACCACCTCTGCCACCACCCAGTTAGTTTTAGAAACTTGATTCCTGCCACCAAAGAGCTGGGAAAACTGTGAGTCAGCTCAGACCTTTGAGCACGAAAAGCTGAACAAAACAGGCTGTCAGAATTTGAGCTACTTCATATGCAAGGCAAAGGAGGAAGCAGAGGAAATGGCTTTTGATATTATAATTTTTCTGAATGTGGATAAGACAGGCTTGGAATGCACCATTCATGAGGCTGGATTCAGCAAAATCAGGGGATAAATAGTGCTACATTACAATGGGCTTAAGATCCTTGACATGCAGTTAGCCTGCTCCTAGACAAAGTAGTTTATAAAAATGGTAAAGATTTGACTCAGAAATATCACTATGGCGTAGAACTGGCTCTGCTCCCTTACACTATCGGTAATTCAACGAAATCTTTCTTTGTTGACTTCATCAGGCGAGTGATAAATGGATAGAGGAAGAGGGCAATATATTCTCCCTTGTCACTTCCCAAGTGATGTTGCATAAATTAATATGTTTCTGCATATCCATAATAAACAAATGCAGAAGGCATGGAAGTCTGCCAGTCTTTCAGGTGCCACAAGGCTCTATTGTTTAAACTCCATGTGGATTATCATTATTTTGAAAGTACCTAACAGTCTCCTAAGAGGTCATTAGAGATTTTAATTTTAAAAGTGATTAAAGTGCAATGACTGCCTAAGTCCTCTGTTGTGAGTGTACAAGCAGTGTGTACTCTGGACTACCCCCTCCCCCCAAAAAAATCCTTATTTTTGTTGTTGTTGCCAAGATCCTGAGAATTTTCTGAAAAGCCTAAATTGTGAACCCAAATATTTCGCAGGTTAGAAGCAAATCAGTACAGATTGTCTTATCTTTCCTCATTTATCCTGGAGTCTCCTGGAGTCTTGGCAAGGCAAGACTGAAGCTGCCATCAATCTCTTCCACCTCCTCTCGCTTCTGACCTTTGGGTTTCAAGCTTACCTCTTCCCCCATATGGACTAGGAACTTGCTGAGTTCTATACTGATCATACTGACTTTGGGGGTTTCACAAAGCAGTTGTAGCACTTGAAGGCACAGCCATTGTGTGGGTTTGTGCATGGACTTGGATGGAGGCTGCTCTTCCTTTCGGCAATTCTTTTTACCATGGTGTGTGTGTGTGTGTGTGTGTTGGAATCATGAGTCACTCCCCAAAGTCTTGGAAACTGCTGGCTGGATGTGTGAGAGCCTCTGTCCTGAGACTCTCACATGACGCCAAGAACCCTTTTTGTGCAGGATGAACTTTCTTCCCATTCAGCCCCTAAAAGAGCCATTCATCTCTGGGTGCTCCAAGGGGCTGAGTCTCCTGCTGTTTCTGCCATACTGAGCAGCCTTCCAGGGGACCCGGTGCAAAAGTCACATCCAGCTGCAGCTGCAATCTTGCCTTTCCCAGCTTATGGCAGGCGCAGAAGCTTCAGAGTTGTTTACAGGAAATACAGCAGGGCGAGGAAGGGCCCCCTCTCCCCAACCCCCCTCCCTCCCCTTTCTCCCTGCTCTGACAAATTCACATGGGTTGCTTATGGATGACTTCCGCTCTTTAGAATGGAAATCTGGGAGAGAGCTTGGCTGGGTGACCAAGTGTATGGCTGTGTATGTGTAGATGAGAACACACATAATAAAAAGAGGGAATGAACTGCAGGCTCCTTGCTATCAGCTTTGTAAGTCAAGCGGGTGCATTGGCCAGCACTGGCACTGTGGTGTAAACGACTGAGCCTTGGACTTGCCGATCAGAAGGTTGGCAGTTCGAATCACTGAGATGGGGTGAGCTCCCGTTGTTTGGTCCCTGCTCCTGCCAACCTAGCAGTTCGAAAGCACGTCAAAGTGCAAGTAGATAAATAGGTACCGCGGGAAGGTAAACGGCGTTTCTGTGTGCTGCTCTGGCTTTGCCAGAAGCGGCTTAGTCATGCTGGGCACATGACCCGGAAAAACCGTCTGCGGACAAACGTCGGCTCCCTCGGCCAGCAAAGCAAGATGAGCACTCCAACCCCAGAGTCGTTCGTGACTGGACTTAACTGTCAGGGGTCCTTTACCTTTATATATATATAAATTCTACTCCCCACCCCATACCCACTGCCTTGAGGTACATCTTTGTGAGAAGAAAAGGCTATGGAGTAAACCCTTCACAAACCTGGAACGGAGTCTGTAAGATGGTTAGATGGCAACTTGTACGCCTCCTCCCAGCAACTCCTGCAGCCAGATTGGTGCCAAACATATTGCTCTGCTTTCCTTTGGACCACATCAGCGAGGCTGAGAGGGAGATCTTGTTGTCTGGGTAGCCCGGGACCTCCATACATACTGCCTAGGCTTGCACTCCATTGTTTCTCAAGACAGACTGATGCCAATAACAGTTACACCCCACCCCAATCTCATTGACAGCCGAACAGATCTTGCTTCCCCATTGGATCCAGCAAAGAGCAAGCATGTCTCTGCATCTCCTCACTCACTCACACCACTTTGGCTATTATTCTCCTACTGGTAGTTATATAAGGGTGGTGGTGGTGGAAGAAATGCCCTCCCATTAGCCTGGATGGTACTATCCCCTAGTTTTAGCTCTTGCAACCTAGCTCATTATTTTGTGGTGGTGAAGAGGACTCTTAAGTAGCCAGTTAAGATCTTACATTGTCTTACAAAGAGTGAACTCCCTCCCTCCATGCATTTGGTGGGCTTGTTGTTCTTGGCAGACATGCAGGCTTGCTCTCTGGTGGGCAGCCGAGCTGTGAGTTTCAGCAGGATGTGAAGTCTGGTTTATTCTCTCCAGAGACCGGGATCTGGCTGACACTAGATTCCCATAGACCAGAGGTTGGGAGCCTCAAGCTCTGGGGGCCAAATGCAGCACTTCAGGACTCCCTATCCGGCCCAGGCTTCCCAGGCCATGCCCCTCACAGGCCCCGTGCTGCACACTCCTTGGGGGCATTTGGCTTGACTGGGGAGTGTCCTTGAACTCTGATACAATCCCCCTTGCTTGCCTGGATGAAGGATGCAGAGATCTGTGCAGGGCTGAAATATAAGAGTCCCACCTGTTGCTTGACCTCCTTTTTGCCTCCAGCCACACCCACTATTGACTCTGGCATGTGGCCCCTAGGAAGGAATGTGTCCCTTGGCTCCACACCCCTGAGACAGGCTGTGGTCTGACCTTTATGGTATTACCGTATTTTTTGTTCCATAAGACGCACCTGACCATAAGACGCACCTAGTTTTTAGAGGAGGAAAACAAGAAAAAAAAATCTGAACGAAACAGTGGATGTATGATTTTTGTGGTTCATGCTGTGACCACAGACATGTGATTTGACAGTGAGTTTGGAGTAGCCCAATGCAAAAATCCTGAGGATCCATTTGGATCCATGCTTTGTAACCACGTTTTTGCGCCATTGCGGCTCCAGGCAACAGTGGGTGGGTGATTTTTTGGTGCAGGCTATAGCCATGGACATGCTATGTGATCTGATGGTGAATTTGAGGTGACCCAATGTAAAAATCCTGAGGATCCATGGGCTTTTACCTCCCCCTCCCAGGCAGCCTCCTTTATTGCTAGCTTCCCTTATCTCCCTCCCCAATCGCTTACTAATCAGCTGCTTCCTTTCAACACCCCCTTCCCTCTTGTTTGCCTTAGTGTCTTTTCCTTAGCTGGAGCAGTTTTTTTGCTCCTCCTTTTCTTCTAATTTCTCTCCTCATTGCTTAAGCCTTCCTGTCTCCTCTCCTTGCAAGTTTGCTATCTTTACCTCCTCCCTCCCAGGCAGCCTCCTTTATTGCTAGTGTCCCTTATCTTGCTCCTGTTCACTTGCCAATCAGCGGCTTTGTTTCAACACCCACTTCCCTCTTTCAAAAAAAAAAGAAGCAGCATGATCTGCATTTTGCCCCTGGGCAATTCAGCTCCAGGGATCACACATTCGCACCATAAGACGCACAGACATTTCCCCTTACTTTTTAGGAAGAAAAAAGTGCGTCTTATGGAGTGAAAAATACGGCATTATGGGTGTCTAGGTGCCAAAACGGGGGGTGTACTTCTGTATCTTGTTGGGTCTCCCTTTCTGTTTTAAGTGTGGGAGCCTGAGGCACCCCTCATAAAAGGTGACATTGCTATAACCCCCCTCCAAAAAAACCCCTCTACGTTTCCCCCTTTGCAGATGTCATGGCGGCCGCAGTATCGCAGCTCCAAGTTTCGAAACGTCTATGGCAAAGTGGCCAACCGAGAGCACTGCTTTGACGGGATCCCAATCACCAAGAATGTCCATGACAACCACTTCTGTGCAGTGAATACGAAGTTCCTTGCCATAGTAACGGAAAGTGCCGGAGGGGGCTCCTTTCTTGTCATTCCACTGGAACAAGTAAGCGACTCTTTGTTTGATTACGATCAGCAGCGTCACATGCCACCACAATCTCCGAGCGCTGAGAGACTCTAGGGTTTCCAAAAGCTTACCACGGTCCTGTTTCCTTGGAAGGAAGGTCAGAGGAGATTGTGGGGTCTTCAGGATAGTTGATTTCATTTACTCATATATACAACCTTAGCATCAGATGGAGGGGCTCACAGAATTAACACCTCAACAGATCTTGCTTCTCCTTGAGTTGCAGCTTTGGATCCAGCACTGAACAAGCAGGTCTCTGTGTCTCCAGCTTCCAGCCTACTTCCAGTTTAGCTCTCTCACACCTCACTGGTTAGTGTTCTCCTAGCTAGTAGCTAGGTGAGGGCGTGGAAGAAAGGCACATCCGCTTCCCCTCTGGCACACAGCAGCCTCTTTGGTTATGCTAATCCGTTTAACTAGTCAGCCACAATCTTTGCCAAACAAAAGGAATGGTTAGCCAACTTTGCTTCCATATATTCTACCCCCACAAGTATAGGATCCCATGAATTGGAAGGGATTTAGGGCATCATCCAGACCAGACGTAGGCAAACTCCAGCCCTCCAGATGTTTGGGACTACAATTCCCATCACCCCTAGCTAACAGGACCAGTGGTCAGGGATGATGGGAATTGTAGTCCCAAACATCTGGAGGGTTGAAGTTTGCCTATGCCTGATCCCCCCCCCGCATGCATATCATCATCATCATCATTATTATTGCTCAACAAGCTTATGTTAACCCCAGTTTATTGTCCTTCCAACATGGGGGAGGGACTTTCTTTGTTTTGCCTTCTGTTCTCCAGCTGCTGCCAACGGCAACTCAAGTGGAGAATCTTTCTGCATGGGAAAAAGTGGAACCAGCATCTTGAAAACGTAAAACATTGGGGTGGGGGAGGGGGAATGTTTCACCCCCACATTTTCCTGCAAATGATTGCATGTGTTGACTTTGCCCTGTGGGATTTCCCTAAGATGCTTGTGTGGATTTTAAAAATTAAACATGAAAGTCTGGGTTATAAAATTTTAAACACCGAGTAATTTTAAACCGACTTCCTGGAAATGGGCCTCAGGGAGGATGCAGGGGCACCTGTCAGTCACGTTTATTTATGGTCCAAGGCTCTCAGGCAATGCTATAATAATTGCTATAGGGTTCAGGGTGTGGCTGCAGCTTAGATGGATAGAAATGGGCTTGATTCCCTTTCCACGGAAAGGTGTTGGAGAGAGATTGATGCTGTGAACCAGCACTGCATTCACCCACAATCAATAGTGTGTGTATGTGTGTGAGAGAGACACGGGGGCGGGGGGGAAGAAAGAGAGAGAGATCCCTAACCCCAGAGCTGATAATCCCATCAGACTCTACTGGCTAGTCTGAATCTATAAACAGCCAAATATAGCCCTGGTGGGGATGTTCTTTATCTCATTTCAGCTGGGATTGTGCACCTTTCCAGGTGTCCTGCTTATCAAACATGCATCCTGACCTGTTTGCAAAACATTTCCAGGGAAATTCGATGATGTCAGCTATTCATTGAGCATATAGCCTCATTTGTTTGAACAGAGATTACACAATGTTACATTGACAGTGCATTTCCCCATCACTTCCCCTATCATAAAACATTGTGCGTGTGTGTGTGTGTGTGTGTGTGTGTGTGTGTGTGAGAGAGAGAGAGAGAGAGAGAGAGAGAGAGAGGCTTTGTTGCCCCAGAGTGCCAAATCAGCTTTACAACCTAAATTTGCTGGAGACCAGGGTTCAAATCATTACTTGGCCATGAAACTCACTGAGTGACCTTTGGGGGTTGTTGTGGGGATTCAAGAAAAAGGGGAAGAAAACCCTGTGCTCCACCTTTAGCATCTTGGAGAAAAGGTGAGCTTTCAATGCAATCAATCAATCAATCAATCAATAAATAAATAAATAAATAAATAAAGCCCTCTGCTGCACAGGGTTTTTGCCAGTGCAACTGCTGTTGTGCAACATTAAAGCTCACCCTTCCACTTGTGTTAGCAGACAGAGAATTCTGGATTAAGTTCATGTTCTGGAAGCACCCAACATCTTTGCCACGGCATTAGCAATCAGTTATCCACCCGGTCTTCCATTGTCTGTGACCAACAGCCATCACAATGTAATACACAAAAACAATACAGTCCAAGAGCTGGGGTCCTCCAGATGGCCTTTCTCTTCAGATTTCATCCTGTTTTACATGCACAAAGTTTCGGTGGCAGTTAGATCATATCCAGCCTTCAGAGAGTATTTGTTCCGATTTGTTTGCAGGGAGGTTATATGGCAACGAACATTTGTCCTGCATTCATTCTGATTTCCTTGTCACTGGCCATTCATTCAACCTGCATTTTTTAAAACCATTTGCCTAGCCATAAAAATCTTAGGTGTGAACACCTTATTCCACTTTAAACCTGGAAACCAGAAGTTCCAATATGTGACTGAATCACTCCCACAGAACACAGAATCTGGAGGTGATCTATGTTAAACATGTCACATTTCAGAAATGCAAATGGTCAAAACATGGAATTGTAAAGCTTTCCTCCCAATTTGTTCAGGGCTTAGAACAATCTTCCTGGCAGTCAACATGGATTTGCATAAAAAGCAGTCCATAACTTTCTCACTGCTGGTGTATGTGAAGCTACCCTACAGGCAGCAAACCAATCTACATTCATAGAGTCATAGAATTGTAGAGCTGGAAGGAACACAAAGGGTCAGCCAGTTCAAGCCCCTGCACTGCAGAAAGTAGCCAGCAGCCATCTAATTTTGAAATCAGCTAAATGTCCACCTAAATAATTCTGGGATGAATGCATTACTTTAAATCAGCCATGCTAGCTAGGGCCTGATGAGCATTCTTGTCCAGGGGTAGGCAACCTAAGGCCCGGGGGCCAGATCTGGCCCGATCGCCTTCTAAATCTGGCCCACGGACCATCCGGGAATCAGTGTCTTTTTACATGAGTAGAATGTGTGCTTTTATTTAAAATGCATCTCTAGGTTATTTGTGGGGCTTGCTTGGTGTTTTTACATGAGTAGAATATGTGCTTTTATTTAAAATGCATCTATGGGTTATTTGTGGGCCATAGGAATTGGTTCATTTCCCCCCAAAAAATATAGTCCAGCCCACCACATGGTCTGAGGGACGGTGGACTGAAAAAGGTTGCTGACCCCTGTTCTAGTCCAATGCATCTGGAGGGCACCAGGTTGAAGAAGGCTGGCGTCCTCTGTCCCTGCAGCCCCTGCCTGCATGAACTTTTAATTCCACCTGAGACAGATTTGAAATTGGATTGTGCTAGCCCACCACGGTCCATAAAATCATACTGATGGGCTGCCAGACTCTGCCCCTAACCCCACCCACCCATGTACAGGGAGTGGCCTTATGTGCATCTGTGAAATGGTGGAGGGAACAAGGTATTTGAACTCACTTGGAGAAGGGCCATAGTTCTGTGCAAAGTCCCAGATTCAATCATTGGTGCTTCTAGGTAGGGCTAGGAATGTCTTGTGCCTCAAACCCCAAACAGCCATTGCCCGTCTGTGTAGACAGTACTGAGCTATTTGGAGCAACGGGTCTGACTTGGTATATATAATGCAGCTTCCTAGGTTTCTAGTTGCTGGAGCTAGATAAAATCAGGGGCGCACCTTGCTGCATTTGCATAATTAACAGGTGGGTTGGGAGAACAAAGAAGGATTGGATTAGTTTCTTTGCAATCAGCTGGAGTCTTTTGAAATGAACAGACCCCTAATTAATATGCTTCTATATTTAGCAGAAATAAATTGAGGTAGCCTAGAAACTACCGAGAGCAGCCGCTTCAGCTCAGGAGTCTAAAGTCCTTGCTGCGATATTCTGGCGAGCTTTTATTAAAATGTCTTTCTTCCCCCTCATCCAGTACATTGCCTTCTCTCGGGGGACATATGTTCCCCTGCTGGCAGATCAGAAATCTTAGCTACTTATGATAAAAACCTGCTTCCCTGTTCTTACTGGAAGCCAGAAAAACTCCCACTCAGCAGACTGCAAGGCAGCTATGGGGGGGGGGGGAAAGCCCCACATGAGAAGTTTGGGGGAGAAGATGCGAGCTGCAAGAGACCTACCGATTCCTTAACCTAGACACGGCCAGGATCAAGAGCGAGAAGAAGGGAGATTGGGAATCTACTGCAGTAGATTGCTGAGCATTTCAGTTTTCAGGCAGGATCCACTTTCATAGGCGGAAATTCAGGTTGCAGAATGTTAGGTGATTGGGAGGCTAAACGTTAGAATGTAAGAGAAGCCTGCTGGGTCAGGTCAAAGGGAGCCCAATTAGTCCAACATCCTGTTCTCACAGTGGCCAACCAAATTTGCCTGTGGGAAACCCACAAGCAGGATCTGAGCACAGCCCTGTTTAGGGAAGTTTTTAAAACTGATGTTTTGATGTATTTTTAACCTTCTGTTGGAAGCTGCCCAGAGTGGCTGGGGAAACCCAGTTGAATGGGCAGGGTAGAAATAATAAATTGTTGTTGGTTGGGGGTGGTGGTGGTGGTGGACGACCATAAAGAAGGCTGATCACCGAAGAATTGATGCTTTTGAATTATGGTGCTGGAGGAGACCCTTGAGAGTCCCATGGACTGCAAGAAGATCAAACCTATCCATTCTTAAGGAAATCAGCCCTGAGTGCTCACTGGAAGGACAGATCCTGAAGCTGAGGCTCCAATACTTTGGCCACCTCATGAGAAGAGAAGACTCCCTGGAAAAGACCCTGATGTTGGGAAAGATGGAGGGCACAAGGAGAAGGGGACGACAGAGGACAAGATGGTTGGATAGTGTTCTCGAAGCTACCAGCATGAGTTTGACCAAACTGCGGGAGGCAGTGGAAGACAGGAGTGCCTGGTGTGCTCTGGTCCATGGGGTCACGAAGAGTTGGACACGACTAAACGACTAAACAACAACAATAACAAGGTTTCCGGCAACTGGTATTCAGAAGCATTCAGGAGGCAGAGTATAGCCATCATGGCCAATAGCCACTGAAAGTCTTTTCCATGAATCTGTGCAATCCTCTTTTGAAGCCATCCAAGTTGCTAGCCACCACTGCTTCCTGCAGAAGTGAGTTCCATAGTTTAACCCTGCAGAGATTTCCTGCAACAAACCTGACTCCCCCTCCCTCCAATTGGCATTTGGGAAAGTGATGCAAAACTGTGCAGCGAAGTGTGGAATGGCACTTGCTTTGATGCAACCTCATCTAACCTGCCCCGCAAGCAGACCAGAAAGAATGCTGATGAAATAGTCGGTGTCATCTCATCTCCCTGCAAAGAAAGCAGTGTGTGCATCCCCATTTACCAGCATCCGTGGCGCTCCCACCACTGGTTTGGGAAGTGAATTAGCATTACATTAGCTGCAGTCCATATCTACCTTGTATCTATCCTGTCCTTTCTTATAAAATGCTCTGTTTTCATGTTTTCCCCACCCCGAAACCCCCCAGCTTTGATCTGAATTGAGGAAAAGAATGGCCTGTCTGCATGTTAGGTTGGTAAAGTGTACACAGCCCAATTCCGGTTGAATGCTCAGTGAGTCTCAACTGCCCAACAGCAGCAATAAGGAAACAAATTTGCTCACCTGTATTAGACTGCTGAAATTAGGGGCGAACAGGAGTGGAGTTCTGTCTTAAAGGGTATGAGCTCAGTTCAGTTCTGATCAGCAAAAGAGACTTCTCCTGTACAGAAAGTGCTAGGAGGCATCCCTGTTCTTTAATTCTATCTGTAAGCCTTTTTGCACCTGGCTCAGAGTTGTACCATCGTGGAGTGCTGGGCTAAAACAAAGCAGATCAGACAAGCGCTTCGGCTAAGAGCATGAGAAGACATTCGCTATGAATTTCCCAAGGAGTAAAGGATGTATGAGAAGAAAATACTCTCCTGGGTTGTAACTGTTTAAGCCCAGAGGGATTTCATTAGAACATAAGAAGAGTCTGCAGGATTGGACCAGTGGCCCATCTCGTCCAGCATCCTGTTCTCATGGCGGCCAAGCAGGGACTTGTGGGAAACCAGGAAGCAGGATTCGAGCACAAGAGCCCTCTCTCCCCTCCTGTGGTTTCCAGCAACTGGTAGTCAGAAGCATTGTTACCTCCAACTTTGGAGATAGAGCGTTGGCATCCTGGCAAGTAGCCATCGATAACCCTCTCCTCCACGAATTTATCCAATCCTCTTCTAAAGCCAACTAGATTGGTGGTCATCCCTGCCACCTGAGATTTGGATCCTTTGCCTAGAATCAGATGGAAAAGACACCTCAGTGAAATTATCCGGTGGGAACTCAAGACACCATCTTCCCTAAGAGAAGGCTAAACAACCAGAAGTCACTGTTCTGTCTTCTGATGGTGGCACTGAAATTAGCAAGCTGCATCAGCGGTGAGGGAACGAGGCCAGCGAGAAAGAGAGAGGCAGCGTACTCGTTGAGATCTCGTAACTTGAGATTTCAGGCAGGCAGCAGAGTGGGGGCAGCAGTGGCAGGGAAGTGTAAGCAGGGTGCCCCCTCAAGCTCGGCAGTGCCCCCTCCATTTCCTAAGAATAAAGGCCCATTTCATTCCCCCAATTAGCTCCCCCAATGAACCTCTTCCTAAGCTGCCGTCTTTAATTGGGTTGACTACAGATGGAGGAAAGTACAATCAGCGTTCTAATTGTGAGACGCAGCTTGATTCCGATTAATATTCCAAAAACAAGGTACATGAGCTGCAATCGGGAGTGACTCTCCTGTCTCTTTGCCACTGAATCTCAAATCCAGAGTCATTAATATAGCACTTTAGCATCTTTTGTTGTTAACCCCTTGTGGTCAGAACAGAGCATCCATCTTGATCATCAAGATGTCCCACATCTCTGGTTTAGGAGCATAATTTTTTTCCTAATCACCTGTTGGCTGAAATGCATTTTTTCATACTTGCCAATATCATCTCCGGGGGGTTGTTGTGGACTGGGTTATTGAAGGCGCTTGACTGGACACACTGAGCAAGCATCTTTGACTATTTGTACATGGAGATGACATCACACAATGCTCATGCAGATCTCCATAGGGATCCAAACACAAAAGAACCAAACTTGTCGGCCCTTCGCTTTAAAAGCAAACTATAGGTTCACTGTGCAATTTGTTGCCCCAATGCAGAGTTTGGTTCTAGGCTACATTCCCAGAAAGTGTACCATTTAGGGGTTCTGGAGCAGTGCTTGTAAACACTTAGAACCGTAGTATTGTAGAGTTGGAAGGGATCCCAAGGGTCATCTAGTTCAACCCCCTGCAATGCAGGAATCTCAGCTAAAGCATCCATGACAATCCAGTATCCTGTTTTCATAGGCGTCAGCCAGATGCCACAGATTTAGAGGGCATCTCATACCTGGAGAAGAATGTTTCTTTTGATTCAGCCTTTGACCTTTCTATCTCCTCAGAAGTCACAGGACCAGAGGAGTCCATAATGCCAGCACCTTTCCAGTCTTAAGACATTATAGACACCAGCTCAGATGTCATAATAGATGCAGGTAATTCCTTTGTAGCAGGACAGCCAGTCAAAAGAGGCATGATAATAGCCGTCGATTGTACAAGTCCTTCCTTGATGTGTTTATTTGTTCGATGGCTTCATCAGGGTTGCCTTACATCCTGGACATTACCATGATTTCAAAGGCAGAAGTGACGTCCAGGGAGAATTTCTGAAAGGTGGCGCTTTGTCCTGTATCTTAGGCAAGTCAATTCAAAAATCATATTTCTGTAAAAATAAAAAGCCAAATAATTTCAGGTTTTCCTTAAAAAGACTCAGCAATTTTGGGGTCTTCCTAAAAAGAGCTCAACAACTTTCAAGGTGTCCTGGTGTAACTTTTTGAAATATGGCAACCCTAGCTTCATGCTTGAATTTTCATTTTGTGGTTAACACCAGGAAAGTCTAATGGTGGAAAGTGCTCTACTGGTGCCCAGCTGAGTCACTGGAGAAGAGATGGCTTTGCGTGCAGGCTATGTTCTTGGCTTGAGGCGAGCTAATTGCGTTCCATCGTGGTGGGGAAAATAGGAGGGAGGGAAGGGCTGTTGCTGAGAGGCAGGTCAGCTGCTTTGCATGCAGAAGGTCCCAGGACCAATCCCCAACAGCATCTCAGGGACTGAACCTGGGAGTGTCCCCTCCCTGAAATCCTGGGCAGCCACATTTCTAGTCAGCGTGGACATTACATAGCTAGATGAACTGGTGGTCTCTGTATAAATAAGCTCCCTCTGTTTCTGATGTGTATCCTATCAGCTTTAACATGCTTGCTGCTTGCCTCTGAACAAAACCTCCAGCCCCTCTTTTCAGAGACACGTTGGTTCACTGCTTGGCTCACGTGCCCTGAAGGTCTTAATTGCCCCACAAATTCAGATCCTGGAATCAGCATTTTGGAGCCATGGAGAGATTTGAAAGGATCCTGCAATTATCTATGTACTCTCTGTGGACTGTTTGACCTCTTCCATCCTGTTTTAATGTGTAGGCAGTGCTATTAATAACACACCCAGATGGGATTATATTTGCAGCAAGCTGAGTCAAATTTGGTGCAACGAAGAAGTCGTGTGCCCCCCTTCCAGTCTCGAACATTCCGTATCTCACTTTTAAAACAGTTTTTTTTTAAAAAAAATGCATTTTATATCCCACCTTTTTCCTCCAAGGAACTCAAGATAGCATACGTGGTTCTTCCCTTCCTCATTTAATCCCACAACGGCCCTGTGAGGTAGGCTACGCTGAGAGGCAGTGATTGGCCCAAAGTCACCCAGCAAGCTTCATGGCTGAGTGGGGATTTGAACCCCAGTCTAACACTCTAACCACTATGCCACACTAGCATGATACAAGCTGCTTTACGCATGGCATTCAAGCAGCAAGTGCTACTCTTGCCCTTCTGACTGCAAAAGCAAAGTGGAATATGTCAGTTGACCCCCATGTCAGAAGGCCAGACAAACTGAAACGAGTCTTTTACTGAATTGCAGGGGGGTCAGACTAGATGCCCCTTCAGCTCCCTTCCAAGTCCATGATTCTGTGAGTCATGTCACCACTGAAAGGTGAGGCAGTTCTTCTTTAGTCTCACAGATAAGAAAAACAAAGTCTCAAAGCAGCTAACATTCTCCTTTCCCTTCCTCCCCCACAACGAACACTCTGTGAGGTGTGTGGGGCTGAGAGACTTCAGAGAAGTGTGACTGGCCCAAGGTCACCCAGCAGCTGCATGTGGAGGAGCCGAGACGCGAACCCGGTTCCCCAGATTATGAATCTATCACTCTTAACCACTACACCACACTGGCTCTCAGGAATATGCAGCTGTCCTGAATGGGGATCGAACCTGCAACCTTTTCAGCACTACTCTCTAACCAACAGAGCTATCCAGGCTGTCAAAGGCGAGAAGGACTGGGGAAATTAGGATATTTTGGGCAGTAGCATGCAAAGAGAAACAGGGTCTGCCTTGAGCATGTAGGCTGAATGACTGACAAGTGGGGATCCATTTGGATGATTGACGTCTGCCCACGCAAGCAGCTCAGCGCTAGGAGCTGGAGGCAGAGGGGCATTTTTTGACCACATTTTGTAGTGTGTAAAATGTGCCATCTGGGTAAGAGAGGGGGATTGCTTTAACTTCGCAAGGTATGGCTTGTCTGCGCCAAGTGATGTCAAAGATAATTTTGTGTGCGTCCAATGAGGGTTTCCATAGCAACATTTAGCATTTAGACGGATGGAGTGGGTACCCAGAATGGTTGTCATTATGGAAAGAAAGAGAAGAAGAAGAAAACCTGGCTGCTAAGTGAGAGCATTTTGTTTTTAACCGTTTTAGTCTCTTTCCCATACAAAGGGAGGGGGGAACCCAAACCTGTGGTCAATGTGGTGTACAAACCATCACTGAAGAAGCATAATGGTAATTAATGGGATCACGCGTTATGCTGCAAACCATGTGTGGAAGGTCAGCACGCCTTACAGGGGGTCACTAATGTCTTTGGCCCCAAGGTCACATTTGGAATTTGGGGAGTGGCCGTGGGCACCACCCTCTCCAATTCCTTCTCCAACACAGTGCCCTCGCCAGCTCACGTTCTCTCGCAGACTCAAAGAGAGGAAGCACAATCCACCGACTCAGCTTCTCCAAGAAGCCTGGGTAGAAGTTAGAGCCAACAGAGTTTGCTTGATTTTACATGAGATTCTCCTCCTCCTCCTAAGAGGCGACATGATAGCCATCTTCAGATACACAGAAGCTTGTTTTCTGCTTCTCCAAAAGAGAAGATCCAAGCCAACAGATTCAAATGACAAGGAAAAAAGATTCCGACTAAACATTCGGAAGAATTTCCGGAGGGTGAAAGCTGCTCAGCGGTGGAATGGATAACCTCGGAAGGAGGTGGACTCTCCCTAGTCAGAGGTTTTTAGGTACAGATTAGGTGGTCATCTGTCAAGGATTCTTTAGCTGTGATTCCTGCATTGCGGACGCAGGTGGCGCTGTGGGTTAAACCAAAGAGCCTAGGGCGGTCGGCGGTTCAAATCCCCATGATGGAGTGAGCTCCCGTTGCTCGGTCCCTGCTCCTGCCAACCTAGCAGTTCGAAAGCACGTCAAAGTGCAAGTAGATAAATAGGTACCGCTCCGGCGGGAAGGTAAACGGCATTTCCGTGAGCTGCTCTGGTTCGCCAGAAGTAGCTTAGTCATGCTGGCCACATGACCCGGAAGCTGTATGCCAGCTCCCTCGGCCAATAAAGCAAGATGAGCGCCGCAACCCCAGAGTCGGCCATGACTGGACCTAATGGTCAGGGGTCCCTTTACCTTTACCTTACCTGCATTGCAGGGGGTTGGACTAGATGACCCTCAGGGTCCTTTCCAATTCTATAGTTCTATGATCTGCCTGAGATGTCATGTGATCCAGAGCCTTGGGCCTCTGGCTGTGTCAGGCTGGCCAAGTGGGTTTCCGGGGGGGGGGGGCAGGGATACCACTCCATTGTGCTGGGATGGGCATGACCTTTCCCGTAGGGCGAGGAAGGCTCTTCCTCTGCTCTTCCTGCTGGAGCCGTTCCTGTAATTTGACAAAGGCCAATTGTTCCCAGCACAGCTGCTGAAGAAATGAAGCTCTATCTCCTATCGCTGCTGTAGCTCCATAGAAAAAGAGGCTACAAGTTTAGAAGATGTTTTACATACACTGCTCCCCTCAATCACTAAATTCCAGGGGGGGGGGAATGATTTTAAAGCCTTTTTGAAAAGCTAAAGTGCTCTTTGTCAACTTGGTGCCTGCCAGATGTTTGGTGCTACAATTCCTATCAGCCCCAGATGGATGGGAGTTCCAGCCCAAAGCATCCAGGGGGATATTTTAAACTTGAAAGCAAAGTTCCAAATTTGAACTTCTCCAGATTTTGCAACAGAGTTCTCTAGCCAACCATGGTGTTTAAAGGTGTGTATATGTAAAGTACATAAGCAAGAAATGCATATATTCATGGAAATAGCATGCAAAGTTGCATTATATTAGGAGGCAATCCTTTGCCTTTGCAAAGAATGTGTGCATCCGTCCAAATTGCACAAAACATGCACATTGGGAGAAGTTTGCTGATGAATTTTCATCACACACAAACACCAACCCAGCTTGACATTCCAAGAGGAAGAACTGCATGTCCAGGAAAGCAAGAAATAAAAATGGTCTGAAATGCAGCAAAGGGATGTGGCTAGTGAAGACACACCCTCTTTCCTTCTCGCGCTGTCTCTGTAGCGCCTGCACAATCGAAGGGCTTGTTCTGCACGAAATGGTCCAAAGCGATTCCTCCTGGGTGTGCCAAGGAAGTCAGCCTGATATGTTCCATGAGCTTCAGTTTCCGTCGCCTGCTGCCATTGGCCTCCTTCCGTTGCTGCTATGGCCCTAAGAGAATAGGAGAAGAGAAACAGAACATAGGAAGATCCCTGCTCGATCAGGCCTCTGGGGGCCATCCAGTCCAGCATCTTTTTATCACAGTGCCGGCCGGGTGCCTCAATGGGGAGCCCATAAGCAGTGGCGGAGGAACCCTCTCTGGCACCCGGGGCGGGACGCCGAGGGGTGGGACGAACTGCCCGGTGATGCACGTGTGACATCCATATGGACTGCGCATGTGCGGCAGCCCGTGCACTCCGTACAGGATGCCACACATGCACAGTCCGTACAGGCTGCTGCTCAAGCACGCCATCCATATGGGCTGCCGCTTGCATGGTGACCGTACGGGCTGCTGCGCGAGTGGCATCCCATATGGACTGTGCATGTGTGGCATCCCGTACAGACTGTGCATGTGCGGCATCCCGTACAGACTGTGCATGTGCGGCATCCTGTATGGAGTGCACACACACGGCAGCCAGTACAGACATCCGTATGGATGGCGCACGAGAGCGGCAGCCCCCACACTGACTGCACGCGCCCTCGGCCACTCTACAGCTGGGGGGAGGCAGGGGCCATATTCCATGAGCTTCAGTTTCCATTGCCTGCTGTTTAGTGTGAATACCACACAATATTTTATTCATTTAGATATACATTTGTTCTCTTTACTTATTCTGTCTGAAAGCACGACCAGCATTTTTAAATGGGCACAAACTGCTTCAGAAACATTCCCCGGAATGGAATGATGTCGTAGACAGCAACCAATCTATGCTGTACACAGCCGACCTTGGCTGAAAATTTGCTGAGCTGCTTTTCTCTACACTTGACAGGTTGGGGTCCTGCCCACTTGTCAGGGTTGTCCCATCCCGGGGGGAGCTAAAGGGCTGGTCATCTAGGCCAAGAAGCTTGCCTGATTGCCCCCATTTGCAGCCTGATGCAACAAACCCACTTTTGTTTTTTAAGGACTATCTGTGGTTCGGAAGGGGACAGGGAAATAAATGCACTGGAAAGTGTGGGGTGAAGGAATTATTAACAAGAAGATGGATCAGAATGAATGTCCAATATACACCTCTTCATAAGCTTTGTACAGGCAAACTAGGTTGGATACCCAGTAAACTAGCCTGGAGGATCCCTTTGTGTTTTCTTTGGCCCTGATTCTGCTGCTCTCTGCAAGGAGAAGCTTAGACTCCTCAGTCAACTACTTCCTCCTGTGTCCCTTTGCCAGGCTCTGCAGTAAAGCTTCCTTCCAAGGCAGTAGCAAGGCAGCTGCGGAGCGTCTTGAGAAGCGGGAGGGAAGGAACAGATGGATGTAGGTTGCTGCTCTCCTTTCTGATGGACAACAGTCATGAAAGAGCAAAAAGGTCTCCCCCCTTTGCAGCTGCACTTGGAGCCCAGTGGATGTCTGGAAAATAATGTGCAGAATTTCAGGGCTGCTGGAAGCCAGGTGGCGATGGTTTGCTGCTTTCCGGCAAAGGTTCCCTCTGGCCCTACCGATCTGGTACTGCAGGAAAGAGGCTTGCAGGAGACTCTGGTGTTTGAATCAGGGATCAGAGCCTCCAAATATACAATGCTGCAGTCTGAAAGCGGCGTACTAACTACAAGACAAATGATGAATGACTGCAGAGCATCTGCTTTGCATGCTGAAAGTGGGAGATCTCTGACTAAATCCCACTGCTAGTCAGCACAGAAACTACATGGTAGACAATGCTGAGCTGATGTACCAAAGGATCTATTCAGTAGAAGATCATTTCCTCTATCCTTAAGCAATCATAAGAACATAAGAAAAGTAGCCCATCTCGTCCAGCATCCTGTTCTCACAGTGGCCAACCAAACGTCTGTGCGAAACCCACAAGCAGAATGTGAGCGCAAGAGGTCTCTCCCCTCCTGAAGTTTCCAGCAACGGGTGTTGAAAAGCATTGCTGCATCTGATCATGGAAGCAGAGTATATAACCATCCTGGCTAGCAGCCATGGACAGCCCTCTCCTCCTTGCATTTATCTAATCTTCCTGTAAAGCCATTTAGGTTAGTGGCCATCGCTTCTTCCTCCGGGAGTGAGTTCCATCGTTTAGCCATGCGCTGCATAAAGAAGGACTTTCTTTGATGTGCCCTGAAATCTCCCAGCATGCATCATCATCACTGGATGTCTGCAAGTTCTAGTATTAAATTAATAAACAAACTTCAATACAAAGTGCTTGGTTTTCTCTCATGGGGCTTCCATTCATGGGTCATCATCTCCACCCCCTAATAAAATGGAATTAGCTTGTTAAGGGAGTGAGCAACAGAGGGGAAAGAAGGTCACGGAAATATTGCCAAATGTTTTCCTGCAACGATGCAGTCAAAGGAACTTGTTTAATCCTTTAAAAGCAAGCTGAATTCTGCACCAGGGAGCCAATGTCTCATGTCCACTGCACCCTTGGGGACCCGTGGTGTCCACACCGGCCTGCCCTTGTCATTCTGGAGTGACTCCCAAACCAAAACATCTCTGAGAGAAACGAGCATTTTCAAGAGGTTGGGGGCCCTCTTGGCCAGAGCTTGTATTTAGGTTGCTTGGCAGCAGACCTGACAGGCCACATGGTAGACAGGCTAATCTCTCGCCCCTTATCTCTGCTCCCCCATCTGCCAGGCATGTCCTCCTGTGTGACCTTGAATGCCTCATTTTAGGGGAAGGGAGTGAGAAGGGGTGCAGAGAATGAAAAGCGCAGACATGCTCAGCTAGCAACTGTTTTAGCCTTTGCTGGGCTCTGCTGCATTTTCCTGCACTAGAGCAGGCATAGGCAAACTCCAGCCCTCCAGATGTCTGGGACTACAATTCCCATCATCCCTGACCACTGGTCCTATTAGCTAGGGATGATGGGAATTGTAGTCCCAAACATCTGGAGGGCCGGAGTTTGCCTATGCCTGCACTAGAGTGAAAAATGAGGCCAGCCGTCAGCCTCTCTCTCTTTTCACCAGCAAGGCTGGAAACTGGCAGTAATGCTTCTGAACACCAGTTGCCGGAAGCTGCAGGAGGGGAGAGTTGCTGTTGCACTCAGGGCCTGCTTGCATGTTTCCCAATGTCATGTCTGGTTGACCACTGTGAGAACGGGATGCTGGGCTAGACCTTAAGGCAGTCTCTTGTGATAGAAGAACCTCCATGCCCAGGGACACTCTACCTCTAAATACCAAATAATGGGGAACAACAATTGGGAGAGTGGTTGTTGCGCTCAGGTCCTGCATCCAATCAGGGGCATCTGGCTGGCCGCTGTGAGAAGATGCTGGACTAATTGGTCCACTGGACTGATCTAGCTGCAAGGCTTTTCTGATCTGTGTAAGGCTTTTGCATTTCCCACATCTGTAAGCTGGTTGAAAAGGCTGCATTCCCATGCAGCTTAAGAAAGGCAATCACATATTTCTTCTCTTCATTCCAGCTTACCTGGTTTCTTAGGCTTGCTGGTGAAACTCCTGCTTGATTCTTTGTGACTAGGCTTGGATACCCAAGAGCAAAATCCAAGGGTGAAGGGATGGCGCTGATGCATTCCCAAGACCAGGCTCCACCAAGATTTAGACAGCAGTGGGCCCCCACCATTTCCATGCATATGGTGGAAGGGAGGAACCAGCTATTTACTAATTTACTAACTGAAAGTTTAGCCCTTAATTCAGTTTTGTGGCTGCAAGCAGGTCAGGTTCCCTTTCCAGGCAGTTTATCACCTTTCTGGTGAGAGTGATAAATCCATGACTTTTGTGGTGACGAAGACTGCATATCACACTAGAGACAATAACAGTAGGTTAGATTTTCTCCTGATCTTATTTTTGCAAAGATGCTTTCCTGGAAAGGCTCGATGGACCTTGACCTGCAGGTGACTTTCCCCCTTGTCTTTTTAAATATTTTTTTTAAAGCAATCTAAAAACAGGACTGTCATTCAGGATTATATGAAAACATGACTGACCTTTTCTTGAATGTATCAGGATAGCTCAGTCGGTACAGCATAAGACTCTTAATTTCAGGGTTGTGGGTTCAAGTCCCACACTGGGCAAAAGATTCCTGCATTGCAGGGGTTGGACTAGATGACCCTTGTGGTCCCTTCCAACTCCTATGATTCCATGATGCTATGATTCAGGAACGGTAGCTGTTCAGTGGCCAGATATATCCTGTCAAAAGAGCTGGTGATTGTAAGGGTGCCTGATGGCACCCTCTGCTGGTTAAAACCTTGCTTAAACTATCCTCTCAAAAATTGTTTCTCTTTATACATTGATTCAGGCAAATAATCCAGTTTAATGTGGATTAAATATCTCTTTCTCAGCTTTTGAAAATAAAGCTTGGGCTTGCTTTGAAATTGCTGTCACTCCAGCCTGCATAGGACTTTTCAGGACAGATAAAATAAAGTCTTTATTCACACAGCACACAGTTGGTTAGAGCATGGTGCTGATAACACCAAGGTTGCAAGTTCAATCCCCGTATGGGACAGCTGCATATTCCTGCATCACAGGGGGTTGGGCTAGATGATCCTCAGGGTCTCTTCTGACTCTATGATTCTATGTCTATGGAATTTGCTCCCACAGGAGGCAGTGATGGTCACCAGCTTGGATGGCTTTAAAACAGAGGATTAGATAAAAACTCATGGAGGAGAAAGCAGTTGACGGCTACTAGGGACGCGGGTGCTAGGGCTTGCTGATCAGAAGGTCGGCGGCTTGAATCCCCGCGACGGGGTGAGCTCCCGTTCCTCGGTCCCTGCTCCTGCCAACCTAGCAGTTCAAAAGCACGTCAAAGTGCAAGTAGATAAATCGGTACCACCCTGGCGGGAAGGTAAACGGCATTTCTGTGCGCTGCTCTGGTCCTCCAGAAGCAGCTTAGTCATGCTGGCCACATGAACCGGAAGCTGTACGCTGGCTCCCTCGGCCAATAAAGCGAGATGAGAGTTGCAATCCCAGAGTCGTCCGCGACTGGACCTAACGGTCAGGGGTCTTTACCTTTACCTGTTAGCCAGGATGGCTATGTTCTCCCTCCACTGTTGGAAGCAGTGATGCTTCTGAATACCAGTTGATGGTATTCCAAGAGGGGGAATTTGTCCTGTTTGGGGACTTTCCATTCATGCATCTGGTTGGCCATTGTGAGAAGAGGAATTGTTCTCTCTGGCTTGCTTCTGTAGGGAGATTTGAGGACCCGAGCCCTGAAGAAGAGCAGAATTTAGTTCTGCAAGTGGATTAAATCTTCCAGATGCCCCAGTGGGAATCCCACAAACTCAGCGGGGGTGGGGGTGGGAGGAGAGGCTTCCCTCCCTTACCTTCACAAATGGAAGTCAGAAGCATTGCGATGGGACTGGATGGGACAATAAATAGGAGGGAGAGAGAGCCATGCAATGCTGGGGAGGAGAGAGTATTCCCCATGCTCCTTGCTCCAGAATAGCTTCCTCATTTAATACCTGGCCACTGCACCACTGCTGTCACCAACTGGGCTGGCAGCTTCAAGAGGTTTATCTTGATGCACAGCAAGCCCCTGATTATGCATTTCCAGGGAGCTCGAGCATCTGCTGCTGGCTAGGTGTAGCCCATTTTGCGGTTGCAAGAGGCAGTGTGGCGTAGTGGTTAGAGCATCAGACTAGGACCCTGGAGACCAGGGTCCTAATCCCCACTTGGCCCTGGAGTCCTTGGGGGCCAGCCACTGCCATCCCTCAGCCTAGCCTACCTTACAGGGTTGTTGTGCAGATGAAATGAGGAGAAGCCACCTTAACTCCTTGGAGGAAAAGGTGGGATATGAATGCAGTGAATAAAACAAAGTCTAGCTGTCTTAGGGGAGAATATGCATCTGTGCTGCAACAGCAGCAGGGTGGGGAATATCAGGCCAGGGAGCAAAATGCCCCCAGAGCTCTCCACCTGGCCCTCCAAATTTTCCCAAGCCACACCCCCTCTTTGCAGGCCTTGCCCGTCACCAGCCTCACGTCACTCTTTCCGCAAGTGCTTTTGCCTGGCTGGAATTTGCCCTTGACTTCTGAGGGTTCCCCTTGCTTGCCTGGAAGGATGAGGGGGTAACAGCGTGTCTAGAAACTGGCTTATGGCACAAAGGTAACATAGACATCAGTTGCTCCGCCCACTTTTGCCTCTGGTCCCACCCACAACCGCCATGCGGCCCCCCCAGAAGGTTGCCTAGTACGGAATGTGGCCCTTGGGTCCACAAGGCTTTCCCATCCCTGTGCTAGAGGCAGGGCCAGATTTAGGTTTGATGAGGCCCTAAGCTACTGAAGGTAATGGGGTCCTTTATATGTCCACCTGTCCTTTGTCAACAACAAATTGGCACTGTTTTTTGTGTTGAATATACGCTATATGGTAATTTATGGATCTAATAGGTATCTAAAGCCATTTGCACATAACAAAATATGTATTTTATCAAAGTAATTGTTGAACTGAAATTTTATTTTATTGTTTTCTACCTTATATTTTGGAAATGTGCATCCAGGTGTGTTTTTTTCATTTACATTTTTTTAGGGGCCCCAAGAGAGTGGGGCCCTAAGCTATAGCTTGTTTAGCTTATACGTAAAACCGGCACTGGCTAGAGGGAGGGTTTTGTTTTTATTTTTCAAAAAGGAGAATTGTGGGAAGTCATGTGGTGTCGCCGGGAGGGGAGAGACTATTCAGAATCCTTCCCCCCTTCCATCCACCCACCTGGTCTGGTTTCATCTTCCTGCCTGTCTGCTCTCTGCCATCAGAACAGCACACTTCTGTGTATTTATAGATGGCAAGGCGCCTAACCCTGGACGAGGGGAGCTAGGGAACTTTGAAGCAGTGAGATGTGAAGCGATGAAAGGGGAGCCGCATTAAATGAGCCTCCCAGTGAAGCAGTGTCAAAACAGGATCCCTGGCACACAGTAGAAATTACCTGCAAGTCTGCCACTATCTCCAGCAAACCTTTGAAGCTCTTGACATTGACTGAACTTCAAAGCAGCCCTATCTTTGCAAGAAGACCACCTCTTCCAAATCACAATCCGGCCACTCCTTTCACCGTGACCTTGTTTGTGCCTCAGCCAACCCAACAACCTCACCCAGACTTTGTGGAAATGACCGAAAAAGAGCCCGCTCAGACACAGGACTTTAAACATTTCCAGACTTGTGGCACATCGTCTGGATGAGACCCCAGTAATAACGACAACATAAATGCTTCTAAACCGAGTACTTCCAGTGCCTTATTTGGGTCACAGATGACTCTCTGTTAACGGCAGGCGGCGGTCTTGAAACATTTGTACTTGAATTGTTGAAAAGTTGCTGATTCCAAATTCTTGCTCTGTTTTTGCAGACTGGCCGGATTGAACCAAACTACCCCAAAGTGTGCGGCCATCAGGGGAACGTGCTCGACATCAAGTGGAACCCTTTTATTGAAAATGTCATTGCATCCTGCTCTGAAGACACCTCGGTAAGTAGAAAGCAGCAGAATGTATTGCCTGTTTCAGGGGAAGGGGGTTCAAAAGGATTATTGGGGACCCTTCAGACTGGTAGAACTTTTGCAGGTGTTTTCTGCAACACGTAATTGATGCAACGAGAGTGCTTTAGTGGTGGACTTATACTGGACCGCCCATAAGTTCCACAGCATTGCTGTGTGTGGAGGGGCACCATGACAAAAGCTGGACATTAGAACGTCAGAAGAGGCTGCAGGATGAGACCACAGGCCCATCCAGTCCAGCGTCCTGTTCTCACGGCATCCTGTTCCCAATGGGAAACCCACAAGCAGGACCTGAGCATAAGGGTACCCTGCCCCGCTGTGGTTTCCAGCAACTGGTATTCAGAAGTATCTCTGCCTCCACATACAGAGGAGGAGCCATCCTGCCAGAAGCCATTGATAGTCCTCTCTGCCATGAATTTGTCTTAATCTCTTTTAAAGCCATTTAGGTTGGTGGCCATCACTGCCTCCTATGGGACCGAGCTCCATAGTTGTTTGTTGATGGTTGGTTAGATATTGAATTTATATACCACCCTATACCCGGAGGGACACGGGTGGCGCTGTGGGTAAAACCTCAGTGCCTAGGACTTGCCGATCGTATGGTCGGCGGTTCGAATCCCCGGGGCGGGGTGAGCTCCCGTCGTTCGGTCCCAGCTCCTGCCCACCTAGCAGTTCAAAAGCACTCTTAAGTGCAAGTAGATAAATAGGGACTGCTTTATAGCGGGAAGGTAAACGGTGTTTCCGTGTGCTGCGCTGGTGCTGGCTTGCCAGCTGCAGCTTCGTCACGCTGGCCATGTGACCTGGAAGTGTCTTCGGACGGCGCCGGCTCACGGCCTCTAGAGCGAGATGAGCACACAACCCTAGAGTCGGACACGACTGGCCCGTACGGGCAGGGGTACCTTTACCTTTACCTTACCTATACCTGGAGGTCTCAGGGCGGTTCGCAGAACAAAATCAAAATATAAAACCACAAAATATATAATCAAAATAAAAACAACAACCCAGTAATCACCACCCCCACTTCCTTTTACCTGTCCTGAATCTTCCCACATTCAGCTTCATTGGATGTCCACAAGTTCTCGTGTTATGAGAGAGGGAAAACAACTTTTCTCTATCCATTTTCTTCAGGCTATGCATAAGTTTATAAATCTCTATGATATCAATTTTTCCTTGCCTTTTCTCTTAACTTGAAAGGCCCAGAGGTTGCATCCTTTAACAAACGACAGCTCCCAAAATTCCTTGGGTGTTTAAAGCGGTATCACAGTGCGTTAAATGTACAATGTGGGGGCTCGTCTACATTTCCTCTTCTCCCACTGCTTTCCCCCAGTGAAAACGGCTCTTTAGTGCTCATTTGGAACAAATGGCAATTCGGGTTTCCCCCAGATTGCCATTTCTTCCGATCTATTGCTAAAGAGGGAGTTTTCCCTTGGAAGGGAGTGGCCAGTGACACCTCTTTTTTTAAAGAAAGGCAGCGCTAGGAAAGGATAGACTATTTCTACATTGACATATAGCTCTCACCACCAACTTTGCCTTTCAGAAGTCTCCCCCCCCCCCCGCCACCCCAAATTCTCACCCCAAGCTCTAAGCGAGGTTTCTGTGGGGGCAGCTCATCCCATTCCATCCCTCCCTCTCTGCCTGCCTTCCTGTCTGAGCTGCCTCTGCAGTTCTGGAGTCTCCTCTCGACCTTCTCAAGGTCACCTGCATCCCTGCAGCAGAGAGAAGAAGGTGGGGCTCAGAGCAAGTGGCTGGCGCAGCAGGCAAGCTGGAGTGTCTTGTGCCAAAGCAGGTTTTCAGTGCTTGAGAGCGAGAGGGAAAGAGGAGGAGGCAGAGGCAGAGGCTAGCAGCCAGCCCAGTCTGCAATACAAGGGAGCTCCAGGGTACTTTGCTATGGCAGGAACAACCCTCCCTGCCCCACACTCTCTCTCTCAGTGGGGTGGATGCATGCCAGGACAGGATCAGCAGAGCCTTCTGTCTGTGCACAGAAAACTTGCATCGTGGAGGGGTGGAGCCGTCAAGGGAACATTTGCATGAAGGAGTCAAAGAAGATGCTGTTGGGGTGAAGGACCCAGGGGGATTGTCTTCCCTATACATTTCTCCTGAGGGGCCGATAAGCTGTCCAGGCAGGAGGATTTTTAGAGGAGGGGCATTTCTTTAAAAAGCCATTGCCAGGTCTGATCTCCAATTTGAGATGTGCAGCCAATGCATCTGAAAATGCCTCTTTATCCCACCAGCCTTTGACAGACAAAAGTATCTTGTTTTATGTGACCCACCTCTCTGGCTAAGTCTATCCTGTTCTCTTTTGGTTGGAGCAGTTTTACTTGTTTTGCTTGCTTATAGAAATGATTCCCTTGCTTTGATATCTGCCTATGATATTGTTGTCGCTCACCCGGGACCTTCTATCCACTTGTGCTGTGTTAAGTTTTGTGGGCCGTGTTTTGTGGAACTCCCTTCCGCATGGGGCCACTCTTTGCCTTGTTACCAGCCAGATGCATCTTTCTTGTCCTGTATCTGAGAATCAGAAGTATACTGCTTCTAAATGTGGAGGCTTCGTCCGCCTCCGTTATGTTTGTCGGACATAGAGGCACTTGCAAAAAGGTCCACAGCATTGCAAAAAGGTCCACAGATGTTAAAGACTGCTTCACATTTTCATGCAAATCTTCAGCCGCTGTCCGGGGCTCTGCCTCTCCTGCCCTCTCGTTTCATGATGTCATGCATCTCCGTCAGCAGAAAGTGCTTTTTATAGCCTGGTGGCTGCTGCAGTTGGGAAGCCATACAGCTGCAAGGAAGCGCATCCCCTCCACAGCAGCAGCTCCTGCTTCTCCTCCAAAGACCTCAGGGACTGCAGATCTTGGCATGTTCTATATGTATCAGGCATACAAAAATATGGACCCACGTACCTACGGGACCGCCTCTCCTGGTATGCCCCGTGGAGGACCTTAAGGTCCACAAATGATAACACTTTGGAGGTCCCAAGTCGCAAGGTCTCAACTAGGGCCAGGGCCTTTTCAGTGCTGGCCCCAACTTGGTGGAACGCTCTGTCACAAGAAACTAGGGCCCTGCGGGACTTGACATCTTTCCGCAGGGCCTACAAGACAGAGCTGTTCCACCTGGCCTTTGGTTTGGACTCAGTCTGACCCTTATGTTTCCCTCCCCTTATGGTTTTGATCCATGGGCTACTTTTAAAATGAGGCTGCATTTTAAATTGCATTTTAACCTGTATTTTAAAATGGTTTTTTCCCCCCTATTATGTTTTTATTGTAATTTTACTGGTGTTAGCCACCCTGAGCCCGGCTCTGGCCAGGGAGGGCTGGGTATAAATAATAATAATAATAATTATTATTATTATTATTATTATTATTATTATTATTATTATGGAGCTCTGTCCTTAATCTGCAAGTTGACAACAACTCCATTCAGCTTCATACCGGCAACAGAAGCTGGTGTGGTGGAAACGCTAAAGAAAGGTGATTGCCAAGATTCAACAGCTTCTCCAGGTAGAGCTAGCAAAGACCCCTGCCTAAAATCCTAGACAGCTGCTGCTGCCAGTGAGGGCAGACAATCCTGAGCCAGAAGGACCAATATAGGAAGGCAGCTTCCCATACTTATGTGTGTTAAGGGGACAGTGGTGGCTCAGCGACAGAGCCCCTGTCTTGCAGGCAGAAGGCCCCGCAGTTGAATCTCCAATGGTATTGCCATGTAAGGCTTGCCTGAAATGTTGGAATGCCTTCTCATCAGATGTCAAGGAGATAAAGAACTACAATACTTGAATAAGCCATTTGAAGGCAGCCCTGTATCAGGAAGTTTTTAATGTTTGACGTTTTATTATGTTTTTATATGTGTTGGAAGCTGCAACACAGCCAGATGGGCTGGGTAATAATAATAATGGGACGCGGGTGGCACTGTGGGTTAAACCACAGAGCCTAGGACTTGCTCATCCGAAGGTCGGTTCGAATCCCTGCGATGGGGTGAGCTCCCGTTGCTCGGTCCCTGCTCCTGCCAACCTAGCAGTTCGAAAGCATGTCAAAGTGCAAGCAGATAAATAGATAAATACCTTCTGACGGGAAGGTAAACGGTGTTTCTGTGCGCTGCTCTGGTTCGCCAGAAGCGGCTTAGTCATGCTGGCCACATGACCCGGAAGCTGTACGCCGGCTCCCTCGGCCAATAAAGCGAGATGAGCGCCGCAACCCCAGAGTCGGCCACGACTGGACCTAATGGTCAAGGGTCCCTTGACCTTTAATAATAATAATATAGCCACTGCCAGTCAGTGCTGACAATGCTTAGCAGGTTCTTGGGTTCCCATGCTTCTAACAAGGCTGTGATGCTTTATGGTTTACATTTTTCATTCTTTGTTTATGTTTGTTTACTATGCTTGCCATTTTTGGTTAATAATAATAGTAATAAAGTATGGTGTGAGTGTGGCCCATGGGTCCTGAGACATTTAAAAAGCATTTTTACTGTAGCAGAACGTTTCGGGTGTGTGTGTACTGTATAATGAACCTACTTCATGCAGGCAAGCCGCTGAGTTGACAAAGACATCCTCCTCACAGCATCCTTTTGCTCTCCTGTCCTTCAAGGTTCGGATATGGGAAATTCCAGACGGAGGACTGAAGCGCAACATGATGGAAGCGGTCCTGGAGTTGTACGGGCACAGCCGGCGTGTCGGCCTTGTTGAGTGGCACCCGACCACCAACAACATCCTGTTCAGTGCCGGCTATGACTATAAGGTGAGCTGGGCAAAGATGCCCTCGTGCATGAGAGCTAGTGTGGTGTGTAGTGGTGCATTGGTCTAGGACCTGGGAGAGCAGGGTTTGAATCCCCACTCTGCCTTGAAGCTTGCTGGGTGCCCTTGGGCCAGTTGGTGCCTCTCAGCCTAGCCTACCTCACAGGGTTGTTGCTGTTGTTGGGACTAAATGAGGAGGAGAAGAACCATGGAGAAAAAGGTGGGGTATGAATGCAACAGTAAGCAAAACGTTGCAGCCAGTGAGAGAGAGTTTGGATTTGATATCCCGCTTTATCACTACCCAAAGGAGTCTCAAAGCGGCTAACATTCTCCTTTCCCTTCCTCCCCCACAACAAACACTCTGTGAGGTGAGTGGGGCTGAGAGACTTCAAAGAAGTGTGACTGGCCCAAGGTCACCCAGCAGCTGCATGTGGAGGAGCGGAGATGCGAACCCGCTTCACCAGATTTCGAGTCCACCGCTCTTAACCACTACACCACACTGGCTCTCTCCCCAGTGGTGGGAAGGCTGACCTTTGTTTTGCGTTCCTGTCCTTGTTAGGTTCTCATCTGGAACCTGGACATCGGTGAGCCTGTGAAGATGATTGACTGTCACACCGACGTCATTCTCTGCATGTCCTTCAACACAGACGGGAGTTTGCTGGCCACCACTTGCAAAGACAAGAAGCTCCGCGTCATTGAGCCGCGCTCCGGCAAAGTCCTCCAGGCAAGGAGCTTCTTATAAGGGTCAAAAGAGAGAGGCGTTGGCAGAGAGCCATCATCCAACATCCTGACTGTTGTTGTTTTTTAAATCAGCCGCAGAAGGGGGTGCGCGTGCCCAGTTTTTATCAGGAGAACAACTCTGGGAGGAGGGGGTGCAGGATCTAGCGATGGACACCAGCCTGGATTACTTTAAAAGCGAATGAGGCAGATTCAAAGAGGATCAGGCTGTCCATGGCTACTGCTAGCTACAATGGCTTTGGTCTGCCTCTGCGGGCAGAAGCGGCATGACTCTGAACACAATTGCTAGGAGGTTGCTCTGGTGCAGACTGGCTTCGTACTAGGACATCTGGTTGGACACAGTTGAACATCTAGATGGGCTACTGGTCTGATCCAGCCATCCAGGCTCTTCTTATGCTTTTATGTTATTTGTTTGCATTTATTTATTTATTTATTTATTTCATAAAATTTATACACCACTTGATGGCAAAAGGGAACCTTCAAAGTAGAGCAGTTTACAAAACAGAAAGCAATAAAATTATCAACAAGAGGAATCAGTGACAATTTCAGACCTTTGGAAAGTTAAACCAACAGTGAAACTAGAAACAGATTAAAACTCCCATCAGCTTTCCTATTTTTCCAGTCTGAATGCCCCACCAAAACAACAGTTATGCCTGCAGTGTGGATAGCAGCTTTTTTTTGGGGGGGTGCAATTTAGATTAAAGAAAAGGCATAGGGGTGTAAGAAACTGCTCAGAAACAGAGGGGCTCCCCTGAGCAGCTTTAAGGTTGTTGTTTTTTAAGCTAATAAATTACATGAATAAATTAATTCATGTCCTGTATGTTTTGCAACCTCCACCTAAATTGCAACATCGTTGGTGTAAAAACTGCACAGCTCCTTCTTCCGACAATGAAGTTTCCAAAAGCAATCTTTTTATAAGCATGTGCCTATTTCCTAAGAAAGCAGCCTTTTCCAAAAAAAATTATAAAAACTTCTTGATCTCTTGGTTAGAATATTTCCCACCCCCACCCCCCAAATGTCAACGTGCAGATTTTGACTGCAGATAAGCACAATTTCAATAGAGGGAACAGAAAGAATTCACTGTCTGCCATGTTTATATGTCTAGCTTTAATCTTTTATTAATCACAAGTTGTATTGGATGAAATGAAAAGTGAGGCTTTTGAGTGGCGTATTTGAAAGAATGGTAAGCCAGCCTTTCCCAACCTGGTGCTCTTCTGATGTTTTGGACTACAACTCCCATAAGCCCCAACTGTCTCAGCTGGGATGGATGGGGATTGTGGTCCGAAACATCTGGAGCACAGCAGGGAAAGCTGCCTTAATCAATTGCCTACAGAAGTCTAGTGTCCAGATCAAAGGAAGTCATAGTACCGCTCTATCCTGCCTTGGTCAGATCAAGCCTGGAGTCCTGTGTCCAGTTCTGGGTACTACAGCTTAAGAAGGATATTGAAAAGATGACCAAGGGTCTGGAAACCAAGCCTTATGAGGAATGGTTGAGGTAATTGGGTATGTTTAGCCTGGAGAAGAGAAGATGGAGAGAGGATCTGACAGCCATCTTCAAATATCTGAAGTGTTGTCACATGGAAGATGGAGCAAGCTTGCTTTCTGCTGCTCCAGAGGGCAGGACCCCAACCAATGAATTCAAATTACAGAAAAGGAGATTCCTCCATCAGGAAGAACTTTCTGACTTTAAGTGCCATTCAACAGTAGAATGGACTCCCACAGAAGGTGGCGGGCTCTCATTCACTGGACGTTTTTAAGCTGCAGTTGGATGGTCATCTGTCAGGGATTCTTGATCTGTGATTCCTTCATTGAAGGGGGTTGGACTAGACTTTTGGACTAGACTTCCAACTCTGCAATTCTATGATTGATTTGAAGAGGGGAGCTGGAGGCTGCCAGGAGTGTAGCTGCCTGGCTGGGTAAATCTTGGTTGTCTTTCCAGGAGGCGAATTGTAAGAACCATCGCGTGAACCGGGTTGTCTTTTTAGGAAACATGAAGCGGCTTCTAACGACTGGAGTCTCGCGGTGGAACACGAGGCAGATTGCCCTCTGGGATCAGGTCAGCCCATGATATTTATTTACTTATTCTGGAGGGTAGTAATGCAAGAACAGGCCTTTTCAGTGGTGGTTCCCTGTTTGCAGAATGCTCTCCTCAGGGAGGCTCGCCTGGCACCCTCATTACAGTGGTACCTTGGGTTACATACACTTCAGGTTACATACGCTTCAGTTTACAGACTTCGCTAACCCAGAAATAGTGCTTCAGGTTAAGAACTTTGCTTCAGGATGAGAACAGAAATTGTGCTCTGGCGGCGTGGCGGCAGCAGGAGGCCCCATTAGCTAAAGTGGTGCTTCAGGTTAAGAATAGTTTCAGGTTAAGAACGGACCTCTGGAACGAATTAAGTACTTAACCCGAGGTACCACTCTATATATCTTTAGGTGCCAAGCAAAAACTTTCCTCTATAAGCAGGCCTTTGGCCTTTAACTATCTGTGACCTTTTTGATGTCAGAGGGGTGTTTTTGGTTTTAATATAACTGTGTGGAGTTTTTTGTTTTGTTTTGGTTGTAAGTCACTTTGTAATTTGCCATGGGCAAGATAAAGCAACTAACAAATATAATAAATAATTATATAGTTTAAAAAATATTATTTTTTCAATCATCCCTTTTTGGGACCAAGCCCTGAGAGAAGAAATCTTTATTTATTTATATCCCAACGTTCCTCCAAGGTTCTCAAGGTGGCATACATATTTCTCCTCCCCATTTTATCCTCATAACGACACTGGGAGGTAGGTTAGGCTGAAAGGCAATGACTGGCCCAAAGTTGTAGTCGAAAAGCATATTGAGGGCACCAGATTAGGGAAGGCTAGCCACAGCTTTTTTAAAAGACACCTTTCTTCACATTTGTAATAACATTCCTAGTGTCAAGGTTATAGATGCAGCAGGTTTGAAAGCTTTTTTTTTTAAACCAACAAGAGTATCTTTGATTTCTGCAGGAAGATCTCGCCATGCCCTTAATAGAGGAGGAGATTGACGGGCTGTCTGGGCTCCTCTTCCCTTTCTACGATGCTGATACCCACATGCTGTACCTGGCTGGCAAGGTGAGTGGGCACAAAATGCTTATGGCATGGGGGAGTGGGCTTTGGCTACAGAATCCCAAAGTTTCTGTATCTTGCCATTATGTACGCACTATGAACCAACGTATATCTGGAGTCACGTCATAGTCACTCCCTTGGACTAAAAAAATTAACAAACCATTTCCCTCAAAGTAGTTTTTTTAAAAGGCATTCATCGGTTCATCTAGATGCTTAGCCAAAGCAATTTGTGTTGCTGTAGATTTAAATCTACAGTCAAACCTTGGCTCCTGAACGCCTCCATTTTGGGACGTTTCAGCTCCCAAAAGCCGAAAACCCGGAAGTAAATGCTCTGGTTTTTTAACGTTTTTCGGAAGCCAAATATCCAGTGCAGCTTCTGCTTGAGTGCAGGGAGCTCCTCCAACCAATCAGAAGCCGCGCCTCTGTTGTCAATCATTTCAGAAGCCAAACAGGCTTCCACAACGGATTATGTTCAACAACCGAGGTTTGACTGTATAAAGAGAAGATTGAGAGGCAATTTGGCAGCCAACTTCAAATATCTGAAGAGTTGTCAGATATTATAATTACTATTACTATTACTACTACTACTATTTTGCTAATATTAAGGTGGAGCAAGCTTGTTTGCTGCTGCTCTAGAGGGTAGGACCTGAACTGATGGCGTCAAATTGCAAGAAAGGAGATTGCAACTCAACATTAGGAAGCACTTTCTGACAGTAAGAGCTATTTGACAGTAGAATGGACTCCCTCGAAAGATAGTGGATTCTCCTTCGCTGGTGGTTTCCAAAGAGATTCTTTAGTTGTGATTCCTGCATTGCAGGGGTTGAACGAGATGACCATAGGAGTCCCTTCCAACTGTACACTTTTTTATTTTAAATTTTGGTCTTTTAGGGCTGAGATCCTGAGCATGCATACTCAGAAACAGGTTTTAATGAAATTAATATGCCTTGTTTCCATTCAGATGTATGAAGGACACATGCTCCATTTCCCGGCAGACCTAAAACCAGCCACCTTCTTTTCAGTAGATGTAGCTGAATCTGGGCTGACTGGAAATGGATCCATCCCAATTTGAGCACTGTGGAGATTATAGGGTGTTAATTGGGGCTCCAGCTAAGCCATTGTCCTTCAACCTTCAGTCCTTCTGCTAGAAAATGGAGATAAAGTCAGAATACCTCACAGGGTTGTTGTAAGCAAAAACAAGGCAGCACCCAGAATCATAGAAGGGTAGAATTAGAAGGGACCCTGAGGTTCATCTAGTCCAATCCCCTGACAGAGGGCCATCCATGCTTTTAAGGGTGGGCCAAGTCAGAGTTCCTATGACAACCACCCCAACCTGGGGCCCTCCAGATGTTTTGTACTACAACTCCCCACAGCGCCTACTGGCACCACTATGTTTAACTGAGGCTGATCGGAGTTGTAGGCCAAGAAACCTGGAAGGCACCAGGTTGGAGAAGGCTCTGCTATGACCTAAACTGTGCAGTGCTCTCTCCTCCCACGCCAATATTCACAAAAGTCCCACTGATTCACACCTCTCTCTCTTTCTCTCTCCCCCTAGGGAGATGGGAATATCCGCTACTATGAAATCAGTACAGAGAAGCCATACCTCACTTACCTCATGGAATTCCGTTCTCCGGCTCCACAAAAGGCCTCGGTAGGGGTGCTCACCGTCTGCGCTACAGCCTCAAAGGGAGGCAGCGTCTTTCCTTGGACTAGTCAGTGGCTACTAGCCACGATGGCTGTGCTCTTTCTCCACAATTGGAGACAGGCTCTGCATCGGGGCATGGGGTTGGCCACTGTGAGAACCAAATATTGGACTATTTTTGTACTGTACAGTGGTACCTCAGTTACATACGCTTCAGGTTACACATTCCGCTAAGCCAGAAATATTACCTCGGGTTAAGAACTTTGCTTCAGGATGGGAACAGAAATCGTGCTCTGGCGGCGCACAGCAGCAGGAGGCCCCATTAGCTAAAGTGGTGCTTCAGGTTAAGAACAGTTATGTTATTTCATCTGTTCTGCCCTCTTTTCCCCAGCATAGTCACAGGCTCCCACACCTCCTCTAACTACTCTGCCCCTTTCTTCGGCCTCCTCCTGAAGGTCTGCTGCCTCCCTGACGCTCTCCCCAGTCCTTGCCCTCCCTGCATTTCCAACATCTTGGCCTGCTCAGCCCCAGACTTCCTTCCCTCACTCCAAATAAAGTTCTGGCAGCCCTTGGTTCCAGTGCATGGTCTTCCCCTCAGGCCAAACCAACCCTTCCTCTTCCGCTGTGTGTGACAGTTGTGCACCGAGCCCTTTCCCCTCTGGATACGGAATGTTTATGAACATTCCCAGGACACTGGATCAGAGGGCCAGTAGCTAAGGACAGTGGCTGGCACACTTTATAGAAACAGAGGTTGGTGCAAGGAGCAGGGGGTTTACCTAGCCCGGGGGGGGGGGGCAGCAGGAAGATCTCTGAGGAGATAAAATAAAAGGAAACAGAGAAAATCGTGCAGAACTGCTGTGTCACTCAGATGCCATGATAGAGGGTCGCCTTGCAACCTCTCCAAGGATTTGATTTTCTTTGTTATGTACAGGACAACAAACATCACTTCTTCCTATTCCTTGTGTTTGTAGGAGTGATGCCAAAGCATGGCCTGGATGTCTCTGCCTGCGAGGTGTTCCGGTTCTATAAGCTCATCACGTTAAAAGGGCTGATTGAGCCCATCTCCATGATCGTGCCAAGGAGGGTGAGTAATCTGGCCCTCACAGGAAGCAGGTTTGCTCTCTAAGGCTGCCTACATGCCATACACAGGAATCCACACACACCCCAAGAACCCTGGGAACTGTAGTTTGTGAAGAATGCTGGGAACTGTAGCATGGCACGGGGTGAAACTATAGTTCCCATGATTCTTTGAGGGGAGCCATGTGCTTTAAATGTGTCTTGGGACTGAGACTTTGAAGTTGGGTCCAGTTCTCACAACTGTGGTTGCTTCCGGGTGACCTGTTTACTGAGCATCATCCTGATTTGCTTGCGGGTCTGCTATAGGACATCAAGTAAGAGTTAGCTCCCATTTTGCAGGGCGTTTCATTGCCACTTCCCAATTTTACTGCACAACAACACCAAATCAGCACTCAACAGTACAACCTGAAATTTCTTACGCTGTTAAATTCCACCTCAAACCGCGGCAGCCTTGAAGCTCCCTTGGCTGATGTGCCGCCTGCAGGTGGACTTGGCAGGTGAAAAGGAGCCATGTGGGATTTGCCAAGCTCTGACCTGTTGAATGGTTTAATATGTAAAGGTTCATCATTGTTCCACTCGATGTGTATGTCTTTAAGGGGCCAGAAAAAGGGCCAGAGCAAGATAACGAGACCCAGCTTTACAGCTGTGAAACATAGCAGGTGCTGCCGAGTTGTACTGATTAAGCTGTGTTGGCAATTGGGTGTAGTATATAAGGAGCAGCACCTAGCTCTCCCATTACCCTGGGGGATGGGTTGGTGGTTGGGTCATGTTTGTTTGTTAATGTATTTAGTGTAAAAGGAGTTTTTGTTTTTCTTATTAAAACCTTGTTTAAATTATTTTTGAGTCCCTTTTTAATGCATGGTCTCCCCAGCAAGCTCTCTGCAGCGCTACCATACTGCAAAAAGCCAACATCTTTGGTTATGGGCCCAGCTGCTGAGTGGATGACTGCATATTTTTGGACTCTGAGAAAGGTTTGAAAACTCCTTCTCCTGTTAGCGTAGTTCTGTGGGTCTGGAAGAGTTCCAGAATGGTTGACCGGGTTCCTGAAGCTGAGAAGGCTCTGGTCTTCCCACAGCTGACAGATGAGAACTATAGTTTATGGTCTTTTCGGGTGGAGGCGCTTTTGACCTCTAGAGAAGTATGGACCTATGTAACTGATGACCCTCCTGACCCTGTGACTAATGCTTGGTCGAAAGGAGATGCGAAAGCCAGGGCGATAATTAATTTGGCAGTCAGCGACCAGCAAGTAGTCTATATAAGAAATAAGAAAACTGCCAAAGAAATGTGGGACAGTCTTGCAGCAGTGCATGTTAGAAAAGAGTCAGCGTCTGCATTGACGTTTTCAAGCAGTTGTACCAGACGAAGTTGCAGCCTGGTGGTGATTTGGCAGCACACTTGAGACGTCTGGAGGCAATACGCGGCGAATTAATTCGAAGGGACATGGAGATACCTGATATTCAGTATGTTTTCATCATCCTTTGTTCCCTTAATGAGGACTTTGATGGTATAGCTAGCCAGATATCTGCCGTTCCACCAGCACAATTAACTGTGGAAGGGGTAACGGCAAGATTAATGGGCGAGTTGGACAGAAGGGAGGCTTGTGCCATAAGCACTCCTATTTCCAGAAAGAATGAGGAACGCCATATGCAAACTTGTGGTGATACAACTGCATTTAAAGCTGCAAAGCGTTGTTGGTTCTGCAATAAGCAAGGACATTTTGCAAAGGACTGCAGATCCAAAAGAAAGCAAAGTACTCCCAAGTCTGTTTCTGTTCGTCAGTCACGGTCGTCAGCTCAGCAGCCGGCATCGTACCGTAAAGACAGAAACGAGCCGCGAGCTTTTCACGCTAGCACAAGAGATCGTAAAAGAATTAAAGGTGCCAAGTGGAATTCTTTTATTGTGGACTCAGGAGCATCTCAGCACGTTTGCAACGATCGAAGCTTGTTTATTTCTTTCGAAGAGGAAATTGGTAATGTACATTTAGCCAATTCACAAGTCTTGCAGTCGCTTGGCAGGGGTACTGTTAAACTTGACTCTTTAAACATTACTATAGCGAACTGCATTTACTGCCCATCAGTGGACAATTTATTGTCAGTAAGGTGTTTTGCTCGTCAAGGCATAACTGTGCGTTTCTTAAAGTCAATGTGTGAGTTTTTCGAGGGGAACAAACGTCTATTGTATGCCCGGGAATCTGATGGTTTATATAGACTGTATTTTCGCACCTACTCCCAATCGCCTATAAATTGCAGAGCAGCACAGTCAAGCCAGGGGTTGAGGAATGTAAGGCCACATTCTGGGTGTGTCCATGAGGCGCACAGAATTCTGGGACATCTGAATTTTGCTGATGTAATTAAGACCAAGAATATTGTTAATGGCCTCAACTTAAAACCATGTAAATTCTTTATGCAATGTCTATCCTGTTGCAAGAATAAGATTAAGGTTGCACGCAAGGGTAGGTGCTCAGATAGGAAAGTAACTGAGCCATTTGAGCGTGTACATTGTGATTTAGTTGGGCCACTCCCACCATCCTTAGGAGGTTCTAAGTACTGGCTTACCCTGATAGACCAGTATAGTAGATATTGTTGGACTTATGCAATAGCTGAGAAGTCCCAAGCATTTGAGAAGTACAAAGTTTTTGCAACTGGGTAAAAACACATTTTAACAAACCTATTAAGAACCTTTTTTCTGACCGGGCGGGAATTTGTTTCTGAGGATTTTGAGAAATTCCTGGAAGCGCAGGGGACTACTCATGAGTTATCTTGCCCCGAAGTCCCTGGCAAAATGGGCTTGTTGAAGTTGTGCAGCGTGACCTGCAGGCAGGGGTTAAAACTTATCTGCATGATGCTAATCTGCCCAAAGACTTTTGGGCTGAAGCGCTCAATGCCTTTTGTTATGTTAGAAATCGCAGTTATCATTCTGGTTTAGATGTCACCCCTATGAGAAGCTGTTTAAAAACGCCCTAATCTGAAATACCTACGCATTTGGGGTTCAGATGTAATAATGCATTATCCCGCTAAGCAGAAATTGGGTGAACGTAGTGTCCAGGGAAAATTAATGGGCTACCAGCAGGGGCGTACAGTATTTACATACCAGCAACTGGCAAATTTCATATTACCAGAAGCATGATACAAACTGTAAATTGGAATGGTGTTGCTGTTTTCCAAGATAGTAATGGTATAGATAATACTGAGGAAGAAGAGGTAGAAGAAGCAGCAGCAGCAGCAGGAAATGGTGCTTCTGAATTAATGGAAGAAGACAAAAAGCCTGTTGAATCTGATAATTTGTTTGATGATTTAAAGTCACAGGCACCCGAGGGGAGGTTAGATTCTCTTGAGTTTTCTGACCGTGAGCTTAGCCAACAGGCATCTCTTCAGTCTGACAATGATGATTTACAACCTGAAACTAGTAGTTTACATAGTCCCATTAAGTCTGAGGAGTCTGACTCTCCTTCCGGACTGAGACGTTCAGATAGAAAGAGACAGAAGCCACAACGTTTTGCAGATGAACATTTTAATACTGTGTATGCCAATAAGGCAGTTTTTGAGCCAAAAAGCTACAATGATGTTCAGAATTTACCTAAGCACCAAGCTGTAAATTGGTATAAAGCTATGAACTCTGAAATAGCTTCTTTAAAAGAGCATAACACTTGGTCTCTTGTACCACAAACCCCAGATATGAGACTTATTGATTCAAAATGGGTTTATAGAGTTAAAATGAATGACAAAAATGAAGTTGTAAGGTACAAGGCAAGATTAGTTGCTAGGGGTTTTCAACAAATTCCAGGCGAAGATTATGATTTGTGTTATTCACCAAGTGTAAAATATGAAACAGTTAAACTTTTGTTAAAAGATGCATCAATTTGTGGAAAAGCCCACTACGCAATGTTTCTCTGCTCTTAAGAGAGTGGTAATGTACCTTAAACATACTAAACATTATAGGTTGCAGTTTACAACATGTATTGACAAAGGTTTTGAAATTTTCTGCGATGCATCTCATGCAGTGGAACAAAATAATTGCAGGGGTGTGTCTGGTATGGTGTTTTGTTATAATGGTTGTCCATTTGAATGGAAGTCCCAGACACAAAACATTATTTGTCTCTCCACAACAGAGAGTGAATTATGTGCATGTGTTCAGGCCACTCGTGATGTGGAATGGTATCTGCAAGTATTCGCAGACCTACAGATGCAAGTAACACTACCAGTAAAAGTTTACCTTGATTCCCAGAGTGGACTCGCTATCCTATGTTCAGAAACCAATACGCAGCGCACTAAAGTCTTAAGATTACGTTTACAGTTTGTAAAGAAACTAATTGCTGATGAAATGGTTGTATTTAAATATGTTCCAGGTGACAATCAAATTGCAGACATTTTTACTAAAGCACTTCCAAAAGGTATACATGAAAAACATGTACAAAGTATGCTTTATGTTTTTGTTCCACAATGATGAACCGCAGGGGAAATGTTGAATGGTTTAATATGTAAAGGTTCATCATTGTTCCACTCGATGTGTATGTCTTTAAGGGGCCAGAGCAAGGGCCAGAGCAAGATAACGAGACCCAGCTTTACAGCTGTGAAACATAGCAGGTGCTGCCGAGTTGTACTGATTAAGCTGTGTTGGCAATTGGGTGTAGTATATAAGGAGCAGCACCTAGCTCTCCCATTACCCTGGGGGATGGGTTGGTGGTTGGGTCATGTTTGTTTGTTAATGTATTTAGTGTAAAAGGAGTTTTTGTTTTTCTTATTAAAACCTTGTTTAAGTTATTTTTGAGTCCCTTTTTAATGCATGGTCTCCCCAGCAAGCTCTCTGCAGCGCTACCATACTGCAAAAAGCCAACATGACCACCCTGCTCAGAGATTGGCAGAGGCATGGGGGCATGGGGGTTGCTGCTCTAGATCAGGTTTAAGGTGCTGGTTTTAACCTTTAAAGCCCTATACGGCCTAGGACCCTCGTACCTACAGGACCGCCTCTCCTGGCATGTCCCACAGAGGACCTTATGGTCTTCAAACAAAAACATCTTGGAGGTACCGGACCACAGGGAGGTTAGGCTGGCCTCAACCAGAGCCCAGGGCTTTTTCGGCCGTGGCCCCGATCCGGTGGAACGCTCTGTCACAAGAGACTGGGGCCCTGCGGGACCTGACATCCTTCCACAGGGCCTGCAAGACAGAGCTGTTCCACCAGGCCTTTGGCCAAGGCACAGTCTGACCCCCTCCTTTGGTAATCCTCATAGAACTCTAGCCCAATGGTTGCCATTAATTTGATTCTGAATTGATTTTAGAATGAATTGATTTTAGAATGCTGGGTTACTTTTACTGTTGTTAGCCGCTCTGAGCCTGGCTTCGGCTGGGGAGGGCGGGATATAAATAAAATTATTATTATTATTATTATTATTATTATTATTATTATTGGGTCCCAGGTGGGAGAAGTCTGCTCTGCCTCAAACTATGGAACTTGCTTCCACAGGAGGCAGTGACAGCTACCAGCTTGGATGGTTTTAAAAGAGGATTAGACAAAGGGGAGGGCTATCGATGGCTACCAGCCCTGATAGTAAACACTTCTGAATACCTGTTGCTGGCTTTCCTCATCCATCTGGTTGGCCCCTGTGAGAACAGGATGCTGGACTAGATGGGCCATTGGCCTGATCCAGCAGGCTCTCCTTGGGTTCTTATGCCTTAAAACATGTTGACCTTGTGCACAAGCTCTTTTTTCTTTGCATCAGTGTGTGCTCAGATGCAGGAGTGCCAACATGGCCCCGCAACCGTGGGTGCCCGTTGCCTCCCACTACGTTTCCGAGCACAATTCAAAGTGCTGGTGCTGACCTTTAAAGCCCTAAACGGCCTCGGTCCTGAAGGAGCGTCTCCACCCCCATCGTTCTGCCCAGACACTGAGGTCCTGCGCCGAGGGCCTTCTGGCGGTTCCCTCACTGCAAGAAGCCAAGTTACAGGGAACCAGGCAGAGGGCCTTCTTGGTAGTGGCACCCGCCCTTTGGAACGCCCTCCCACCAGATGTCAAAGAGAAGAACAACTACCAGACTTTTAGAAGGCATCTGAAGGCAGCCCTGTTTAGGGAAGCTTTTAATGTTTAACAGACCACTGTATTTTAATACTTTGTTGGAAGCCGCCCAGGGTTGCTGGGGAGATCCAGCCAGATACGCGGGGTATGTATGTATGTATGTATGTATGTATGAATGAATAAATAAATAAATAAACATACACCCAAATTTGTGGGTGCCCTGTTGCTTCATGGGGAATTTTGTGGGTGCTCAGGCAACCCAGAGCCCCAGGGAGTTGGCACTTATGCTCAGTTGCCTTTCCCTGTGTTTTGGTGTTGTAAAGGAAGGTTGCGATTCTGTCCCATTATTTCCACACAAAGCCCCACAGGTCCATTCCCCTCACTCGTAGTCATTTGTCTCCACGCTCCACAAGCCCAAATGCCTTCTATTAAGCCTCTCCTGCCTTGATTGCCTCTCCTTTCAGACCGCAAACACACCGAGCTCCCTGCTGCATGGGTTCTTTTTCTGCAGCAGCGTGGAGCCAGATCTTCGGGGCAACAGGGATGTGCTTGAGAATGCTCTAATGCAGCCTTCATCCCAAACTGCAATCCGACAAATGGTTAACCTGCTATGTTGCAATGCTTATGACTTCGCTTGGCTCAGAGAATGAGCCAAAAGTTTGTGCTGCTCCTGAGATAAATGTCCGCTCCTCGTTTTTGGGATGGGGGGGAGGAGTATGTTGAGTAGTTTAATTACTGCCATAGCATCAAAAATCTTTTTGATTTTTTTGGGGGGGAGGGCAAAATGGAACTTAGTGGCTCGCAGACGGGGTTAAAGCAGTAGTTACCCAAATGGGCAGTACCACCCTTGGGGGGGGGCAATGAGGCCCCAAGAGGCAAGGGTGCAGAAGGGGGGCACTGGAAGTGGGGCCCTCCAAAGACATTGATTGTTAATTTATGCTTGACAGGGCTAGAACATGGAACAAAAAAACTTCCTTGTTTTGTATTTAAGGTTTTACTGCTTCTATCACTTTTAAATTGGGGTGAGGGGAGTGATGATGAAATGATGATAATAATAATAATAATTGTCCCTGCCCATCTGGCTGGGTTTCCCCAGCCACTTTGGGCAGCTTACGATTATGGAACCAAGGGGGTGGGTGCCCAAAATGGTTCGGGAACCACTGTTAAATGATTGTTTGCAACTGGGTCATTGCCAGTGTGTGTGTTACTTACTGAATTTTTCTTGGGAAAGATAAATCTAGATTATATTTGGTGTGGGGGGGGAATACAGGTTGGTATGCGGTACTGTTTTTAACATTTGATTGGGAGCTGCCCAGAGTGGCTGGGGAAACTCAGCCAGATGGGCGGGGTATAAATAATAAATTATTATTAGTAGTATGCTGATGCCAAGAGCATTATGTGTTTGCTGCCTGCCTGGGGGCACCCTTCCCAGAACACCACCACCGCTCTGGAAGTCCTTTACTAATTATTTCAAATATGCTGTTTCTCTTCCTTCTGCATTCTAGTCGGAAACATACCAGGAAGATATTTACCCAATGACTCCAGGAACAGAACCTGCTCTCACACCGGATGAATGGCTGAGTGGAACGAACCGGGGTAAATGCACTAGCTCTGCAATTTTGTGATGTGCAACCTGGTGGAAAATCAAACACCACCTAGGTTTTAAAAAGAAAAACAACTTTTAAAGTGGCCAGAAATTTGACTTCAAGCAAAACATGGCTAACACTGCTTGAAATCCCTAATATTTCCAAATATTGAAGTCTGGGCATTTACCATTTCAACATCTGGAAATGGTGAAGACTGATCTGTGACTAAGTGATGCTCTTTTGTTTCTCTCCCCAGTGAAATCAACTGAAATGCTGGACCTGTCCCATCTCCCTGCCATATTAAAATATAGAATGAGGAATGTGTTAAAGCAATTGAGAATCTAACTGAAGAGCCAGTCTATTCAAAGCCTTATAGAGCTAGGTAGATCTCTGTAGGACCCGTTTTGTCACCTGGGCACACCTGAGGTTGAACCACTTTCAGACCAGCAGTCCTGGTGGCACTAAAGCTCAAAAGAGAGCAGGCTCTTCTGGAAAGCTGGCATAGTGGCAGAGTAACAAAAGTGCCTGGGTTTCCCCAGCTTCAGAACCCTGACATTTGCAGTAGCTTCGATTGCACCTCTGAGATTATGGGCTGCTTCACTGCCACCCCAACACAACCTCTTGCATTGTGTGTGATGTTCAGCAGGAGTTTCACAGGCGCTGCAGAGTAAAATGCAGCTTCACAAAGTTCCAGCACATTGTCCCAAATACAGAACACAAACGTTTGGTCCTTTAGCTAAAATAGGTAAAGGTAAAGGGACCCCTGACCATTAGATCCAGTCGTGGCTGACTCTGGGGTTGCGGCGCTCATCTCGCTTTATTGGCCGAGGGAGCCAGCATACAGCTTCCAGGTCATGTGGCCAGCAGGACTAAGCTGCTTCTGGTGAACCAGAGCAGCGCACGGAAATGCCGCTTACCTTCCTGCTGGATTGGTACCTATTTATCTACTTGTACTTGACGTGCTTTCGAACTGCTAGGTTGGCAGGAGCAGGGACTGAGCAACGGGAGCTCACCCCATTGCAGGGATTCGAACTGCCGACCTTCTGACTGGCAAGTCCTAGGCTCTGTGGTTTAACCCACAGCGCCACCCGCGTCCCGGTTTTAGCTAAAATAGGGTAGATTATTTGCTTGTTTCCAAAAAGTGTCTCTCTAGCCCTTTGATTTAGCATTTGTTGTCTCTTGTTTTCTTTCTTTCTTAGATCCCATATTGATGTCTTTAAAGGAAGGCTATAAGAAAGCATCGAAAGTTGTTTTTAAGGCACCGATGAGAGAGAAGAAGAGTGTTGTTGTTAATGGGATCGACCTCTTAGAAAACGTGCCCCCCAGAACAGAGAATGAGGTAAGGAAAAAACAGCTACCCTCTGTCCAGATTGAGAGTTGTCATCATTAGGCCTGGGCAATGTATCCATACATTACCCAGAACCAGTATGAGGGGCAGACCATGATGGCGGCTTCGCTTGGAGGTCAGCGAAGCCAGAAAAGCATTGGGGCTCCCTCATCTGGGGGGTGGGAGCACTTTAACAGGCTTTTCTCTTCCTGTCTCATAATACTAGAACCCAGTGTGGTCATTCACAGAAGCTGAATGTTGGTAGGATTCGGCACAGACAAAAGAAAATACTTATATACACACACACCACACAGTTGAAACTGTGGAATTTGCTACCACAGGAGGTAGTGAGGACCAGCTTTAAAAGAGATAAATTCATGAAGGACATACCTATCAACAACTACTAGTCACAATGGCTATTTACTCCTCTTATCAGAGGCAGGATGCATCTGATTCTGCAGATCATAAGTAGGAAAGTACTGTTGCATTCATGTCCTGCTTCCAGGCTTCCCATATGAATCTAGCTGGCAACTGTGGGAAAAGGATGCTGAACGATATGAACCTTCGGTCTGACCCAGCAGGGCGTTTTTTGTACATGGCCCCCACAAATACTTGCCAGCTATGATATACCAAAGTACCATAATTTTTTCGAGAGTCAATACAGTGCATTGGTCAGAGTGTCAGAAAAACAGAGTTCAAATCCCCACTCAGCCAGGAAGCTCGCTAGGTGACCTTGAGCCAATCGCTGCCTCTCAGCCTAGCCTACCTCACAGGGTTGTTGTGGGGATTAAATGAGGAGGGGAAGAACCATGTACACCACCTTGAGCTGCTTGGATGAAAAGACAGGATAATTAGTAGTAGTAGTATTAATACCCCACCCATCTGGCTGGGTTTCCTCAGCCACTCTGGGCGGCTTCCAACAAAATATTAAAATTCAATAGTCTATTAAACATTAAAAGCTTCCCTAAACAAGGCTGCCTTCAGATGTCTTCTAAAAGTCTGGTAGTTGTTTTTCTCTTTGACATCTGGTGGGAGGGCGTTCCACAGGGCGGGTGCCAATACCAAGAAGGCCCTCTGCCTGGTTCCCTGTAACCTCATTTCTCGCAATGAGGAAACCACCAGAAGGCCCTCGGCGCTGGACCTCAGTGTCCAGGCAGAACGATGGGGGTTCATAAATAAATGAAGCAACAGCACAATATGGAGGCCAACTCTTTCTCTCTCTTCCTCAACTTCAAGCTTCTCCGAATGTTCTTCCGGCAACAAGATGAGATCCGGCGGTTGAAAGCTGAGCTCTCGCAGAAGGACATCAAAATCCGACAGCTACAGCTGGAGCTGAAAAACTTGCGCAACAGCCCGAAGAACAATGAACTCTAAAGGACATTTTCTAAACAAACTCTTTGTTTATACCCACTCTTTTAATTTTACTGTATCCACTTAACACACGATATGAGCCAGAGACCCCCGTGGCCAGCCCCCAGGGAGCTCACCCGCTAACTGGAACTGTGTCCTTCTGTGGTCATTTCCTAGCACTAAAAGAAAGACGTGTTGTCTGTATGATGTTAACTGAGAAAACTACTGCATGAAACAAGCAAAGGGACCCATGTAGAGCCCCAGCTTCCCTTGGAGGAAGTAGAGGAGTCAATGCGTTTCCTGATGCCGCCAAGTCACGGGATTAGCTAAACGGGGCATCCGGTTTTCCATTCCATCCTTGAGCAGGAATGAAAAGGGAAAACTGCATGCCCCGCAGGAAGCAATGGCATTGATTAGTATTATTAATATTCTTTTTTTTTCCTATGCAAAGTGTGAGTGACAATGCACACTGGATACAAAACTGGAATTCAGGTCCATGAAACTGGAAGGTACATGGGAGAGCTGGGCATTAATTCATCCCCTTCTCCCGGGAAATTCCCCGCAATGTGCCACGCAAGCAAAAGAGCAGAACCCCCAGGATCCCTTTAATGCTGCAGCGGTTGTTGGGGGTTAAGGTCATGCACAGCTTTCTCAGTATTCCTTAAAAAATGCCATTCCCCACCCCCCCACCCCATAGCCACTGGCATCATTTGTACCGTGGGGCCAGCTCTGCTTCAGCCATAGCTCAGTGGCTTTTCTATGCATCAACCCCTTGGTTGGTTGTCCTATCGAAACAGGGGGCGCCGGCACCAGTTTATAAGAGATACCCGCTCTTTGTATCTCTGGTTCCTAACCATTAATCCCAAGCCTTCACATATTATAGAACTTTGTATTTTCTCCTAGAATCATAGAATTGGAAGGGACCCCCCGCCCCAAGAGTCATCTGGTCTAATCCCCTGCAATGCAGGAAGAATCCCTGGCAGATGGTCACCCAATCTCTGTTTAGCAACCTCCTATGAAGGAGAGTCCACCACCTTCTGAGGTGGTCCATTCCACTGTCTTAAACAGCTCTTGCTGTCAGATAGTGGTTATTAACACATGCCGTGACACGGGACTGCAAGGAAGGAGGAAATCTTGAAGGCAGGAGGTCCCACTGTGGACGGATGCTGAGGTTCAGGCTGCAAGATGCTTCAATCTGGCTGGATCCTGGCTAGCATCTTCTGATGCATTTGCTAGCTCAGTTCTCTGCTGCTGCCAGTGAAGCTCTGCCCTAGGCCGAACCATTGGCAACTGCTGTGAGGCAGCAAAGGGAGGGACCAGTCCCAAAACCTCACTTTTATATGCTGGGGGACGGTGAGGTGTTGCTGCTAGCACCACCCAAATGCAAGGTTGCCCAATGGGTGCTTGCTGCAAGAGGGGTACTGTGAGTTACACAGCAACTGGGACCTTCAAGGTGCTGGCTGTCATGCCCCTGTTGAGATTTATAGTTCCCATGCAATGAGCCCCTAGCATCACCTAGCAATCTGCCTTGCCAGTTATTGCTGTTCAGGTTAGATTCCTACAGTCATCTGCTCCAAATTGGTCAATGGTTTGAAGAAAGAGCCCCAGGGAACTGGGTCCTGGAGACGGATATTCTAGAAGGTAAATCTATCCTGAATTTGGCATCACAGGTAGAGCCTCCTGCCAATGGAGTGAGCCGAAAGCATTTCACTTCCTTAATGAAAATGGGACTTGCCACTGTGGGTTTTAGTGAATAATGGAAGGGAAATCCAAGTGGCAGTAAGATTGCTTCAGTATTTAGTTAGGGCATTCCCTTCCTTCTGAAGACAGTCGCCTTGCTGAGAAATTAGGTAAGGGTAGTTTTCTCTTTGGAGTCCTGACCTCTAACATTCCCCTGCAGGGGGTGAAGAGACAGGATCCCGTGACTGAAATTCCTTTGCCCCCAGTGCAACTATCCTGGAATAAGTTCACCATTGTGGTCTTGAGTGCAGGAACCCTGCGACGAGGAGCTATCATGTATCTGGACCCTAGAACAGGAGGATAAAAAATAGGTGAGCCATTATGTATGCAATATGGGGATAATGTGTGATGTGGGTGGCGCTGTGGGTTAAACCACAGAGCCTAGGACTTGCCAATCAGAAGGTCGGCGGTTCGAATCCCCGCAATGGGGTGAGCTCCCGTTGCTCAGTCCCTGCTCCTGCCAACCTAGCAGTTCAAAAGCACTTCAAGTGCAAGTAGATAAATAGGTACCGCTCTGGCGGGAAGGTAAACAGCGTTTCCATGTGCTGCTCTGGTTCGCCAGAAGCGGCTTAGTCATGCTGGCCACATGACCCGGAAGCTGTATGCCAGCTCTCCCGGCCAGTAAAGCAAGATGAGCGTTGCAACCCCAGTCATCCGCGACTGGGCCTAATGGTCAGGGGTCCCTTTACCTTTACGGGGATAATATATTAGGGCCTACCTTATGATTGATTTCACAGAGTCTGAGGCAATTAGAACACTCAGAAAGTGCTACAGTATATAGAATTGCTATGTTTAAATACATACATACATACGAGATTTGACTTCTGGGGCCAGAACTGGTAAAAAAAAATATGGCCTCTGAAAATGCCAACACCTGCAACTTGGTCCAAGATGATCCTCAGAGCTAGACTCAAGGTAGATCCAGTTCCGGGGTTCATATTCGAACATTTTGGATTGCTGGCCGCAAGAGCTCATGTGTCTACCAAGACTGTCTTGAAACCACCCCAAATTTGTCCATCACCACTGCCAACTGGATGTAGCAAATGTTCCGCAAGGGTGTTGTGGCCGTAGAATGAGCCGATCGAAAGGGTGAGGCTTTAGGTTGTAATGCATCACCCACCTCAAGTTCCCTCTTGGATGCAGTGGCATCCAAGTTCTGCCGAATTCTTTCTGTATCTGTCGGCTGAAATCTAGACCCGAGTTGCTAGAGGTTCTGCACAGTGCTCATTCATGTGTGTGTGCCCCCCACCACACACATGCGTTAACCGCCAAGCACCATCCAAAAAGACAGGTGTGCTTTCTCTCCACCCGCCCCCCACATACTTCCCCATGTTCCCCCACCACGCCACCAATGTTTACATTGTGTTCCGTGCCTAACGCTGACCCCACCCTGCTCCATTTCAGTGTTCTCTCACTTGCTTATTATTTATGCTGCCATAAAAATAGTGACAAAATAAAAAAAATTTTACCAAGATACCAAAACCAAATTTGGTGGTAAAGTCTCCCTTTGCCTTCGGTGGGAAGCTGGTCCTGAGCGATGGGGCTGGGGCAGGGGAAAAGAATCGTGTAGGGATGATCATGATGAATCTCTAAAGCAGCGTTTCCCAAACTTGGGTCTCCAGCTGTTTTTGGACTACAATTCCCATCATCCCTGACTGCTGGTCCTGCTAGGTAGGGATGATGGGAGTTGTAGTCCAAAAAAACAACAACAGCCAGAGTCCCAACTTTGGGAAACACTGCTCTAAAGCAACTTCTCTCTACACCTGGTGTCCTACAATTCCCATTGTTTCATGGCCGTTCTGTCTGGGAGTTGCAGTTCAAAACACCTGCAGGACAGCAGGCTAGAGAAGAGGCCTCTATAAAGTTTTGAATCCTCAAATACGACAGTCTTGTAGAATAAGGCTGGCTATTTCCTTTGCACACATTACATGCGCACATGCACCAGGTCAAAATCCTATTTTGAGAAAGCTGCCTGAGTTAGGCGCTATAAAGTCAAACACCTTTATGGAGTCTCTTGTACCTTCGCAATACTCTAGGGATTACTTTACCTTGGCATGGAAAATGAATCTGCATCACCCTGCCGATTCAGACCGAAAAGGTCTGTCCCATGGAGATGGGTGCACACAATTGTTCTGCGGCATCTGGCACTTGAGAGGTATCATCCTTCTGTACGTGGGGGATCCTCTTAGGCTGTCGTGATTTCTTTTGAAATAATGCACTAAGTGTTGCTAACAATGAATCAGAATGAGCTTCTTCAAAAAATGAAAACAGAAAAACACCCGTCTTTACAAGCGAGGAATGGATTCCGACGTGGCCCGTTTTACAGCAATAAGCCACAGGGGGGGGAAATTGTATAAAAAGATTTATTGAAATTCATCAATGACAAACAAGACATAAAACTGAAAAAGTTTGGCTCTTTGGGGAGCAAGAGGGAAGGTTGCAATATTCTTTTTTTTTTTTTTTTGCTTTTGTCTTTTATACACAGGTGAGATATTGACTAGGAAATACAAGTCACTTCTAACTATCTTTTTAAAGAGGGATATGAAATTAAAACTGTACATTCAACTAGGAATGTTGCACAGTCAATTTAAATGACTTCGCAACATGGTAAGAAAATACAACTTTTGCAATTAGCATTCCGTGCTTGAGTGTACGAAAGGAAACCAGCCTAGGCTAGACATGCGGCATTGTCTGTCCCCCCCCCCCCTTCCAGTATTTAAAGGTTTGTAAAAATCTTCAAGAGTATTACAGAGCACAAGTGGGAACAGATTCTCATTCACTTATCATTAAGGAGGTGTTAATATATCTATATATATAATATTTTACAGACCAAAATAGTACACACCTTAGTTAAAAGGGTTCAAACATTTTCTTTTTTATTACAACTGTCAGATTCATTTCACCAGTTAACTCAGGAAATTAGGAACACTTTTTATATATATTTTTATATATATTTCAATGACTGCCGTTGACAGAGAACTTTTCCATATACCTGAAATAAAGAAAGGGCACAACTCAAGGGGAATCCATGTCTGCCCGGCCATCTCCAAATCAAGGAAGATTCCCCTCAGGGGGTGGTTTGTGCTCTAAAAAATAATAACAACAAGTATGGGGGAAACCCACAACGGAAGATTTGCAAAGTCACCACCCCAAACCAAATTAAATGGTGGTAAAGGGCCAGGAGTCAGGGAAAGAGATTACATATTTGGTCACTATTTACAAACAGCGAAAGTAAAAAGATACCTACAGGAAGTGGAGGAAATTTTGTGTGTGTGTGTGTGTGTGTGTGTGTGTGTGTTTTCCTGGGAACGGCAGCCATTCACAAACAGGCAACAAAGAAAAACACTTTTATCAAGATGCTGCTTGCACCCCCGCTGCTGTGGCTGGAATGCTTTCACCGCCAAAAATTGCTGCACCCAGAAGAAGTAGAAGAAAAAATGCTCAGAGAGTGGCAAAAGCCATTCTCAGGACCCCAAAGATCTCACTTTTCAGATCACCTTTGCATCACATGTGGAAATTTACTCGCTCGTCTTTTCAAAAACAAAACAAAACTCAAGTTGTGTCCAGAATGATCCACTCCAAGAAACAAATTTACCACTTGCTTTATATTTGTTATTGCATTAACAGGAACTAATAATGGGCACAAAAGGAAATTATTCAGGAACAAAAAGTAGAGTGGCAGGTTGTTGTTGTTGTTTTTAAAAAATGATATTTTAATTCCTTCGCCCACCCAATTATGCATGTCCCGCTCGATCCCACAGCAACGTTACACTCCGGGGAGGGGGGGAGGGGTGAAATACAGGGTAGAAACAGTCAAATCACAGTAGGAAATTTATTCCCCACCCCCTCCCCACAACAGATTATTTTGAGTTTAATCATCTTCATCTTCTTCTCCTTCATCATCAGGTTCTCGTTTTCTCTTCTGTCCTTTTTCTTCTTCTGTGGAAAGAAATTAAAGGCCGTGTTATGGTTTTCCCAAGTGAGAGACCTAACGCCTCCCAGGCCCCATGGTTTTGGCACTTGTTCCATTGCAGGGATATTTTTGGCAAGCGCATTGAGCCGGTATGTTGAAGAAGCAGCACTGTAAAATTCTCCTTTCTGTGCCAGAGCATGGAATGACCTTGTTCCACATCAAATCCAGCACAGCTCAGGCCTGTGCTGGTCTTCACATCTGAAGCAGGAAAACCTGAGCAGCAACTAGAGGGTCAGTCAGAGGGCAGACTGAGGGTGGGGGGCCAACAAATCCCAAATGCCATCTACCAGCAGTGTCTCAGCAACCCACACTCAGATCCAGACACTGAAGGGCCAAATAGTGATGCACAGACAGCTCTTCGTCTCAGGGCTTCCGCACCCTAAGGGTCCAGAGCAGTTTACATAAACTAAACAAGCACGTACAAAATAATCAACAAACAAAAACATAGAACAGCTAACAACAATTCCATACAGGAAAGGCAAGTAAAAATTTCTATTTCATTTCCAAAGGCCAGGATAAATAAAACCAACCAAAGGCACCAAGCGTCGACACAGATAACACACCTTTATGGGAGGCGAGTGCCACAGTTTGGGTGCCACCAGAAAGAAGACCCCATTGTCCTGTCTACCAAACGCTTATTATTAAAAAACAACTCTACACCACATGAAGTATGTGCAAAGAATAAAAACATCTGCACAAAAATGATTTATCATTTATCAAACAGCCACAACCACCAGGAGGAAGCCAGCAGCCTCTCTGCAGGGCTTGAGGGGGAAACGGCACAGAAGATCCGAAGTCAAGAATCTGGAAGGAATCTCTGTGAAAAGAGCCTCCATGTGAAATATCTCAAAATCTTATCACACTGCAGTCATGGATTTTCCTCCATGTGGCATTTTCTATCTCTTATTGGGCACAATGGCAGGAATGGGCTATTCAGACTCTAAGCTTGCGTTGCTGTAACCCTTTGACCATTCACAAGGAGGTGATTATTTTTCCTGTTTCAGTTCTGCGCTTACCAGCTTCTTCTTCCTCCTCTTCATCATCTACTTCACCATCGTTGAACCCTTCTTCATCCTCCTGTGGGAAAGAAAGCAGAAAATGCATGCTTTGTCCTTGTACAGAACTTTTTCAAGCTGGCAAAGCTATTGGGAAATACTGTAGAGATTTCAAAGGGGAGGGAAAGAATCCACAATGGTTCAGCAGTGAGAGACTCTCAGCTATATCCTCGCTCCTCCAAAATGACATTCTTACCTCATCTTCCCCGCTTACATCCTCCTCTTCTCCTTCCTCTTCTTCATCCTCATCTTCCTCATCTTCTACTACCTGAGCATCTTCGTCATATTCCTCTTCTGCAAAAAGGAAGTTCACAAGGTCGATTTGCTGCAAGGAGCTACTGGGGAGCAGTGCGGGTCTGCTTAAGAGCAGTTTGCCACCAAGTCTTCCTGCAGCCTGACATGCGCAAGCTGAGTAGGAAAAGCATTTCCTGGGCATGGCGATAGTCGCGGTGGGGAAAGATGCCACCTGCTTGATTTCTGCCTGCCAGGCTCACGATAAAATTCACAGGAGCTACAGCCAAGTAAAACCAAGCAGCAGCCGGAGGTCCTTCTCGTGCCAAGAGTTGGTGTAATTGATGGGAGCTGGGAAAAGACCGTGATGCTGCGGAATCAGGCTTTCTGCTCTTGTGACCTGATGCACCACAGCACTCACTGTCATGGGATGTGGCAAACCTCAGGATCTTGTGGTACTTGAATGATAAAGAGCTAAAGTAGGCCGCAGAAATTCAAAGGGAGCATCTGAAAAAGAGATGTGCAGCTCACAAGGCTAAGAGGACTGAGGGAAATCTGGAGGGTGAGGAGGGAAAGGTCTGTATCAGCGGCCATTCTCCATGACAGCTTAAGTGGAACAGCAGGTGTGAGCAACAACCAGCAAAAAAGGCTCATTGCCCTGACTTTCTGGGGAGCATCTGCCTGCCTGCTGCTGTTGGACACAGACTAGTCAACTAGATGGATAGTTTCTGTCCAATCCAGAAAGTCTGTTCTTATATTTCACCAACCTTTTTCAGGATAAAACTAGAGTGCTGTTAAAGTACTGAGCTGCAGCAAATTTTGCTGAAGGTTCTTAATATAGAAACAGCACAAGGACATTTGTTTCTACTCTTGGGAAACTCCACTAACGAGACCGAGGTAAGGAACAAAGTGACCTACCATCTTCCTCCTCCTCATCGTCATCAAAGCCTTCCGCATTGCCCTCAGCATCTGAATCGGGGGCCTCTTTATCATCCCGGTCGTATCCGTCGAGATACGTGAGTTGTGGGAGGAGTTTGAAGACGTTGTCTCTGTAGTCGTTCAAGTTAGTTACCTCGCAATTGAAAAGATCTAAACTCTTCAGGTTTTCTAACTTTTCCTGAAAGGCAAATAAAGGGTTTCACCTATCAGAATCAAACCTTACCAAAGACCAAAGCTCACCAAGTATATATTAAAAAGCAAATATGCTCCCAGAACAGGAAGGAAGGTCTTCTAGCTGACACATCAGGAGACACCTAGGAGATTTAAGCCACTGCAGAGACCAGGATGGGCTTGGTTGGGCCCTGGGAGGCTTGAGAAGGAAGGGTCCCAAATCTCTCAGACACATGGAAAGAGAAATAAACTTGCTGTGTCACCTGTGGCTGCCCTGAGAATTCAAAGCCTCACTCAAAGGAAGAGACCTTGCTTCCGGGCAATGTGCAACATCAACCCTTCAAGTGACCACCAGAGGGAGCTGTGGAAACGACTCTGCATGTCAATCAAGAGCAAAAGGGAGCAAAAAGGAGGCAGCAGTAGCCGCAGCCAGAAGATTTGCACCACTTCTGGAATTTTAAGAAGGCTCCCTCAGCTGTTGGGTTCAGAGGGTAGCAAACATTTTATTGGCTAATAAAATGATGGGAGGAAGGAGAACTTCAGGCCATCAGCTCTGGAATCAAGGGCCTGACATCTACTGCATCAAGGACCTGACACAACTCTACTGTTTTCTTGTTTTGCTTTTCACAAGCTTCATTTTGTGTCTTTTTTTAGTTGTAAGCCCCCCTTGGGAGAAAAGCACCATATAAATGTAGCAAACAAAGTGCAGCAGCAGCAGGTGGAGAAGAAATTCTGATAGTGTGGTGATTATGAGGGTGAACTACTGCTCAAATCTGGTCTTGGGCCATAAACAGCTCATGCAGCCACAGGCAACCCCCCCCCCCCCCCCGCACCCAAGTTACAGGGCCCTGGCAAGGATGATTGACAGAATGTATGGTGTTAAATCTCTTGCAATGCACCACACACTGACTATTCCATCCCCTTCCTTGTGTCACTAGCAGGCACACACACTCTACTGCTGAAGAGCCACCAGGAAACAAGAAAGGCAAATATGACAGGAGGATCCTGGAAGCGGCAATGGCATAAAGTAGACCAGGAACACCACTGGATGGATGAGGAAGCAACCACTCATTGTTAGGCCTTCCTGAGAGACAAACTCTGATGGGGGTGGGCTAGAGGGCCGCTGGAACAAAACTGGGTGGCAAAGAGGTCATGGGGTGTAAGGTTTGGGCACCCACAAGGCCAAGCAGGAGAGGAGAAACGGGCAGGAGGCACCCAAGAGGGCCAATTGTTTTGTTGCTGTTATTTATAGTCCCACCTTTCCGTCAAGGCAAACACTGTCCCCCTCCCCACTTTGACCCCCACAACAATTTGGTGAAGTGGGTTAAGCCAAGGACAGTGATGGGCCCAAAGTCAACTTCATGGCTGAGTAGTGGTGATTTTGAGCCTGAGGTGCCTCAGTCCAATCCAATATTCTGGTGACCACATCTGCGCCAGGGCCCCAAATGCAGCAGGCAAGGAAAGCCCCACCACGAATCATAGGCATTAGTGTGGGCCATGGCATCAAAAGCTGGCCTCGGGTGGCTCTCTGACAGCTTTGCCCCGACTTACCAGAGGTTCTATTGTACTGAGATCCTTTATTTTGTTGCCACTTAGGTTTAGGTGTGTGAGGTTCGGACATTTTCCTGCCAATACTTCCAGTCCTCCTGAGATTCTATTGTCGCTTAACTCGAGCTGAGGGCAAAAATATATAAAAATGGTCCACACATTTTGCAGTTTTCAGGATTCAATCACATTTTAAAGTTTGGGGCTTTAAATGGCTCTGTGGAATGGCTTGCACTGACCTGAATTGCCTGGGGACAGCGTGGAGAGCAGAGGTGGGGGGTGCCTCTCTGTCTGGCCCTTTGAACTCTCCTCAGACCACGCCTCTCAAAGGCCCTGCTTCACACCCTTAAGGTTTTTGCCTGGCTGGAATGTGCCCTTGCGGAGGGTGTGTATGAGTGTGTGTAGAAACAAGCCTACTATACAATACAGCTTTTGTTGCTCCACCCGCTTTTGCCTCTGGCCCCACCCACCACTGACATGTGGCCCTTGGAAAGTTTCCCAGAGAGGACTCTGACTATCAGGCTACAAAAGAAACCCAACCGTTGTTGTGGAGAGAGAAAATATAGTAGAGGACCTGAAGGACACAAACAGAGAGAAGGGAAGCAGAGAAAGAGCTCCCACTTAATAGGAACTATTAAGACATGTAGGAAAAGATCCAGCAGAGGACAGCATCATGGAGATCCAGGGCATAAGGAGGCAAGCCAGGAGCAGTGGATGGGGGGAATCAACTGTATCAAAGGCAGCAGAAAGTCAAAGAGGAATGTAGCACCTTTAGATCTTGCAATGATTTTTGAGACTGTAGAGTCAGTGGCGTTCAGGGGGTAGAACCCAGACCAGATGTCAAGAGCAGAGGTGAGGCAATAGGAGTAAGCAGCATGTGCACCAGGAGTTTGAGGGTAAGAGGTGTAAGGGAGAGGGGGTGGCACTTGGGAGAGTAAGGACAGGCCAAGGGAAACTGCAGGATGTTTGAGCATCATGGGGGGAAAGGGAAAAGCTGTGTATGTGGAGGAGGCATAATGGTGCTGGAGAGGACAACTCCAAAAAGGGAGGAGATCACGGAAGCATGTGCTGAGAGGGGTTACAGGGCAGTCAACTCATCAAGCAATAACGGAAAGCAAAGAGGGAGGTGCAGGATGAAGGGAAGCCGAAAGAGGAGAGGCGGCAAGTAATCAGAGCTGCTGGTTTCCATTTCAGCACTGAATAAGGAGGAAAAGTCTTGGGCAGGGAGCAAGAAGGGGGTGGGGTGGGACGTGCATCAAAAAGAAGACGACGGGGAGTGAAAATTCCTGCAGCTGGTGTGAATCAGAGAGGCAAAATGGTGCTGCTTGGGCAGGTAGACAGCAGATAAAGATGCAGAGGAGAATATGGGAACTTCTAATGGACAAAGTTGGTCCCCTCTTTAGTTCTTCACAGGTAACTCAGCTTCACAAGGCCATGGAGAGAGGTATCAAATGGGGGGAATGAGCTAGGAGGGCTGAAAGGGGCAAAGAAAAATGCTGGGAAAGGGTTAAGGAAGTCAAGAGCAGATGAGACAGATGAAGCGAAGGTGCAAACTGCAGGAAACACAGGAGTCTGGCAGACATGGAGAAGAGGGGATACTGCCGGGAAGGCCACTGGATCAATAGATTGGAGGTCATGGAAGGAGCGCAAGGCAGAGCATGGTGGACAAGGTGCTGTGCTGAAAGGGAGCAGGGGATGAGTTGACAGAGGGAATTTTACAGCAGACACAGAGGAGCTCTTGGTGAAGGCAAGAGCAAAGGAGTGTCCAGGGCAGGGCAGCAGAGAGGCAAAGATGGATTGAAGAGGCAAAGGAGGAAGAGATGAGAAGCAGTTGGGTCAAGGGGGTTTATGCTGAAAAGATTAAGGAGAAGAGAGTCAACAATGTCAGAGATGAATTTTATGCATTAGGAACTCTCATTATGTAGAAATATGTGTCTTATTATTAATAACTTAAAATAAAACGCCACAATTTTGCTTTGCTCTTTTGCCACAGGGAAATCTAAACATCTGATGTAAAAGTTCCTCTTTGGCAAACTCATTCCATGCTTTAATAATAATGCCTTTCTTTTCTTTTTAAATAAAGACATCTACCTACCTTCTTAAGCTTGTTTAACTTTGGTAAGTTTGCAACTGAGGTGAGGCCTACGTTGATTGTACTTAAGAATTCGAGCTCTTCAAATTCATCTGTCAGACCTTCAATTTTGCCTTCATTTGATCTACAGTTGTCGAGAACAAGTTCTTTAACCTGCAGATAAAAATTAACAAAAAAATATTACTGTAAGTTAAATTATATTTAGTTGCAACCACCACCTTAAGCGAACATACAAGCTGTTTTGAGGCAAATTGCAACAGCACTTCAAGAATTATTGGTCTGTTTACCATAAAAAGCTACTAGGAAATCTCTCTCCATCTATTGAGCTAGTTTACACTGTAGATCAACAAATGACTTGGCCCATGGACTCTTCTTTTCCACTCACTCTATAGATTTCAGGATACTAGCTACCTTACAGAAGGAGACAACTTGCTATTTATGGTATAAAAATGAATAGAGAGATTGAGAGAGCCAGTAAGTGCAGTCGGCAGCCTGTTGGAAGTGGGCTCAAATCCTCGCTCAGCTGTGAAACAGGTGTCCTTGAACCAGTCACTCACTTGGCCCAGCCTACCTCACTGAGTTGTTGTAAGGATAAAATGGAGTTCATCTGCAAATATGCTGCTCTAAGCTCTGTGAATCAAACACAGCTGAATTGTTCCAGGCCCTCTAATTACACCAGAGTAAAACGATGACCCTAAACACACCAAAATCAATAGGGCATGCTTACAAATAAACGTTATGCATTTTAATGTCGCATCTAAGCAAAAACTGTTTCTTTGTTAACAGCTGTACGTTTCTACAAAATTGCACCTTTAATTTTTTTCAGGAGTAACTGTTCTTAAGGTCCTTGATCAAATATAGTATGAATCAATTGCAGGTGGTGGGAGTGAGGAACATCTTACCACCAGGAAAGAAGCAACAGGCAGTGTTAGCATCACTCCAAAGCCTGAGTGTGCCCTGTATCCTCATCATTCTGACATGCATCTTCAGCTGGTTTTGTTTGGCAGATTTGATATGGAGCTTTTTTTTATTCTTGTAACTTTAACAGTGCCTAGCCAGGCCCCTGTGTGACCTTAGTAAGTAAGAATACCCCCAAGATCAGCACACAGCTGATCAAGACTGTTGTCTATCTGACCATATGCTGCCAGTTTGTGCTCAAGATAACAAAGAAGAAGGCGGCTTAAGCAACTGATGTCGATAGCAGGGTGTGTGTGTGGAATTAAGAGCCTCAGAAGAATACAGCATCTTTTAGCAAAGACAAGAAGGGGAGAGAACCCTGAAGCAAAATGCACCTGCCACAGCCCCACTCCTTCCTCCACCTAAGCTGGGGAAGGGGAACCAGCTGTGCCCCTCCAGATGTTGTTGGACCCCAGACCATCGGCCATGCTGGTTGAGGCTGATGGGAGTTGGGAGTCCAACAACATCTGGAGGGTGACAGTTAGTTCCCCCACCCGTCCTAGACTGACACAGTACCTACAGTGGTACCTCAGGTTAAGTACTTAATTCGTTCCGGAGGACTGTTCTTAACCTGAAACTGTTCTTAACCTGAAGCACCACTTTAGCTAATGGGGCCTCCTGCTGCTGCTGTGCCACCGGAGCACAATTTCTGTTCTCATCCTGAAGCAAAGTTCTTAACTCGAGGTACTATTTCTGGGTTAGCGGAGTCTGTAACCTGAAGTGTATGTAACCTGAAGCGTATGTAACCCGAGGTACCACTGTATTAGAATCATAGAATTGTAGAGTTGTAAGGAGTGCAAAGGGTCATCAAGTCTAACACTTTCAATACAGGAATATCCACTAAAGCAGCCATGGCATGCAGCCATCCAACCTCTGCTTAAAAACCTCCAAGGAAGAGAGTCCACCACGTCTCGTGGGAGTCTGTTCCACCATCGAACAGCTCTTACCAGTGCTTTTTTTCTAAAAAAAATTATTTAGGCGTACTCTCATTTTCCTACTCATAATGAAATACTGCCCCTCAATGAGGCCAAACCTAGATTCACAAAATGCTTAGGGGTATATGTACCCCTGCGTCCCCCTAGGGGGGAAAAGCGCTGGCTGTTACTGTCAGAAAGTTCTTCCTGATGTTTAGTTGGAATTTTTTTCTTGTAACTTGAAGTCATTGGTTCGGGTTCTACCGTCCAGAGCTAACAAGTTTGTGCCATCTTCCATTTGACAGCCCTATTTGAAGATGGCTCTCATATCTCCTCTCCGTCTCCTCTTTACCAGGCTAAACTCCCTCCACCATTCCTCATAAGGCTTGGTTTCCAGACGCTTAATCATCTTGGTTGCCCTCCTTTGCACACGCTCCATCTTGTCAATATCCTTCTTATATTGTGGCACCCAGAAATGGACACTATACTCCAGGTGTGATCTGACATTAATATTCAAAGAGAGAAAAGCAGACACGAGCTATGTCTGCAACTATATCTTGATCCTCTATTATGCCTTACTACTTATATTAAAATGTATCTGACATAACTATAAAAGATCCCGTTTTCCCATTATTATTATTATTATTATTAATATTATTCCCCCCCACCTTTTTCCCCTGACAGGGACTCAAGGCAACTTACAGCCATACTTTCACTTCCACAATAATTGCTTGGAAAGGACAGTTAAGCACATGTACCAGGGTTTTTCAGGAGGGCCCATATCCAACCATGTGCAAATATCATTTGACGCACAAGAAATCCGCCATCAAATATAAGTTAATTTTCTTCACCACTTAAGATATTTTATATTAATTGTTTAATAAATTTGCCCAAGATACTCACTTCTGGGCAACTTTCTGGGTGCCATGTGCCAGTGTTGGGTTGGGCCAGAGGCAAAAGTGGGCACAGCAACAAGTATAAATTCTACCTTTGAACAGTAGGCTAGTTTCAACACACTCACACCCCCTCCCTGCCCTCCATCCAAGCAAGCAAGCAAGAGGCACGATCAGATGTCAGCCTCTTTCCAGCCAGGTAAAAGTGCTCAAGGGGGAGATGGAGCAGGAGTTGCCTGGAAGTGGGTGTGTGGCTTTTTCATAGAGTGCCAAGGAACACAGACAGCCTGAGGTTTCCCACCCATTTGGATGGTTTAAAAGCCCCAGTGAAATTAGATGGCTGCTTTAAAAGTTTTTTTTTATTATCATGTCCCCTTATCACGGGTCCTTCTCCAAATGATACATTCTGTTCCTTGAAACTGTCCTCAGGTGGTTTTGTGCTAGTTGCATTGAGGGCAGCTGAAACAGGCCTTTGCAACTTATTACAAAAGTGCACAGTGAGAAGAGCAGAGATCTCTAGTCAGCTTCTCTGCCTCCGCTTAAAGCACAGATCACCACACCCCTGCACTGCTGATGAATCCTGGCACCCCACAGCCTTGCTCTTCACTGAACCCAAAACTGCTTTCCAAACTGGTTTCTCTGGATCTTCCTTGCAATAGGCCCCTCAGCTTCCTCCGTGAAGTTTGCTTTTGAAGGTTGCTGCTACTTGTCCCAGGAAGATCCTTGCTGTTAAGTGTTCTGCATCAATTAAGTGCTTCACATAGCAAAAGATCCTCCTTTTATAGCATGGGGGGGGGACGAAATATGGTACCACTCTCTAATACACACTCCTCCCAACATGAATGGCTTGCTGATAAGCCATCTGAATCCACCCACTGACCTTGCACGCCTGAGCCCAGCTGTGGTCCTGCAGTGCTTTTCAGCCTAACCTTCATCGCCCAGGGCCCAACATCCTGGCTATGATCTTGCATGAGAAAGAAATTCATTGTGGATTCAAAATGGCACTCTTCGCAATATATATATTTGGCCAGTTTAAGTATCTACATAAATAAATCAAACACCAGGGAGCTTCCTGTTCTTCTAGCCTCCTGGAATGGCCTTGCCTCTGACTGGCCCTCCTAGCTTACAGAAGCCCCAGCAACTGACTGCCAGGGTAGTTCAGTTGGCAGAGCATCGGACTATGACTGAGAACTAAGTTCAAACCTGCCTCCATCTGTGCAGCTCTCAGTGGGGGCCCTCATTCTACTGTGTGTGTGTCTAACCCATCTCACAAAGGGGACGGGGAGGAACTAGGCGCCTTGGAAGAAGGGTGCAGCAGCAATTTAACAAACAAAATGGCATTTATTGTAATTTCCAGAAGGGTAGCAGGGTTAGTCTATTGCAGCAAAACCAGCCAGAGACCTTAGAAAGGAACACGTTTATTATGCCGTAGGTTTTTGTGGGCTCAGGTCCATGAAATCTTTTGCCGTAATAACTGTGTGAGAATTTAAGGTGTGGTGAGCCTCTAGTCCAAAACAGGAGGGCTACCTTCAATGGATAATTCACAGATGTGGACTTCCCATAAAAGTCTTTTTAGGCACCCTCCCGCTTGCCCCAGCCCAAATTAGGGAAGGAAGAGGTGGGGAGACAAAAGAAATCTCCAACGGTCTTGGTGCAACCTCAAAGCTGGCTTCACAACCAGAGGCGATCCTCTGTTACTGGAAAATCCACAGCTGTTATTTTGGGATGCCTGTAGCTTTCTTAATTTATGTCGAGTAGGAGGCACTATGTCTCTGAATCCCAGTTGCTGGGGTTTACAAAGGAGAGCGCTGTTGTTGAACTCTCATCCTGTTTTGAGGGCTTCCCATAGGTATTTAGGCACAGTGTGAGAACAGGGTGTTGGACTAGATAACCTGAACTAGCAGGGCTCTTCTTATGCCAAATTATGACTTAATTACAGATGGGATAGTTCAGCTGGTTGCTCTGGCACAACTCTCATTGATGTCAAGGGATTTGTGCAGGTGTGCTATTTAGTACCAGACAGGGCACATAAAAGGGCATGTTGGTTTTTTTGAAAACATCATTGTGACCCATAAATAGTACCGTTAAGTAGAGCAATGGGTGGAAACCTAGGAGTCCTCGAATAAGAGGTTAGTACACTGAGGTACTAACTGAGAAGGGACGCGGGTGGCGCTGTGGGTTAAACCACAGAGCCTAGGACTTGCTGATCAGAAGGTTGGTGGTTTGAATCCCCGCGACGGGGTGAGCTCCCGTTGCTCGGTCCCTGCTCCTGCCAACCTAGCAGTTTGAAAGCACATCAAAGTGCAAGTAGATAAATAGGTACCGCTCCAGCAGGAAGGTAAATGGCGTTTCCGTGCTCTGCTCTGGTTTGCCAGAAGTGGCTTAGTCATGCTGGCCACATAAACCGGAAGCTGTACGCCGGCTCCCTCGGCCAATAAAGCGAGATGAGCGCAGCAACCCCAGAGTCGGTCACGACTGGACCTAATGGTCAGGGGTCCCTTTACCTTACACTGAGGTACAGGGAACAGAAAGTTTCCAAGGGTCCCTCACATGAAAAACACCAGGCCAGTGACTGAAAAAAAAGTTGGAAGAAAAACAATGCAGAACTAAGGTCAGGACCTGTTTGAAGGCCTCCCAGAGGCATCTAGTTGACCACTGTAAGAATAGGATGCTGGATTACATGGACCTTCGGCCTGATCCAACAGCCAGGCTCATGTTGCTCAGATGTCAGGTAGTTGTTGTTTGGTCGTTTAGTCGTGTCCGACTCTTCGTGACCCCATGGGCCAGAGCACGCCAGGCACTCCTGTCTTCCACTGCCTCCTGCAGTCTGGTCAGGTAGTAGACCAGAGAAAAACATATGGGGTGTGGGTGGGTGACTATGAAGATGTCACCAGAATATAGTTCACATTAGGCAGTTTATAAAGAGGAGATGGAGGTGTACCTCCTTCTTCTCCATACAAAGCCAGCAGGTTATTATACTTCTAAAAAAATAGTGACTCCACCGTTTGCCTTTTCAGACAGTCTAACCTCTGTTCAACAATTACAATGAACAAACATGTTCTGAAATTGCCTCTGTGGCATTCCCTTTGCAGGAACAGATACCTTCAGCACTGCTTACCTGGCTTGCAATGTGGAAATCACATCAGATAAAAACAAGCAGCAGCAGCAGCAGCAGCGGCAGCAAAGAACTACATCTTGCAGGAATACTCTCCCTACGGAGTACCAAAGGAACCCCTCCCATCAAAGGCAGGCAGGCAGGCAGAGCCTCTGGGAGCCAGATGGCTGAAGAACTGCATTAAGCAAAGCCAGCACCTCCTTGCTGTCTCAGCAAAAGGAAGGTTATTGGAGAGAAACTGAACAGCAAGAGCATGTGGGCAAGGACTGAGCTCCCTGCTAAAGCACAGAAGTGCCTAGTATACATAATTGTATACTTAGGAGCCATCAACCACTCAACTGCCCTCCCTAACAAGTGGCACTAGATCCTCCTTGTTGCACCAATATTTCCCCCCACCCTTTTCTCATCCTCTATTACAGCCAAGCTGGGGCTGAAGTCCAGCCAACTCTTTTCCACCAACCAGGCAACAGGCTCCCAGGATTTATCATACCAGATTTTGGGATGTGGAAAGGAAAGCGAAAAGCCACACAGCTGCAAGATCAGATATTTTAAAAACAACAAGGATAAAATGTCTGAACAAATAAAATATGCAGTGCAATTTTTTTTTAATAGAGGTTGGATGGCCATCTGTCATGAATGCTGTCGCTAAGACTCCTGCATTGCAGGGGGTTGGACTAGATGACCCTTGGGACCCCTTCCAACTCTACAAAGCTACAATCATCCCATATTTCCAGGCTCACGCTTCTTCAGGGGATCAACTACAACTGATCTCTTGGCACCCCTTCTTCTCAAAGTTTCCAGCTGGGATACAGAAGACCTGCAACTAATTGTTGCAACGTCCTCCTGTTCGGTGTCTCAGTCAGTCAGTCATGCCCTTCTCCACAATACTCCATTCCATTAACCCTCCACCCAGTTTTCAATCCCCCCTACCCACACCTAACAGTAAGGGAAAGGACTGGGAATCTTGTTTCTGTTATTATACAGAGCTTCAGACATGCTGCTGCAAGCCCATCATAAGTAAAACACCAGGCCGAAAATCCTCTAACCAGTTCCAAATGAATGAGGGCGGGGGACTGCCTCTCCCCATGCACCTTGAAGATTATCCCCACCCCAGCACTCCTCTCCAGTTCCAGGCTCAGGTAGGTGGGGCTCATCTTGCTGCCCAGGGTGAGTTAGATTTCTTGCTCCTTGATTTTGCCATGAAATAAATAACTTTAAAAATGGAGTGCAATAGTCTTGCCCACTATACCTGTGTAAACTACTGGTAACGTCTGTTGTGAACCAACAGGATTACCAGATCTGCGTTACAGCATAGGTAAGCAAGCGTATAGTTTTTCCAATAAAGTCAACTCCAGTTTACAGAGACCCATGGAATATTGAGACAAGTGAGGAAACAAAAGGAAATTCTGCTAAATTAAACATTTCAGTTAAATGGGTCATATAGAATTGAAATTCACCAGGTCCAGGGCATAAGGAGTTAACATGAAAAACATCATATGGCAGCCTTCCCCAGCCTAGTGCCCTCCAGATATGTTAAGCTACAATCCCCATCAGTCCCAGCCAGCACAGCACAGCTGTATTATGTTGGGCTGATGGGAGCTGTAGTCCAAAACATCTGGAGAGCACCAGGTTGGGAAAGACTGGCATATGATACACCAGGTTAAAACTATCAACTTTGCCCTGGACACAATCCACTGGGCTCTCCTGCTGTAGCTAAGCTCCCATTCATATAATCAAGGCAAGAGAACAGAATCCCCAACAGAGGATTTGTTTGATTTTTAATGGACTCGGCTTGCATAATTTCAATCCTTGTAAAAAGAAAAAAAGAAAACCACCACCAGCAACCCAATAAACCATACAGACTATTCCAAATACATCACCCTCAACAAAAAATTTATTGGAAGTTAATCTGTCTTGCTTTGGACACATTTGTAACCTATTTCCAAGCAAGAGCCTTTAATAAAACAAATCCAAATGCTTGGCTAGAACTTCATGAATAGTAAATATTCAAATGTCTAGCAAAAACCTAATGAATAGTAAATGAACAAAAGGTGGTTAGGTATAAAGCCACTTTTATACATGTTTGGAATGGCACACTATAAATAAATTCACTATATTCCAATGAATCAGCTAGATTAACAATACTTGCTTTCATTTTAACTGAGACATTTTTAAATAGATGATTATCTTTTCCATGACAAAATGTACCTATCTAGAAGTAATCTGATATTATTTTAAGAAATTGCAGAATACTGTGAAATTCTCTTGATAAAATTTTGTGATCCCATGGCTAAAATTCTAGTTTTAAGCTATCATTGTTGTGGAAGACAGTAGCCAAACCTTCTACAAGAAATCCTTTAAGCAGTAGGCTCTGCTAGGGGACATAAAGTCTAAAGAATTCCCCCACTTATTTCTCTTCAGCAATAACTAGGATACAGTATAAATGAAAGTTTTGCAGCATTGCCTTCTCTTAAGGTGGGACTGTTGGCAATCAATTGCTTTTTCGAAAGGAAAGGAGCTCCATGGTTGTTGCTGGTAACTCAAATACAATAAAGTAAAAACCCAGAGCCAGTATTTTTGCCGCCAAAGAGAAAAGGAACCTTCCTGTCTTACTAGGAAAGATGGCCTTGACTCTGCCTTCCCACATCTTCCACATTTCAAAGAAAATCCACTGACAACGGGCGGCAGGAACGACTGTAGAATCTATAGGGCAGGAGCCCCAGACAGGCCCCCTCCCCAAATAGGATGGAAGGCCCTCGCTGCGTTTCGCCGCAGCCCACCCTTCCTCCCGACCCAAATATTGTCTCTGTCGGGAAGCACTTTAAAATGACTGGCTGATTCCAAAAAGCCGCCCCCCCTTCCCGCCAACAGCAAGCAGATGGGAAATTGCTGGGCCCCCGAAAGCAAGCTCGTCCTTCAAACTACACCCCGCCCCGCAATCACCTTGGGTGCAACTTCCGTAATGCTTGTGCAAACCTCCTTTTCCTGGCCGTTTTGCCCGTCTAAACGGCGCGCCTCTCCCCCTCCCGCGTCAGTGACACCAGTGACAAAATGGCAGCCCCTGGAAGCTGGCAGTCATGTTCGGCTCGCTCGCACGCACGCACGGCGGAGGGAGGCAGGCAGGCAGGCGGCTGCCCCCTTTGGCTCCGAGGCGGCTAAGCGCCACCGTCCATCCCCACCCCCCACCCCGTCCGTTCCCGTGATCGGAGCCCAAGCGTGCGCACTGGGGGGGGGGGGGTAGGGAGGAGGGCGCGGGGTGGGTGGAGGCGCTTCCCTGCTTCTCTCTCTCTCTCTCGCGCTCGCTCTGCTGCTCCCGCCGCCCGGGAAGGAAAAGGTAACCTTCTGCCCATGAATTATGCACCGCGCGCAGAGATTCCTGCGGGCGGGCGCCGCGATCCACAGACACTCCCCCGCCCAGCTATGAACGAGCACGTCGTCCCCCCCCCCCATATTTTTTTGTTTTGTTTTCTAGGCGTCCGTGCAGATTGCGTTCTCCTCCTCCTCCTCGCGTGGATCCAGAGAGCTCCTCCGCTTCCCAACCCAGCCTCTTCTCTCCTTTGCAGTTCGACGGGGGGAAAGATGGCGCCGTGTCCTACTTCGGAGTGAGTGTGTGTGACCAGCGCCAGCGAGGAGACCCAAGTTAGGCAGAGGCTTTCCGCGGGGCGGAGGCAGAGAGAGAGAGAGAGAGAGCGAGGAGTGCGCTCGTCCGACGGAGCTCCCGACCCACAAGCAAGGCGGCTCCGGCGTCCCCACGAGCGCACACACAAAACACGCCCGCGGCCAGAGACGCGTCTGCCCGCACAAGCCTTAGTCAACACCCGCGACGGAGAGAGAGGGAAAAGCAGAACTGCGCCGGTGTGTGTGCCATAAAAAGCGCCCCCCCCCTTTCCAGACTTCTTTCTTTTAAAGTTTAAAGAGCACGTTACATAAATCTGCAGGTCAGGTTCTTGCGCTTGTCTAGGGGCCCGAAATCGCAGAGAGCTGCAGCTGCTGCTGCTGCTTCCGAGGCAGGGGTAGTAAGGGAGATGGGGGCGAAAGGAGGCAGGTGACCGATCCATTTCCCCCACTACCGCCACCAGCACGGTGGAACCCAACTGCGTTATGATTTTAAAACCTTACGTAAATGCCCCCACCCCCGCGTTAGCGGAGGAAAACATCTTTAAAGAGGGTGGGGTTGGGGAGGGGGGGGCACTTGCTTCCCCAGACACAGGCGAGTTCTTGCAAAAGAATGGGAGGGAGAGATGAGAGCTCGCACTCCGGTTCCGAAGACATCGTCTTTACGCAGAGTAGAAGCCACCCAAATCTCTCCCCACGAAGACCAGCCTTCGAAACGGGCAACCTTAATTTCTCCTTGGGCGGCGGGGCGGGAAGGATGCAGCGCCTCAAGTTCTCCCCCCCCCCCCCGCCGCCCCAACCTTACACAGGCTGAAGTGTTTTCTTCTGTTGCAAATGGGCACCAGGGGGGAAAACGGAGCCCTGGAAATCGCCCGGGCGAGGCTGGGAGACTTTACAAAATGCAGCTCAACCTCTTCCTCGCTCGGACAAAGTTTCAGCTTTATTTAGAGGCAGAAGCAGAACAACATCCCAAGTCCAGCCCCGAGGAAAAGGGGGGTAACTCAACCAGTCAGCAACCCCCGCTTCCTTTCGCCCGCCTTTTTGTGTATCTTGTGTTTGCGTGAGGATGGTGGCTCCATCGGGGCTGCTTCGGCCGCCAGCTTCCTTGCCCTCTTCGCTATATCGGAGGGTTTAAGCCCCCCACCCATCCTCCAACCCTTGTATTGAATGCAAACTCCCCCTACCCTCCCAAAAACTATGCCTGAGCTTCGCAACATCTGGGGAGGGGAGGATGAGAGGGAGAGAGAAAGGGCGCGTTCATGAGGACTACAAAGTTGCAAATATGGCTCCCCAGTCACCCTCGCCTGATCCGCTGCGAAGAGGCAATGAAAACTGGTGATCGCCCCCCAAGTCGCTCGCAGACCCCCCCCCCCAACCTGCCCGGCTCCAGAACCTGATCCTAGCAAACTCCTCCAGTCCCCGCCGGAGCGCAGCGCCAACTCGACAAGCCATTATTATGCCGAGGCTTTTGCGACGCGCTTTCCCGGGGCGCTATTTTCCCTGCCACCCGGGCAACCAAACACGAAGGAGACTTGCCTTGGAAACCGGGTGGTAATTTTTCTTACCCCCCCCCCCGCCCCATCTTTGGTCACACTCAAACGCGTGAGCTTTTGGGCACCCCCCCCCCCATGTGGGTACACACACAGCCACGCGCGCGCACACATACACACCGTGGGCACCTCAAGGGCAGCAAAAGCACCCACGACGGCAGCTGGCACAGACGGCGCCCACCTCTCCCCACGGCGAGCGCGCCCCCTTACTCCTGATGTATTGGCTCTCTTTTTGCAAGCTGCCCCCCGTACCAACACCTTCTCACAAAGCCCCCCGCCCCACATTACAAAAATAAAATAAAAATCTCCTTGCACAGGCTTACGTCGGAGGGCGTCCTGTTCCGCAGCTCTAAGTGGATCCTTTTCTTCATGTCCATGTCCCTGATTCAGCAGGAGGCTCGCTCCGTTTCGCTGCGCTGCGCTCGGCTCCCTCTTTTGTATTGACACCAATGGAGCAAGCCAGGGACCCCCCCTCCCGCCCCCCCGACCAAAGCCAGCGCGCGAGGCAAGAGGGACTTTGAGCGCTCAACCAGCTCCGCTCGGAATCCCCCAACGCGGCCAACAAGCGCGCACACTAACCTGATAACTGCGGGGGCGGGCGCTTGCCGAAAAAAAGCTCCTCCGTTACGGACGTGCGCGAGAGCCAACCGGAGTTCGGAGAGCGCACACGAGATCCAATGGGGAGCGACCAAGGGCGGCGGGGGCCAATGGGAGAGTGCGGCACGGTCGGCCAAGGAGGACAGCCCGGTTGGGAACCAGCGAGCTGAGGCGCAGTCGGGACTAGCCGCGGAAGGCGACGGGTGGAAGAGCTGTCGGAGGCTGGATTCGACGAGCGAGCAAGCGAGGAGGGGGCCTCTACCGCGCCGGGGTGTGCGTGTGCGCGCATTTGCGAGGACGGTCGGGGAGGAGGACCAGCAATGGGGAGGGGCTGTTGAGCAGAAATGTGTGCGGTGGGGTCTGTATCAAAAAGTGGGTTAATGGTGGGTGGGTAGGAGCACTGCTGACCCTGAGATGAAAGGGGTGGGGATAGAAGGGAGGGAGGGAAGAGGCTAGGGATGCGATGGGAGCACTTAAAGGCTGTGGGGCTGTAGAAATGGAAAGGGCGAAGTTGTGGGTCTGCGTTAAGGGTTAGGAAATGAACGGATTCAGGAAGGGAGCGAGGTTAGTTTGGATTTGGAAGGAGGGCTGCCTGGGAGTCATTATGGGATGGGAAGAAGATATAAGTGATCTGGGAGTTATTTAAAGCTTAGGAAGCATAGGTCGTAATTTCTAATGCATGAAACCTGTACTTTAGAGCAGCGGATGCTCTGAAATTGAAAAGACGAGGCTAGATACAGAATGGGGCTGGGCGTTGACAGGTGGGTTAGAATTTTTGGCAGGGGAAATAGTTCAGGGAGGTGTGTTGTGAAATGAGTTGCTCTGTTGAAAAGAGTTGAAGGAAATTAGATAGAAGACTGAGAGTTTCTTGAGAGGGGGGATAATTGCGATGGGGAACTGCTGGACAAATCCTAGCTCCATATTGCCCTAGCATCTAGAAATGTGGCGCTGTCTCCTAGAAATATAAACACTTCTTTTCCAGTTGCAGGGTGGGTGTGGCTCCTGAAATGAGAGGGCTGGCTTTGAATACAGGAGTCAAGTGGGAAATGATGAGTAGAAAGAAAGCTTGCAAGAAAGTGACAGTCTTCCCCATGATAACAATAATTGCTGTCAAATGTTGATAGTTTTCATGGAATAAAAACTATCTCAGAAATAAGAGGTGGGGGCACTTGTTCTTTCTGTCTGGTGAGGATAGGAAAAGAAGCAATAGTAGTCAACTGCGAAAAAGGTAGAGCATGTGTTTAAAGATTAGGCGGTATCCTTATATGAATAGTTCAGCAACGGTGTAAGCAAGAGAATGTGAGGAAAAGGCAGTGTTTTAAAGTTGCTGGTGGTATTATACAGTCAGCAGCACTGTTGGGTATGCAGGAACTGTGCCTTGAAGTGATGCAAGTAGGTCTAGGCAGAATTCCTATTGGGGCAATGAGCAACAGTATTGGAAGGTGTTTGTTAAAGTTGGGGCTGAATGTAGGGCTTGTACTTCGAAATAAAATAATGCATGCCAGGACTGAGTTGTTTACATTGAGGGAGAATTTGGGGGCTGTCAAATGGGAATTGCTGCAAGAGAGCTGTATCTCAACTATGGTGTCTGATACAATAATTTTTGCAAGTTCCTTTCCCCTGCATTTCCAGCTAGGGACGAAAAGAAGGCAGAATCCATCAGAAGAAATTTTGAAGCAACGGAAGGGGTGTACTCCGATGTGACTGCATTTAGTCCCCTCATATCCAGGCTTGTTTGAAAAGAGGTGTGGTTGGTTTGGGAGGGTTGTCTTTTGTTGGCACCCTTGCTGTTGGCCTATCTTGTTACACTTCTGCTTTCCAAGCAGTGTCACACGTCTCTTCCCTTCCATTGCACCTCTTGTACTACTCCCCAGAGTGAAGAAGAGATCTTTTGGTAATCACTGGGGTATTTATAAAAGGAATGCTTGGTACTTGCAAGCTCACTTTCTTTGGAGGACTTCCAGGACTTGACTTCAAGCTGCAGGTTCAGAAATAAAGTTCATGTGGGAATGCTATTTAAACAGGGTCATACTGTTATGTTAATTGCTCTTGTCACACTGACGAACCTTCAGGTATGGACTTGTGTCTCTTCTCCTTCCTCCCAAGGCTTGAAATCTTGCTCTTGGTCCTCCCAAGCAGCGAGGAGCCTAATCAAGCATGATAAACTAGGATGCTAAGTTGGATTTCTTCTTGAAATCTTAATGAGTTTCATATGTTTAAAATACTGTAATGGATTTTAGTGGAAGGCTGACTTTCTATATTTTCACATGTGATAATTCAGGGAAGATTGGCAGGATGCAATTCACCCTTCAATGATACCTCTAAAGAACCAAATAAGTTGTATCAGTGTTCTTAAGTTGATCTCTGTGTTACCCTTTTAATTGTGAATATCAGCATATTCCAGTGGTAGAACTGTTTTAAAGTTCAATGGCTCAGTCATCATAAAGTGACTTTGGTATTCCAGCATTCTCCTTTTCAAGTAGTGCATCAGGAGAGGTCTGCTGAGCTCTCTGGCTATTTTAACTGGAACTGGCATAGTCAACAAGTCAAGGGAGGGATTTTCTGTAAGACTTCCTAAAGATCAGTTGACTATGGACCATATCTTTTATCTAGTCTTGTAGAGAGGTCAGGGGAAGGTCAGCTCGGAGGAAAAGAACATAAGCCACAAGGACATGTGGAGTTTGTTGGCATTTTTAAAAGCCCCATGAGTGAGCTTCAAGAACCATGAAATACACGGCACTTGAGCTCAAACATTTACTTTGCATTACATAGAGTAAGAGAGGTGACAGCCATGATTCTAGAGCCAACTGATTAGATGACAAGCAACTGCTAATATTTCTTTTTTTTTTCCTTTTCATTATGCACATTTTTTTTCTTCTGAGCTGCGCTAAATAGACCCAACTCTTCTTTCGGTTCCTTCCATCAGAACTTATAATCGCAGTTGTCCCTTGTTTGCAGCCTTCCCTCCTCTGCTTCCTCTTCTCCCCAGAGAGTCCTCCTGAACAGGTTGTGGTGGCTCTTCCTTGGATGTGCCTGCCTGCTAATATTTCTGCCTAGCCTCCTGTGCTTGGGAACCCAAGCTGTAGTGCAGGATCACACGCATTACTGCTGCTCTTTCTCAGTTTTCAGTATGCAAAGTGCTTTATAGTCTTCAGCTGTTAGGACTAAAGATTCAAGTGTCCACATAATTTAAGTCTTAAAGGAGGATGGTATCTGGCATTGAATCTCTGAAAAATGTTAGCACAAATTAAGCACTTGCAGAGCTGTAGGCATTCTTGTCTTCCTCCCTGCCCCCGCTTTTCTGTTTTTGCAGGTATGGGGAAAACAGTGATCAGAAGATCACTGTTTTGCAAGCCTTGTACAATTTCATAAGGTTCTGCTGTTTTGCCTCTACAACCAGCACTGCGAAATAACAGCTTTTTGTAAAAGTGTGATCACACCAAAGTTCAGTGAGAAATACAAATGGAAATGGTTGTTCTCTCCCTTGCTGCAGGAACCCCTGTTATTCCAAAGGGAATTAAAAGCACATACTTCTTACTTTTTTTGGCACTCCCTCCCCCACTGGAGCATAACGGACTTCAAGGGACAGTGTATGTACTTTTTCACAACTGCTAATGCATTTCAGGCTGCTGCAAGAGGATAAAGGGAAGAGCTTGTTTTCTAAACTAAGCTGGACTGAGGCAACAGAATGGGTAACATAATGTGGCATAGGGCAACTTTTCATGACAACTGTGCATTTTTTTTCATAAAAAGCAAAAAATGTACAGCATAGTGATCATTTTCAGACATGGAGCATTTGATATTGCACATGTGTGCACATGCACAGCCAATTGAAGTACTTCTATTAGAGCATGGTGTAATCTATTTTCCTTTTTGTATTAAAGGAGAATTTTTAAATTGTGTTTTTAAATTAAGGGTTCTAAGCAAAATATCTTAAGATTCTAATGCGATATAATTGGACTGAAAGACAAGAAATATATCAGTTTCCTGATTCCATCTGAAAGTTTAATATAACACTCTTTTCAGATTTAGGGCAAATGACGTTTTCTAACTTTTAACAAGCAGCTTGTGGGTATAAACCACTATCCTCTAGCTTCCATTTCAGTGGGGTGTGTGGAGGTCTCCTGGTTTGCTTTTGGTAAATGTACTCCTATCTGCTGTTGTATTAGGGCAGCCTTTACTATGCTGGTTGGAGCTGATGGAAGCTATAGTCTAAAACAGTGTTTCCCATACTTGGGCCTCCAGCTGTTTTTTTGGACTACAATTCCCATCATCCCTAGTTAGCAGGACCAGTGGTCAGGGATGACGGGAATTGTAGTTCAAAAACAGCTAGAGACCCAAGTGTGGGAAACACTGGTCTAAAACATAGAGGGCACCAGGTTATTGTTCAGCCATCATCTGAGGCCCTTCTTTGTGTGCCTCAGTGGGAGGTCTGGAGGGTGGCAACATGAGAATGGGCATTTTCAGTGGTGGCTCTCATGGAATGCTTGTCCCAGGGAGGCTTGCCTGGCACCATCATTACATATATTTAGTCACCAGGCAAAAGCACTGCTTATTAATCCGGCCTATAGCTTTTAACATGGCCTTTTTACATGGGTGGTATGTTTTAATATGGGTTGTTTTATTTTTGTTTTTGCTGGTTTTAATGTATTTATTTTTTGCTTAAAATATTGTACGTCGCTTGAGTTGCTGTGGCAAAAAAAGCAACTAAGTGTCAATAATAATAATAATAATAACAATAACAACAACAGACAAGCACCACTACTGCTTGTCACCCTTACTGGTGCTCATGGTGCAGCATCCTTTCTGTGATGGCAGCACTCTCACTTCAGAAAAGTCTGTCAAACCAGCTCAGTTTTTATCACCAACTTTGGTATTAACATGGAAGGGGCCTTTCAAGGAGGATGATCTGATGTTGTGTTTGCTGCTTTGTCTTTCTATTGTTATAGGGTTGTTGTTTAAGTATTACCATTGCTATATGCAATGTAAGGTGTCTAGAACACAAATTATTTCTACACAAAGAATGAAAGCTTTGTAAGATAACACTAAATACTTAATCAAACAAAAATCTATAACAGCATACTCCTGCAAATATTTACTCAAAAGTACCACTGTGTTTGTTAAAGGACTTTCTAATGTTTTTGGAACTGCAGACTAAGTATCTTGAAATACCTGTACTTGTTTATTAGCAGAGATGCATGTGTCATTCAGACTTCATTTAAAGTTGGTTTTTTTCTTCCCTCTTATTTTTACAATCCCAGTTAATTTTGAATATTACACTATTTTCTATATTTTATGAAGGCATCCTTTAATAAAAACTGTTATTGAAGAGCATAATTTGAAAGCTGTCATTATTTCAGTTATAGTCAAAATATTACACATGAAACTATAGAATTATAAGGATAACCCAAAGGAAATTATGTTTAATATTGTTTGGTGAAATCTTTCTATCCTGTCTCTTAGTTGAAGCCACTGTAAGAGTCTTAACATAATTTTGAAATGATAAAAAACTGAATAAAATCCAAAAGAGATTAGTGTTGTCAGCAACTATAAGAGAGAGTAAAATGATCAGCTGTATGTAACCTAGAAGCCATGACAGTGGGATAAGGTGAACTGACACCATCCACCTCTATGTTGCCACCCACCATACTGCATAAGGTAGAGCGCTCCCACCCTGACCTAAAGATCTTCTTATCTTGTGGGAAATGCTGCTAGGGTATTCAGGGTTTAACTAGGGTTGCCATATTTCAAAAAGTAAAAACCAGGACACCCCAAAAGTTGTTGAACTTTTTTTTACAAAAACGCAAAAAAAACCCTTCTTTTTTGATTACCTTACCTAAGATCCAGGACAAAGCATGCCCCCCTCTGAAATTCTGGTAATGTATGGGAAAATCCGGACATATGGCAGCCCTAGGTTTAACAAGACAAGCACTTTGAACTGTGCCCAGAAGCAAAGTGGCAGCTGGTGTAGCTGTTTAAGCACTAGCAGAATATGCCCTTTAACTTGTACAAGTTAGCCTAGCTGCTGGAATTTGAACCAAATGAAGTTTCCAAACAGCCTTCAAAGGCAGCTCCAGGTAGAAGGCATTGCAGTAATCTAAGATGGATGCTATCAGGAGTATGAATAACAAGCCAGGTTTTCTTTCTCCAAGAAGGTTTGCAGCTGTCATTCTAGCTCAAGCTCTTAAAATATTCTATGAGCTACAGAAGATACCAGGGCATCTGTCAGCAAAGGTGGATTAGCAAGAGCACACCCAGGCTACAAACCTGATGTTTTAAAGCAAGAATTTGTAATTTTTCAATTGGGCTGTGGTGTGGGACAGGGTTGGGCAGGCCTGGAGGCAAGTGTAGATGGAGCAATGTTAACTTTGCACAGTATGCGATATTCCTGCCACGTCAGGTTTGTAGACACACAGACCACTCCATCAAGACAAGAAGTTGTTATAACAATTCAAGGAAATTCCAGCAAGACAAAGGCATTCAGAACCACACAGGGCCAGGAAGGGGCAGATTGCAAAACAACAATGTTCTTTTCGAAGTCAAAAGCAGCATCAAAACAAAGTCACTGAAACCATAGACAATATAAGTTAGAGGGCTGCATTCAGCTCCATAGGCTTGAGGTTCCCCATCTCTACTTCAGGGAATGCAGCCTCATCCATAACATGTCAAATTCATATATCTATAGTTGTCTGGCCTGGGAGCTTCTTACCTGGCTTGAACTCAGTGTATTGGCCTTCATCCAGCCCATTATTGATTCAAGAACCTGTTGAGGGCATCAACCTGAACAAGATGAAACAGAATTGTGTGTCACAGGCATGTTGATGACATTCCAAATATTAGCACTTTAACGTAGATGTTAGAACAGTGCAGAGGACAAGATGGAGCCCCACTTTACAGGTGCTATAGATCAGAGCAGCAGACCTCCAACCGCCACTTAAAACCAATCTGAACAGCCGTAAATGGTACTAGCCAACTAGTTCACAAGGCTACTGGTTGATGGTATTGAAAATCACCTAGAAGTCTGATAAACTACTACCTTACTCAAAATAGACGACTTTGCCCTGAAACTGTGAGGCTGTGCAATAAACTTCACCTACCTTGAAAGCAACGTCCTAGACTGCTAGTGACCACTTTAGCCAGGCCAGTTGCGCAAATGATGCTGCAATGGATAGGAATGATTTGGGAGGTCGAATATGGCTAATCCTTCTGAATGTGAGGAAGGGGGCTCTGGGGAACAGGGGAGGACATTAGAGGGGGGAAATGGGAAGGGGGTGGGCAGTATGCTGAAGGGGGTAGCCTTGGAAGTGAGATCTTGAATGAAGGGGTGGGTGAGATGGGTTGGTGGTATGAGAGGAAGGATGAAAGAAAGGGGGTTTGGGCAACCGCTGCTTGTGTTTGGGGAGACAGGAATATACGGGTAGGTGAAATAAAGGATGACAGAGAGGCTGGGGGTATAATGCCCTCCTGCACAGCCTTCCCCAGCATGATGCCCTCCACATGTTTCTGTACTTCTAATTCCCATTATCCCCGGCAAGTATGGCCAAGAGTCAGGGATGATGGACGTTCCAGTCCAAAACATCTGGAGAGCACCAGATTAGTGGAAGCATGACAAGACAGTGTTGTGCATGAGGAAATATGTACCAGGACGGGGGGCGTAAAGAGTGAAGATTAGCCAACCCATGGCATCTTCCAGGTGATGGGACTCCCAACTGCTCCCAATCCCTGCCAGCGGGGCCAATGGTGGTCAGGTGGGAGTTAGAATCCAACAACATCTGAAGGGTACCAGGTTGGGGAGGAATAATTATGGAGAGGGCACAACGGAGGCACTGTTTTGTACGTGTGTGGCAAAATAAGTAAACTGGAGGGAGGGCGAAATTCCCTCCCCTCCGCCTTATCAGAGACGGGGGTGGGGGGGATATGCGAGGCCTTCCAGGTGCAAACATCTGGGGAGCCACCCTCCTCCTGCGGTATAAAAAGGCCCTTTTAAAAGGGCGGGCGACGGTGGTGGGGTGTCCGTGAGGAGGAGTTGTCCGTAGGGCCCCGCTCCTCCTCGGCCTGTTGGGAGCCGAGATATTTGGGTTCTCTGAGGGGAAGGAAGGCGGCTGAGGGGGAAACAAAGAAGAGCCCGCGCCGCCGGGTTCCTTCCCTTCGCTCGAGGAGGAGGGGGAGGGGCGGGCGAACGGGCGACGGTTGCTCTGGGGTTCCCGCCGCCGCCGCCGTCTCCCGCCATGATAAGCGCACGCCCGGAGGCCTAGTAGCCTCGCGCCTGTTGCGAGAATGGTGGGGCGGTGGCGGCGGCCCCGGCGGCAGCCCTGGCTCCTCCTCCCGCCGCCGCTTCTGCTGCGGGCCCTCCTCCTCCTCTTCGGCTTCCTGCTGCCGGGAGCACCGGCCCAGCGTGAGTGAGTTGAGGCAATGGCGAGCGCCGCCTTCGCTCGCTGCTTCTCTGGCCAAGCATCGAGGGGACTACCCCCCCGCACCCTGAAGAGGGAAGGGGCGCCCCCCAAATCGGCCCCCTCACCAGCTCCTGGAGCCCCCGAGTATGGCCTGCTCCTGCTGACTCGAGGGGCTGCCTGGATGGGGTTAATAGCCACGAGGAGGATTTTGGCACCTTAAAGTCTGATAGTTGTTATTATATCAGATTCTAGTCCTCCGCAGAAGGGACCTATCATTAGCTTCAGTGGGTCTGCTCCTTGGCTATTGCAACCCTTTATTATTAACAATCACGAGGTATTAGTTTTTAAGATGCCACAAGACTTGCTGCTGTGTTTTTATTCCCCCGAAAAAGATGAGTAGGGTTACTCCTCTGGAAATGATTTCACTTTCTGATGTGCTTCTCACTCGGTGTACCATGTACAGTATGTGTGTATATATTGTCGGCATCCATCTGTCTCAAGATAAAATGGAGTGCACCTCCGGAGGTGAAGTCAAACCACTGTGATAGAAACCACTGAAGTGATATCCTCGAGGCGCAAGCCTGGGCAGTGTGTGTGGAGGTCCTGGGCTGCCCAAACAACAAGATCCTTCTCTGCCTCCCTTATGTAGTCCAAAGGAAAGCAGAGCAATACGTTTGGCATCAACTCTGCTGCAACAGTTGCTGGAAGGAAGCGAACAAAACACCATCCAACTGCCCTTGGGTCACCACCCTGGATTTGTGAAGGGTTTACTCCTTAGCCTTTTCATCTCCCGAAGGTGTCCCAAAAAGCAGCAGAGGTTTAGGATTCCTTCTCCTAAATAAGCTACCTTCCCCGGCTGATGAGCCTTGTATGCCGCCTCCTAGCAACTCCTGTAGCCAAGCTGGTGCCAGATGTATTGCTTTCCTTTGGACCACATCAGCGAGGCTGAGAGCGGGGTCTTGTTGTCTGGGCAGCCCAGGACCTCCATACACACTGCTCAGGCTTGCGCCCTGTGGAGGTCACTTCAGTGCACCCAACACAGTGGTTTGACTTCACTCCTGGAGGCGCACTCCATTGTCTCTGAAGACAGACAGATGCCAACAATATCCATAATTCTCCTGAATAATCTTGACCACCCTAGAAAAGGGCAGGAATGATAGTTAGCATTTATATATGTGGGAACCCAATGCCCAATTAATGTTAGTGTGCAGTTCTTTCAAGAGAGAGTGTTGAGCATTGGGTTTCCACTTATATAAATGCTAGCTATCATTCCTGCACTGGAATTATTTTACATTTTTAAACATATGTTGTCAATCAGCATTATGTATGCAGGCTTCCTCTAAAGAAGTAAGCCTCTTTCCGTGGTGCCTATATCAAAGTTAACTAGCCTGGCTTTGATTTCCACCCAGGTATTGCAGAAGATTTTGTGTGTGTGTGTGTGTGTTATTAACACCATGTAGTATCATTGCCACCTCCTAGAATTTATGGACTACTAGTTATTTGCTTCAGCAGTGCTGCAAAAAAGTTTAACAGAAGGAGCCACATCAATAGGGTGACTGTGATCAAGTATAGTCATGGGTACCAATTACTCTTAAGAGCATATATATACCTTTGCCTTCCTGTTGTTATTTAAATGAAACACTTTTTGTGTTGCAAACCACCTTATCAATCAGCAAAAAGCAAGTGATTAAGAGAGACGGACACAATATAAACATTTTCAAAAATTTCAGGGAACATAAACAGTCATCCATTTGGCAATCCAAATTCATCTTGAAAGAAAGTAGGTTTTCACAATACTGCAGTAGAGAAGTCCTTCCCCCGTGTGTTAGATAAAGGACCCCTGACCATTAGGTCCAGTTGTGGCCGACTCTGGGGTTGCGGCGCTCATCTCGCTTCATCTCGCCACTTACCTTCCCACTGGAGCGGTACCTATTTATCTACTTGCACTCTGATGTGCTTTCGAACTGCTAGGTGGGCAGGAGCTGGGACCGAGCAACGGGAGCTCACCCCGTCGCGGGGATTCGAACCGCCGACCTTTTGATCGGCAAGCTCTAGGCTCTGTGGTTTAACCCACAGCGCCACCCGCGTCCCAACACCTGTGTGTTAGTAAAACACAATTCAGATGTTTAAGGGGTGAGGAGAAGAGCCTCTCCTTCAGATATTCAAGAGCAAGCAGGCTTATAGTAGAGGAGGTGGTTCACATCATTTAATTAATGGAAAACAGATCTCTAATTTCTCTAAAGAATCCTGGGAACCATAGTTTGTTAAGGGTGCTGGGAATTTTAGCTTTGTGAGGGTTAAACTACAGCTCCCAGGATTCTTTGGGGGAAGTCATGTGCTATAAATGTATGGCGTGTATGAAGTCACAGTCCAGTTCAGTGCTTAAGTTTTCTTTTAAGTACAGTATTTTTCAGCTCTTCACCTTTATGAATTGTAGCTAATAAGCTTTATACCAGGTGCCAAATATGTCTGCTTCCATAGCAGCTCTAAAGTTTTCTTACTATTGAAAGATGCTTAAGCCAGAATAAATACAAGAGTCTCCAAAGAAGTACCATAACTGTGGACCTACAGTAGGAAAAAGCCTCTCTATATGTCCTAGTGTTTGAAATTGGTTGGTTTGACTATTGTTACGTAGTGGTCAAGAGCCTTAACAACAACAACAATAATAATGTTATTATTTGTACCCTGCCCATCTGACTGGGTTGCCCCAGCCACTCTGGGCAGCTTCCAGCATATAAGATGGAAAGTGAAGTACAGTAAAGGGAAAGGGGGAAATACAAAAAACTGAGGAATCCCTTTCTTTAACTTTTTTTTTTTAAAGGGGGGATACTCCCTTTGTCTTCCTATTGTACGTACTCAAACTTGGTGACATTGCTTGGTTATACCATACATTCAGTTCTGCATATAGATAAATAGATACTGCCTATATATTTTTTGACTTTTTTAGACATTTGTTAATTTAAGACTTTTTAAAATAGAATTTGCCTCCCCTTTCAGCGTATAAAATGACTTTCTAGACTAGAAAGATGGACAGGAAGGTTGAATGTCAAGTTGCAGCCGATCAGGCTGTTCATCCAACATTATTTGTTATTCCATAGCAGTTTGTGAGAAATTTTCAAAGATGACAGCTAAGTACCAATCAATTTTCTTGACAACCCAGGTCATCTTCTCTTTCTTCCGTTTGCATTTGTCCCCCAGAGGCAGCAAAATACAAGGCAGCCACCAGAGACTTCCTGTTTTCTAAATTTGTGTGTGTGTGTGTGTGTGTGTGTGTGTGTGTGTGTAAGTTGCCCTGGTTCCAGCATTACTAATCAGCTAACTCTTTTAATGATACCTTTTAAAGATACAAATGCTCTGCTTGAACTTTCTTTTTATCCATTTGGGCTTTCTATTTATTCTTACAGTGTTATGTCAGAGATGCTAAGCAGTCTGTCTGTTTTCCATTCACTGAGAAATTTAGAGCATTGTCTAGACATGGGTAGTGTCAGATTTCTTTTGGAAAATTAGTTTTATGTTATAATAATAATAATAATAATAATAATAATAATTTATTTATACCCCGCCCATCTGGCTGAGTTTCCCCAGCCACTCTGGGCGGCTCCCAATCAAGTGTTAAAAACAGTACAGCGTTAAATATTAAAAACTTCCCTGAACAGGGCTGCCTTCAGATGTTTATTGCATTTTAATAATTGTACACTTCTATAAACCCCCCCCAAAATAGTAAATCAGTTGCACATACATTTAAAATCAAGAGCATAATTTTCTTCCTTGGGGAAGATTAGAATTTTCTACTTTTGAGAATCTGTTCCTAAAATTCTCATCCATATTGCAATCCAGATATTTTCCTCCCAGAGTAGAATAAATAGGAACCTGCTAACTTACTGTTCACATTAGAGAAGGAAACAAGAACATTTGCACCAATAAACACTCCATTCAGAGGCTCAATGTTTCTGCTATCTGTGATGGAAACTGGGCCTTAGCCTACCAAAGTATACTCGGAGTAGACCTACTCAAGAGTATGATTTGGTTGGATATAACTCTCCCCTTCCCCCATCTTTTCCCTTCTTCACTGATGTGCATATGTGTGTGAGAGAGAGATGGAGGCAAGAAGAAGTTTTCTTTTTCTTCACTGATAGTATTTTATGAACTTCACAGACAAAATAATCTAGATTTGATACCTATTTTTCTTTCATTGGCCTCAAACTTTTGAGCATATTTCATTACCTTTCAAAGTTCTAAATACCCTTATATAATTTTGTGCATGCTGAATATGTTCACCATGTTTTTATGTGTCACCATGATGTGTATGTATGAGTGTTTAGAGCCTGTTGCAGGATGGATGGTGGTTAACGGATTGAGGATGAATCCCGACAAGACAGAAGTACTGTTTTAGGGGGTGGGTGGGGGTGAGGGAATCCCTGGCCCTGAATGGGGTAACTGTGCCCCTGAAGGACCAGGTGCGCAGCCTGGGACTCATAGCTGTCCATGGAGGCGCAGGCCAATTCTTTGTCGAGGGCAGCTATCTACCAGTTCCATCTGGTATGCCAGCTGAGACCCTACCTGCCTGTGCACTGTCTCGCCAGACTGGTACATGCTCTGGTTATCTGACTACTGCAATGCGCTGTACGTGCGGCTACCTTTGAAGGTGACTCGGAAACTACAACTAATCCAGAATGCAGCAACTAAACTGGTGACTGGGAGTGGCCACTGGGACCATATAACACTGGTCCTAAATTATCTACACTGGCTCCCAGTACATTTCTGAGCACAATTCAAAGTGTTTAAAGCCTTGTATACTTGAAGGAGCATCTGCACCCCCATCGTTCAGCCTGGACACTGAGGTCTACCTCTGAGAGCCTTCCCTCTCTACAAGAAGTGAAGTTACAGGGAACCAGGCAGAGGGCCTGCTCAGTAGTGACACCCTCCCTATGGAGGGAGATAAAGAACTACACAACTTTTAGAAGACATCAGAAGGCAGCCCTGTATCGGGAAGTTTTTAATGTTTGATGTTATATTAAGTTTTTATATGAGTTGGAAGCCACCCAGAGTGGCTGGGGCAGCCCAGCCTAATAGGGTGGGGTAATTAATAATTATAAAGAAAGATTCAGAACATAGCTGGACATCAAACCACAATATCTGTGTAATCAATTCATTCATATATATATATATATATATATATAATTTTCTAAAGTTTCTTTTGGCAATATTGTTCAGTAATTGTTTCGAAATGTTGAATAAAATTCTAGTCCATCTCCTTGATTCTCTCTTGGTATCTCTCCATTTGAAAAATCTTTGTAGTAAAAGCAAGCCATTTTTTTTTGTCCTGCCCTTCCTGTTTTACTTCAAATATCCTTTTACATCTTTGAAAATTTAACATATAGTGGTATCTCGGGTTAAGTACTTAATTCGTTCCGGAGATCCGTTCTTAACCTGAAACTGTTCTTAACCTGAAGCACCACTTTAGCTAATGGGGCCTCCTGCTGCCGCCGCACCGCCAGAGCACAATTTCTGTTCTCATCCTGAAGCAAAGTTCTTAACCCAAGGTACTGTTTCTGGGTTAGCGGAGTCTGTAACCTGAAGCGTATGTAACCCAAGGTACCATTGTATTTGTCTTCTTCATAACAATGTAAGGTAGACCTTGCCAGTACTCAGCCATTGTGTATGATGATGTCACTGTTGGTTGTCATTTTAAGTAGCTTCTTAATGGGTGAATGCTTGATGTGTGAGAAGCAATCTGCAAACTAAGTTAGAACAGCAACATTGTTGGTTGTTAATATGTCTCTACAAGCCTTTTAAATGAAGGTCACTTCCAGTCTGCCTTTCTATTGGGGTGTTGTTGTTTTTTAAATTATCATTTGTGTGTTTGCTACCCTGGCTCCTTTGAGTGGGGGAGGGGGATATGAAAAAAAATAACAACAACAACATCCCAAAGACTTTGGACCACATATTAAAAATGGTGTGTTTGGCCTCTTTGAGAGTATCAGCATTGTAAAATTAATCAAAATGTGGTGAAAACTCTGGTGTTTAATTTTCTTTTTCTTTTTTTTAGGTGTGCATCATACTTTTGACAATATTAAAGAAATGCAGGTAACATTAATTTTAGTATTTGGGGAAATGGCTTTGGTATGTCCATGAAGACTTTCTGGAAACTTCAAGTCATCTCAAATTCATCTCTCAGGGTTTTGTCTGGGACCAGCTGATGGGTTGACATTACACTGTCAGCTTCACTTTGTCCTTTTTTTCTGGGCTCAATGCAAAACTCTGGCTTTGTGCTTTACAGCAAGAAAAAGCTGGTGGGGTCAGGGGAAGCACCTAAAGTGAACAAAAACAGGCCCTGGTGCTCACTAGTACAAAACTTTATTTTATCTCAGTGCATTTCAGAGTGAAACACTCCTTCAGGAGATTTAAAAGCTTGCAAGGTCCTAAAATTCAGAAACATCTCATTCTTAAAATCTGAACAGCACAAAAACCAGCTTGATAATGTGGTATCAGAAAATTGTATTCTATATATACATCTATGTAATCTCTGCAAACTTTTCAAGCTTCTAAGGAGGAGGTGGATCATTCTGAAAAGCGTTGAACTGCAATTCAGAGTCTTGTACCTATGAGCCTCAGAGCTTGTTCTCCCTTATGCTTTGATCTTTAAAACCCTGAGCAATCTAGGAACTGAGTATTTTAGGAACCTACTCTTCCTGTACAGATATGCCTGGAAACTTCCATGTCTGAGACCAATTTTGATGAGGTTGTCCAGATTGATTAACTGACGGGTAATTTGTTGCTCACGTTGAGGCAAGTTTTTTTTTAAATCAAGTCCCCCCCCCCCCCAGTTCCAATCCTTAGAGGATGTGTTCCTTCTTAATAATTCCTGTTGTTTTTGCTGTTGTAATTTATTTTGCCATTTTATAAGAAGCTGCACCTGCTGTAATTCCCTCTTCTATGCAACTATGAAAAGTGCAGGAGCCCTGACTTCTCTTTTTCCTGGGAACCCTAGTTCAGGATGTGGCAGGGAGGTTGTCTGGGAGTGAAGGAAGGCAAGGTGTCTGTGAGGCAAGGTAATTCAGATTGTCTTAGGGCTGTTGAGGGCTCTTCCCTGCTCCCAGCTGTGGTGAGATTTTCCACAAGGTGCCATGCCTCTCCCTCTGAGGAAGTCTCCCTGGGGTTTTAATTGGGCAGGATCCTGACACCTGGCCATAGTCTTTATTTTCTTCCTGTGCTAAATATGTTGATATCAATTACTGCACACCCTGGCACATGGGGCTTATTTGGACATATGCCAAATGATGGGAAATCTTGCTGTTGCAGTGAAGTAACAGTCATCTGGGAATGACTAGGCTTCTTACTTATTTTGCAGATCGCTCTGAACCCAACTATGACTGTGCAGATTTCATCAGAGACAGCAGACAATCTTCAAGCTCTAGGTAAGCACTCATCTTTTACTTTTCCACAACACCTTTGAAAATCCTTGCTACAGAATCATTTTGAAAGGTCCATTTCAGAGAAGCCAGTCACTAGAAAAATGGATCGCTGTCTCTGTTTCCATGTTCTAAAACAAGGAACATCAATTCTAGGCAGAACAAGACCTATGACCCAACGCTGTGCAACACATGGGTTGTGGTTTGCTGCAGTGTAGAGTGGGCCTTAGAAACTGTTGCACTTATAGAGTAGGAGAAAGTGAGCAAGAGATGGGTCCATTTGTGGTTTACATGACCTCTTTTTCTGCTTTACAGAACCTTCTCATATATTTGAAGTGGAAACAACAAACGAAGAAGAGAAGACGTTGAATAACCTTGTTGGCCTTTTGCAAGATATGGTGAAAAATATTCCAACAGCATCAGCGCAATCACAAACACCAAAACCGACAGAAACAGCAACTATCGTAATATCCCACCCAGAGCCTTCCCACCCAGAGCCTTCTCCATCTGAAGCAGTGGGCACAGTTTTGCTAAACCTGAATCCAAAGACTGAGGGAATACAAGTAGAGTCATTGGAAACAGTTGCCCTGACCAATGAAAATACCCCAACTACCTCAACAGCATTTTGGGACCTCCGAAATGACGCAGGTGCATCAGTCGTTTTACATTCTGATATAGTCACTCCGGAAGGAAATACTGAAGAACAAACTGAGACAAGTGTATTTTATTCTGCTGAAACTACTCCAGATCAATCACTGGTCAGTGTGTCATTTTTGTTGGAAACGGATACTACCACGCAAAAAGCAATGACTTTTGATCAGCTAACAAATGGAGCTTTGGCAAGTCTGGTGGAGTCTCTAAGGAACGTGAGAAAAATGCATGTGAAACTAACTCATACCAGTAATGAATCAAAACACAGTGAAACTGCTGTGACACAATCCCCAGAGAAGTCTGTAAGTGCAGAAATCTTGGAGTTGATTGACAGACTCATTGAAACCATTAAGAATGCACCTAGCGCAGTTATAGAAGATCCAGCTCTCAATACCTATCTTGGAAAAGCAGAGAGCTACCTAAAAAGTGCTCTGGAACTAGCAGGTGAAGCAGAGAAGAGGTTGGGAAAGGGAAAAGCAGAGAAGGTGGTGGAAGTAGTGATTCCTTCCACAGGGTCCGAGAACGTGACAGTGGTGATTCCTTCCATGGAGGCTGAGAATGTGACAGTGGTGATTCCTCCCTCAGAGTCTGAGAAGGTGACAGTGGTGATTCCTCACACACAGTCTGAGAACGTGCCAGTGGTGATTCCTCACACAGAGTCTGAAAAAGTGACAGTGGTGATTCCTCACACAGAGCCTGAAAAGAAGGTGGAAGTGCAGGGTCCTCCCTCGGGCCAGGAGTGGGTGGAGACAGAGAAGAAGGTGGAAGTAGTACTTCCTCCCTTGCCATCAGAAACTGTGCCTGTATCGACAGTGGCAGTCCAGTTGCCTGCATCTTCACCTGAGTCTGTAGCAGAAAAGGCAGAAGAGGCACAAGTGGAAATGGGGAAGTTAAAAGCATTCATTAACTTGCTATATGGTTTTAGTCCCCACCTAACTGCATATGCACAGAATTCGGCCAATAAAAAAGTTGGTGAGGACATTGTTGATAGAGCAATGGCAGTCCTTCATGCCATAAAAAGCATTTTCTGTGGAAATCCTGAAGGGCAAAGCAAACTGATGTTGCAGCAGTTGTTAAAGGAAGACATGGAGCTTGTAAGACAAGCCATGAAGGAAAAAAGAGTCTCTTAAGAAGACACATTTGTTTCTTGGTTAAGGTAGATATTTTTCATCCAAGTTATGTATCACTAGAAATCAGTTTTGTTGTTTGTAAGAGCCAATTACATATATACATATATATCCATCGTTTGTAGCCCTTTCCAAATCTAGAATTAAATGCTTATTTTAAAATATTTTTGTTTTCATTTTTCATCCTCAGTTTGAATTGATATTCAGGATACTCACTGTGGAGTGTGAGTTTATATTTAAGATAATTTAAGTCACCAGTTAAGGTTTAATGTGAAAGGTTATTCAAGGGACCAACTGAGTTAAGGCACAAGGTTATTACAGAAGCTGGTTTTCACCAGAGAAAGGAGTATATGTACTTCTTTTAAATGTCCTTTTCCCTCCCATGTCTAAAATAATGTTTTACAGTGCAATCCTGTGCATGTTTAATTGATTGCTTTTCAACATGTTTTTAAGCTGTTTCTATTCTAGTTGTAGGGACACGGGTGGCGCTGTGGGTTAAACCACAGAGCCTAGGACTTGCCGATCAGAAGGTTAGCGGTTCGAATCCCCGCAACGGGGTGAGCTCCTGTTGCTCGGTCCCTGCTCCTGCCAACCTAGCGATTCAAAAGCACATCAAAGTCCAAGTAGACTTCCAGCGGGAAGGTAAACGGTGTTTCCGTGCACTGCTCTGGTTCGCCAGAAGCGGCTTAGTCATGCTGGCCACATGACCCGGAAGCTGTACGCCAACTCCCTCAGCCAATAAAGCGAGATGAGCGCCGCAACCCCAGAGTCGGTCACGACTGGACCTAATGGTCAGGGGTCCCTTTACCTTTACCTTTATTCTAGTTGTAAGCCACCTTGAGTCCCAACAGGAGAAAAGGAAGGTACTGATGATAATAACAACAGCAGCAGCACAATATAAGGCACTTCTTGCCTTCAGAGGTCACCATAGCAGTGTGGTGGTGGTGATATAAAAAGAGTTTTCTCTCTTTTTTTAAAAATAATTTTTATTAACAGACCAATCAAATCACATTAATTCCAAATCACATTAGTTCCAAATTATACAGCCAAATTTTTAAAATTTTGTTGGGGGTATCCATACTTTGAGCTCTGAAAGGGATCCAAACATCACTCTTGCTGCTGCTTTAATTACACAGTTCTGTCTAGTTCTGTCCAGATAGTCTCTTTATTATTTTCCTCATCTTCTTGTTGTTATCATATATTCCTTTCTTTGTGATCTCTGATAATCTTCACAAGCGGGTTGAAAACAAACATATCCTGTGTGGATTTTACACTCTCCAAGAGCCATATCACATAAAGGACAGATGCCATTTCCACACCTCCGTAAAGAACATTCCCACAGTCTGTCCGTTGATTTCCACAGGCCTGCCAATCTGTATCTCAGGGGGCCCTGCCAGGTCAAATTCACATTCCGATAACCATACATTCACATTCCGATGACCATGGTCCTCCTCCCCCTCGTCCTCCTGTGGGCAGGCCTGTCTTAATGAATCTCCATTTGTAACTGCGTCACAAAGCTTTCTTTCCATTCCCGATGATTCCCACCAGCCCTCTCTTTGATCAGTAATTCATTTCCACACAGTTCTTAATCTCCTGTTTGTGATTAGTAATTTGCAACGATTCTTTCTCTCTGGGGGGGAGTGTTATTGGGTACTCACATAAGACAAAAAAAGAAAAGTTTTTTCCTCCCCCCCCTTTCCATTTCGCTCTGACATACCGATCTTTTAATGATGAGTCTTCACTTAATTTATTGTCCAGCCCGTCGCTCCACATCACAGAGATCCCATTAATCAGCAGTCTTTACTCCCGATCTTCGCTTGAAGTATGTGCATTTGCTTCTTTTTCCAATTATATATTTCGAGCTGATGCAAACCAGTGCGCGATCAGAGACAGCGTCCGGGAGAGCCGACCCCCACCCAAGGGCTTCGTGCCTAGTGCCCTCACCCCCTTCCTTTGAATCCGGGGGTGAATTATGGACACAGCAAGCAAGGCAGTGCCCCCCATTCCCTTGGGGGGCAAGGGAGGCTGCATACTCCCATATCAGCCTCTTAATTACCTCGTGTGGGTCGGAGAGATGTTATTGTCGGCCATCTTCCAATGCACCCCCTGGTGGCCCCCCCATAAAAAGAGTTTTCTCAATGGATCAGACAAGGTCCATGTAGTCCAGCACCCTGATCTAGCAGTGACCAGATATGCCAGGAAGCTCACAAGTGTTTTTGCTGGTAATGACCATTTCTTGTTGCTTGCCCCTTGTGTTTGGAAGTGAGGTATTTTTCCTCTATAGATGTAGGTTCCATTTTTTAGCTTTACTATCCAAGAGTCATTGATAAATCCAGTCTCTGTGGATTGGCCTCATAGTTTCGTTTCGTTTCTAAATAATGTTGCTAGTGGTCATTGTTACATCTTTCAGCAAAAATCCCTGTAAGAACTGTGCGTTATATGAAGATGGTAGACAAGAGTGGAAGGAGGATATGAAAACTAACAAAATATAGCGCAAAGGCAATAAAATTCCAGAAGAATGAAATATTCCTGGCAGTAATGGAAGAGCTATATGATCCCTCTCCCCCCAAAAAAGTCTATGATCATGTGGAATTCTGATTGTTTAAATTCTTTCTCCTTTGTTACTCCAATGAATAGTGGAAAGAAATAGATTTAAATAGGTTACAGTTTGTCCTACTTACAAAAGGTTTCATGGACAAGAAGAGGCTAGTCATTATGCTTTTGTTTCTGCATACAGCTAGTCATCAACACCTGTTTCTGGGTTGTTGCTTAAATTAGAGCAGCCTTCTCTGTCTTGTTCAGAGTGCAGTCTGACGACTGTTCATCAGCAAAGAAGATACTAAATGTTGCATCTTAACAAATGGCATTTTCATTATCCAAGTATGTTTAAAAATACTTTTTGTACCATAGGATCTCCTATGGTACACTAGGTTGCATCTTTTTTTATACTGAGTTAGAAAGTGCAAGAGATTCTGTAAACTGCTGGGAGAGGAAAGAAGTCTGAGGAGCTAGACAAAGAAGTCTCTGGGACAGACGTTGCAGGTAACACACAGCTTTTTTTGTCTATCCCTGAAGTGTGTGGCTTGACTAGCTTGCATGAGTCTTCTGGAGTTACTCGTTTTTATGGTCTCTTTATGCTCTCTGCTTTGATGTATATCATCATGTGAATTGCTAGATAAATCTGAGGCAAGGATGTGTGTGCTGATGAATGAATTGTCCTTCCTCTGGGCAAGGAGGTTAAATTAAACGACCCTTTGGTCCCTACCCGTCCTGTGATTTGGGTGAGGTACATCATGAAAATCTCATTTCATGATGTTTAAGGATGGTGGTTATTTTTGCCAAGGGAACTGGATCATTACTTGGCCGTGAAAGTTAACAGTCATGCTCAGCTGAAAGAGAACAAACTTATTTGAGACTTAAGTCAATGATACTGGATTAAATGGCATTCATGGTAACAGTCCTACCCTGACTAATATGATTTCCATCAAATTACAGTCTGACAAAAAGAGAGCAGCTAAGGGTGAATATGTGCACATATTTCTGCAGTGTTTTTCAGTGTGCGCAGAGCTATAATTCTTATAGACACAGCAATCTTCCAAGGTAGGTTACATTGAGGCCCAGACTGACTACTCAGTGCATTTCATGACAGTAAACCTGCTTCTCTCATGCCACAACAAATCAAGACTTGCCATATTATACCACTGGTGGCTCCTAATCTGGTTAAGTAAAATACACATATACAATTTCTCGTTCAGGCTGGGCTTTACCTTCCAAAACAGGCAGCTTAGCTCTCTCACACATTATAGCATCTTTTCTGCATCAAAAAGAGAAAAATATAAGTAGCTTCCTTGCTGTTACCTGGTTTTGACATTCCCATAGCAACCCACCTCCAACTTTGGTGTCACAAGCTCACCCATCATCTGTTGCTTTACAAGCAGGATTCTGTTCAAAGATGAGTAAAAAGGCTGTGACATGAATGGGACATATTTTCCTGTGTGTTTCTGACAGCTAGAAAATAAAGGCACAGCATGACTCAGGTTGTGTGGACATGATCCAATTTTGCAAAGGTTAGGTACTTTAATTAATGTAAAGAAAAGACAGGTGTCATCACAATCAGCTGCATTTTAAATATAATGCAGCAATAAATAGCCAATCTCAAGCTGAGGATAATGCAGAAGAAAAATTTGTCATGAGATGAGACTCTTGATACTTAAACAAACAGGCAGAGGTTTAACCAAATTGGTTGGCTCAAATCTATGCAATAGGTAATAATACAGCTGCTTCTCTTAGCTATCACAGTGCCAAGCAAGAAGATTGTGTATTTGTTTAGTCGCTCACAGATAAGGCACCAAATAGTGTGATTTGGCACTAGCATCACTCACTGAAAGTAACAAAAGAGTTCAGATCTGTAAGGGAAGACTTGTGAAGTTCACCAAATGTGGCATCCACTTTTAAGTCCATGGGGCTTTAAGCACTCATGTGAGCAGCTTGAACTGAGCCAAGGAACTGGTGCAGCTTTTTTGAACAGAAATTACATGAGTTCTAAATGGAATTCGTTGGTGGCTGCATTTTGGCTCAGTTGAAGTTTCTGATTCACCTTCGAGGGCAGCCCCACGTAGAGTACATCCCAATAATTCAGTCTGTAACCTACCAGAGCATGGAGTGCCATGGCCAAATAATTGCTGTCCAAAAGGGGACATGGATGGCAAACCAGGCAGAGCTGGAAATAAGCCACCAAGGCCACCTGAGCCACCAGTGACAATGTTGCATTCAGGAATATCACCAACCTACTGGTCTGCTCCTTCCGAGAGAGTGCAGCCCATAGGACAATTCCCATGGCACTAAGCAATAGCTCCTCATAACAGCTTTCTGGAAAAAAACTGCCTTGAAGTTAGGAGAAGAACCACTGCAATACAGTGCCCCCAACCTCCACATCTCAGAGCCACTCCAGAAAGATACCGTGGTCAGTGTATCAAAAGGTGTGGAGAGGCCAATGAGAACAAGCAGGATCCCGCTCTCCCCACCTCTCTTGATGACAGTCATCAACCTGGTAAAAGGAGACGCAATCTTCTCAGTCTCTTGAGATAGGTATGACTTCCAGGAAAGCACTCCAGGTACAAATGAAGGGCCATAACTCCCCTCAAAGCAGATTTCAGAGTATGTTTAGTTTACTATTCTGTTTTTACCAGCCTGTGGATGCCATTCATATTTTCTGCCTACTATACTTTCTGGCAATAAAACCTTGAGATCTTTGATGTCACTAGGGTGCAATATCTACGTAAATGCTCACAAAACACTGAATGACTGTCCCCCTAAACTAACATGTTCCACCATACCTGAGATGGTTCCTTCACATTATGAAAACTATCTTTAACAATGCAAAGTTCAGATCAGAAATCTTAACCATTAGCCCAAAGTTGACTGCATATAAAAAAAATTAAAGGTCCTGCTGGTTTCCAATTTCTTAGCACCATGAACTTAGATGATGACACAAAGTGGCTCGAGTGGGTAGCCAAACAGTTTGAAAGTATTGCCGGAGAAGATAAAGAGATTGACCTGGAAGAATTCAAAGCTGCTCTCAAGGTGAAGGAGGCAAGTTTTGTCAAATGGGGTAGGAAACCCAATTGGGCTGAGGATTGTGAAAATGCAACGATGTTTTTGCTTAGAATGGCCCATGTGTGAGGAAATATTATAAAGATATTTGGCTTCGCCCCTTCTTTGGGAGGGAATTTGTACATTTAGATTTGTGCATGCGTACCTGGAGATGCTTAATTGGGAATGGTGTGCAGAAGAAGGGTGGCTGATGGAGACTAGGAGGTCATGGGCAGAGAAGGAGGGTGCTGAAGAGCAAAATCAGCAGGGCGGGGGAAGAATGCTGGCATCAGTAGGGACTGAATAAGTAAGGGAATGTTGAAGATTGGGGGATTTCGGGTTAGGTCAGAGTGGGGGCCCCGTTTTTCATAACCTATTTTTAATAACCAGCCAGATCTCCCTTTATCTGAAAGTCCCCAGTTCACTAATATTTCAAGTTACTCAATTGCTTCTATTCCCGCAATATTGAAGCAAGGTCTAAATAAAGACTAGTAAGAAATTGGAGGGTGTGTGTGTCTGGTTTTCACTCCTGGATTAACCCCCGCCCCCCAGTTGACTTTGCAAACATTTTCGCCCTCTCCTATAGTCCTTTTTTGCTGAGCGTTTCTTTGCTTTGTTTGACTTGGATGGAAGCGGCACCATCAGTTTGGACGAGCTGCTGGAGGCCTTGAAGCTGCTGGTACATGGAAGTGAAACAGACAAACTACGGTTCCTCTTCCAAGTTTATGATGTGGACGGTAAAATTCCAAAACAGCACCCTTGTTCACTTGCATTTTGTCAAAACAAGATCATTGTTCTGCTCTGCATTGGCACTTTAGGGCAATAACTACCAGTGCTCCTGGCTTGGTCCATTCACATGGAATGGTAAATGACTACAGCAATGTTTTCTTATCAGATCAGTAATGTTTTTGTAACAGACATAAATGTACCTTTTATTTTGGTGCAGAACTTTATTTCTGTTTTAGTGCCAGCATAACTTGATTGCATCTCACTGTATCCTGAAATAAGTCTTCAGAACTTGTATCAAATCGTGGGCTATGAAATATGTTGGAGCATTTACAAGGCTAGCCCAGCAGGTCCAAATCCATTGTGTTGGTTGTTTCTTCAGTGCATAAAATAATGGTTATGAAAAGTCCTCAGGGTTTTTTTTAGAGGCAAGAATATTATAGTTAGAAGTGATTTCATATTTGTGTGTGTGAGTGTGTCGTTGTTGGGCTTGCCTTGGTCACTACTGCCCATTCACACCACTGCTTCTCCTGAAACAACAGGAGAATCGCTGTTGAACAACAGGTGAACAGGCAGCAACAGGAAGGAAAGGGAAGCAAGAAAAACGAGAACACCCCATGCCTCTCTGGGCCTCAGACAAGCTCTGCATGGGCCTGTGTTGCGGTAATCCAACCTAGAGGCTCCAACTGCCTTAAATCTGGCCTGTTGCAGATTAATTTATTTGATGCCGACTGGAGATCCTCTTCCACTGTAGGCAGTGGGTCCATTGAACCCGAAGAATTGCGCACGGTCTTGGAGTCATGCCTGAAGGAGAGTTCAATATCTTTGCCAGAGAAGAAGTTAGATGACCTCACGTTAGCCCTTTTCGAGTCGGCTGACTCTGACAACAGTGGGTCCATCACGTTTGAGGAGCTCAGGGAGGAACTGGAGCGCTTCCCAGAGGTCATGGAGAACTTAACCATAAGGTATTTTCTCTTCCACCTCCTAATCCAACTTTTCTCAACTCACCTAATGCCCTCCAGATGTTTTGGACAATTCCCACCACTCCCAGCATCATACAGTCATGCTGGCTGGGGTCCATGGGAGTTGTGGCATTAAAACAGCTGGAGAGCACCAGGTTGGGGAAGACTGTCCTAACCCTCTCTGTATCCTGTAACCCCAAATTACCCCTTGAAAATGCTGCTTCACTGTCCTCCAGCAGCCGTAAGGCGGCACCGGGGCTCCCTCATCCTCAGTTCTGTCTTACAATTCTTTCTGCCACTTACAGGAGGATCCATCCCATCAAACCAACACTTTCTTATTTTTTATTTTTTAAAATTTACATCCCGCCTAATTTTCAAAAGAAACTCGAGGCCGGTAACAAATCCAGCCAACACAATGATATTGACATATATAAGAATCCCCATTAAAACACCCAGCAGGAGATTAAAACAGTAACACAAAACACCAAAACTACTGTAACAAATTCCAAAACAACCATCCCAAACAAACATCAAAGAGAAATAAGAGAAAGAGAAAAATGTTATCTGAAGGCCTTCTTAAACCAGGAACTTTTTTTTTTACCAACTGCCTAAAATTATGCTGGGGCAGGGCGTGACACACCTCGCTTTTCTTAATTTCTCTAGCATTAGAAAGTTGTGCACCCATCAGACCAAAAACTTGGGCCAAAGAGCCTGGGAAATACCAGCAGCAGAAACAGAAGCAGCAGCAGAAGCAGAAAGAAGGTGGTGGTGTCAGGTTTCAGTTGCCATCTCTGCAAGCTGGGTGGCTGGGCTCATGAGAGTTGTAGCTGCAAGCAGCTGGAGGGCACCATGTTGGGGAAGGCTGCTTTGAACCATTGACTCAGCCTAGACAGGTCATTTTCATTGGCAGCCTGAGAAATATTTTCCCCTTTGACACCTTGAAATGTTCTTGCCAGCAGCACCTGGGGTTTAGAAATAATTACCCACCCCTGCTTGCTTGCTAGGCTAAGAAACTCGCTCTGGGAGCCTCTTTGAAGGAAAGTTGCACCCTTTTCCCTCAGCCGCAGCTGCCTGCATTCTCTTGGGGATGAGCTGCATTCCCCTGCTATGTTTCAGCTCCGCGTAATTGGAACTCTTGAGCCTGCTGCCTCTGCTGTCAGCTGTCATTGCGGCGGAAATCTGCTGCGGCTTGCAACACTGGGGCAGAGAGGATTTCAGTTTCCTTAGCAGATGAAAAACAGCCAAAGCATCTTGTGGCACCCTAAAGATTAACGCATTTATTCCCGCAGAAGCTTTCATGGATGAGAGCCTGTTTCGTCAGATGTTCTTGGCTGTGGGTTCTGCCCAGCGAAAGATGCCACGATAAATCGGTTCCCATCTTTTAAAGGTGCCCCAAGTCTCTCTCGCTGATTTGGTTGCAGGAAAAAAACTCGAGCAGCTGTCCCTCTGGAATTCACAAAGGATCAGTGATTGGAAGGAGAAAACTCCCTTTGGAAAAAGAGAAGGGCTGTATCTTTGTCTCTAGCTGCTTCCATGTTGGAGCCCTCTAGCGCTGCTGGGGTGTTGCTTTTCTGCAATTAACCAGAACCAAAATTAAAACTCAGTATAGCGCCATATTATCTAGCAGTATCCTCTCCTGTGGCCAAGACGGGTCCTTTGCTTACTCATAAGCAAGTCCCATTTATCATGGATTCTCAGCATCACGATTTGAGTGTTTTGTCCTTGCAGGTTCAGCCTGTTTTGTTGTTGGCTCCTGAGAGAGAGCTGGAGGGAAATTAGCAATGAATCGCTTCTCTGAGCTATAGCCTCCGTGTCAGTTTCTTTTTCCAAAGCAGTGTCATGCCTATCTGTGACCTGGTGCCAGATGTGGAGTCATCGGAAGACAAACCAGACACCCCACAGGTCAATGACCTTGAGGAGCAGGCAGGTTCCCCTATAGGGGTCCTCTGGTTGATACCTGCTGGAGCTGTAAGAGGAGAATGGCGGCACCAAAAGCTCCAGTTCCAAGCCAAAGTGCAATGGCATAGCATGCATCTATGGGCCCAGTGTGGGTAAGGCATCCCTGAAACTCATTCAGTACCAGAAGTAGCTGCCAGGGTGATGTCTAGGATGCCAAAGTATGTAAGGTCATCCTCTTGAGCCTTCTAGTTGCTGGAAGCAACACAGGTCTCTGGCTCCTTGCTCCTGAGTCTAGTTCCTTCTCTTTATACCATGCCTAAACTCCCTGTCATGCTAAATGTTAGACTGCTGCCTGACCTGGCCCCTGGATCATATTTTGGACCTAAACTGCTTGACCTTGGTTTGTCCAGACCGCAGTACACCTGCAATCCTGCTTAAGGCAACTGGGACCCGACCCCGGCTGGGCTGCACTGGAACATGGCAGTCCTGTGGCTATAGAGACCAATATGGGAGAGACATGTTTTGTTGCAACTGGGGCAGATGAAGGCATCTGTGTTTGCTGCTGCAGAGGCACTGTGGCATTTCTTCTCTCTCCGCTCCTCCCAGCAGTCATTCCTCCTCTGCTCACTGCTGAGGATGCATGATCTGTCTCCAGGCACTGCAGTCGTCCACAAAAGATGCCCACAAGGCAGTGTTGATGTTGCCAGCTTTCATGTCACATTTGCAGACATATTTGTAGCACAGAGCTGGTCTGCCAATGGACCTGGTGCCTGAAGCCAGCTCCCTGTAGAGCATGTTCTACCATCTTCCGTTCTGTGGATGGCAAATGACAAAACAGCAGTGAACGTCACGGTTAAAGAAACAGGAATGTGTGGAAGCTCGTGAGCCAACCGATCACACACGTGGAAAAGCTGAATCTGAAATATCTGCCTGAAATACAATAAAGCCTACATCTGGAAGCGAAGAATGTCAGTTCCAGAGAGGAGCCAAGGCAGAACCAACCTTTACCTATTGCTTTATTTGAGAATTCCACAGGGCTTAGACAAAGTCCAATGGACTTTTCTTTGCTTTGAGCATGTGGCAAGGACTAAGTCATGCCAAATCTGGGGTCTGCTGTTTGGTGCTTTACTTGTCAAGCGATCCCTGGGCATCACACAATGGCTTCTCTAGTCTAAAAGAGGCACGACAGGCTGCAGCAAGAGGGTCTATTGAGCAAATCCTCCATCTTCTGAAATTTCCATATGTGATAGCAGTCCTCTGGTACTCGAGTTAACCAGCAGGTGGCTCTGTGTGATCACTGAGGCTAGAAGCACATGCTGTTCACAGAAGCCAGACCCCCGAGCGATCATGCTCCAGTACAGTGGTACCTCGCAAGACGAAAAACTTGCAAGACGAAAGGGTTTTTCGTTTTTTGAGTTGCTTCACAAGACGAATTTCCCTATGGGCTTGCTTCGCAAGACGAAAAACGAAAACGTCTTGCAAGTTTGTTTCCTTTTTCTTAAAACCGTTAATACCCAGGGTGCATTGCTTGAAGAGGTGCAGTTGCGACTTGACTTCGAGGAGCAACTCATAGCACGCGGTGTGGTAGCCTTTTTTGAGGTTTTTGAAGACTTTGGTGATTTTGAAGACTTTGGGAAACCGTGCTTCGCAAGACGAAAAATTGGCAAGAAGAAAAAACTCACAGAACGAATTAATTTCGTCTTGCGAGGCACCACTGTATTTGAATACATATTGCCTCACCCAAGGCAGAAACATCCACCCACTGGCCATTCTTCAAGTCAGCCCACATAATCTTGTTTCCAGTAAGCCACAGTTCAGCTGCACTGTGTAACAAAGCTTTCAGAACAGCAGCTGCAGACAACTCATGCGAGTGAGCCAAGCCCCATGCTATGTGGGAAAGTACATTTCCCTCTGTGCTTTTCTAGTTCACCTGCCAATCTGCCCCTGGGAGAAACTACAGTGGTACCTCGGGTTAAGAACTTAATTTGTTCTGGAGGTCCATTCTTAACCTGAAACTGTCCTTAACCTGAGGTACCACTTTAGCTAATGGGGCCTCCCGCTGCTGCCACGCCGCCAATGCACGATTTCTGTTCTCATCCTGAAGCAAAGTTCTTAACCCGAGGTACTATTTCTGGGTTAGCGGAGTCTGTAACCTGAAGTGTCTGTAACCTGAGGTACCACTGTATTTTCTAACCCCCAAATGGCAATCAGTCATCCTGGGAGGTTGAAGAAAACAACTCAATAACAGTGGTTGTGTCACACCATACGTTGAAAGCACATGGCTTTCCCCAAAGAATCCTGGGAACTGTAGTTTGTTAAGGATGCTGGGAAGTATAGCTTCTGAGAGGGTAAACTACAGTTCTTGGAATTCTTGGGGTGGAGGGAGTCATGTGCTTGTAAACAGAGGGGAGAATGTTCTCAGGTGTCCCCTCTAAAGAGCCTGTGGGAAAGCAAAACGTTGTGGTAGGAGGAGGATTATGTGAACATTAATTTTTCCCACCCAATATCAGGTCTATTTCTTGGTATATTTAGAAACCTAGAAGAGCCTGTTGGATCCAGCATCCTGACTCTCACAGCGATCAACCTGATGCCTGTGGGAAACCTGCAAGCAGGATCCGAGCGCAAGAGCCCTCTCTCCTCCTGTGGTTTCCAGTCCTGCCCTCTGTCCCATCCTTTATCCCACCAGCCCCAGTAGGCAGCAGCTGTCACTGTATGATAATATACAGTATACTGCTGATGAGCTCAGGGTTATGCAAGCTATGTAGCCCAAACAGGTCTACTGAGAACCCCAAGGTTTGTAGACACTGAAAAATATTTACAAAGTAAACCTAAGAGGCCCCCTCCCAAAAAGAAAGAAAGAAAGAAAACTCAGTTCAATTAAGGTTTCACTTGTGGTTTATAGAGTCCTGAGAGCTCTATTTGCATTCATGAGTTGAAAGCAAGGCTTACGTTCTAGTGAGCGATTAAAAGAGCAACTGTTTGCAGTATGATATGTGCATCGGGGAGAGATGCTCTCCTGAAACTTTTGTGAACTGCTGAGTATTGCTCAGCTGGAAGGTGTATGCTTCATTAAGGCGTGTTGAATTTTCCAGATTTCAAATTCCAAAAATAACTTGGGAACTCAAAAGATGTTTTGCTTAAATCAATATAATTTGGTTCTGCTTGGTAAGTAAGATGTGTGAAAAATTGCACAGAAGCCTTTTAATAAAAAGATTGCCAAGTACTTGCAAATATGTTATATATTATTATTAGTAGTAGTAGTAGTATTCAATAGTATTATATTATTAAGGATTACCTGACATTTTCAGAAGGCAGGTTTAAGATTCTTTAGTTTTCAGAAAGCAGTTTATGTGCTTATTCATCAGATGTAGACTTACCAAGCTGCATGTTGTCCAGTCACATCAATAATAGCAGGTTTGTATTCCTCACACCCAAACAATATTTTTAAGACCGCTCGCTGAAGAAATTTGCAAAAATTAAGTTTCACCCCCTAAAACCAGGGAGAGGGCCTTCTTGGTAGTGGCTATCAGATGTTAAGGAAATAAACAACTACCTGACTTTTGGAAAACATCTGAAGGCAGTCCTGTTTAGGAAGGTTTTTAATGTTTGATGTATTTATTGTGTTTTTAATATTCTATTGGGAGCCACCCAGAGTGGCTGGGGAAACCCAACCAGATGGGCAGGGTATTAATAATAATAATAATAATAATCATCATCATCATCATCATCATCATCATCATCATTATTATTTTATATGACACGCTTCATGGTCTCTTATCTCTGGGTCTCTCCCTCCCCTCTCGCAGTGCTGCAAGCTGGTTAAAGCCCCCCACTGCTCTCAGGAAGAGTCACGCGCCACGCTACCTGCGCCCAGCCTATTGGCATAACAACAGGAGCAAGCTTCTCTTCCTGGGCAGCTACCTGTGCATGAACATCATCCTCTTCACCTTTGCGGCCTTGAAGCATGTTGACTCTGGCCCCTGGATCATGTTGGCCAAAGGTTGCGGTCAGTGCCTGAACTTCAACTGTGCGTTTATAGTGGTGAGTAATGCAATGTATTCATTATGTAGTGAATGTGTTAAGCGTACAGAAGTGGCCGTGGTGGGTCAGAGCAGAGGTCCGGCGAAAAGACAGAGCAAGAACAAGTTAATTCTCTCTGTTTGTATTCTATGCTGCTCCTCTAAGGCTAATTAAAAACCCACAACCTCCAATAAGTAAGTCAGGTGGTGAGTATCAGCAAGATCTGAGCCACAGTAGGGCTACTGAGAAACAGGAAGGCAATATTGGCCATGCTTGGGGGAAGGGGAACCTCAAGGTTTACAAAAGTACAAGAAGTCTTTAAAAGATTTTTTTAACCCATTGAGGACTGAAGATACTCAATAAGTTGAGTGTTAGTTGGAAAAACAAAAACAAAAGAAGAAAAGGTTGGGGGATGCAAAGGAGTGTCTTGGAGAAGGGCATGGCTGGCTCATCACCATGATACTCCATTCCATACCACCACCACCAGAACTGTGGAAAGGAGCACTTTGTTGCAGGCCCCCTTATTGATTTCTGTCGTCAAATCTCGCCTCTTGCTGCTTAGGTGTGCTATGAATGTTTGAAATAAATAGATTTGCCTACCCAGCATTCTGTGTCTGACAATGCCCAATTCACAAGCATCCTTGGCAACTATCCTTGATTTTGTCCGGGCTCTGGAAGATGCTCATAGCCAAGAAGTGGAACACAAGCTTTGCATGCATAGATTCAATTCCCTGGCATCTCTAATTAGCTGGGAAAGCACATGGGCTTTTTTTTTCAGCCAGAACTCACCAGAATTGAGTTTTTTCACCTCTTTGGTGCGTTGCATCACCTCTGCGATTAGGGACGCGGGTGGCGCTGTGGGTTAACCACAGAGCCTAGGGCTTGCCGATCAGAAGGTTGGCGGTTTGAATCCCCGCGATGGGGTGAGCGCCCATTGCTTGGTCCCTGCTCCTGCCAACCTAGCAGTTCAAAAGCACATCAAAGTGCAAGTAGATAAATAGGTACCACTGCTGCGGGAAGGTAAACGGCGTTTCCGTGCGCTGCTCTGGTTCGCCAGAAGCGGCTTAGTCATGCTGGCCACATGACCCGGAAGCTGTATGCCGGCTCCCTCGGCCAGTAAAGCGAGATGAGCGCCGCAATCCCAGAGTCAGTCACAACTGGACCTAATGGTCAGGGGTCCCTTTACCTTTACCTATCACCTCTGTAGCTTTGCGGCACTTTGGCATACCACTTTGTGTTGCGCGATGGAGGCTGTGTGCGGGGGTGGCGCAGCAATTGCTGTGGTGTAGGGTGGTGGTACTGTGGTGGGTGCCCCCCTAAAAGAAGCTCAACAAGTTTTGTCACCTCTTTTTCTAGAAAAAAAGCCCTGCAAGCAGTATCCCTGATGCTGCAAAGAGCCACGACCAGTCAGGCTATACAGCTAGAACAGGCTTCCTCAACCTCGGCCCTCCAGATGTTTCAAGACTACAATTCCCATCATTTCTGACCACTGGTCCTGCTAGCTAGGGATCATGGGAGCTGTAGGCCAAAAACATCTAGAGGGCCGAAGTTGAGGAAACCTCAGCTAGAAGGACTAAACTTTTGGCTCAGTATAAATCCATTTCATATGCTTGTGGAGCACTGTCCTTTTAGAAGCATGCCTGGTGCAAACATGTGGCTCTTCAGCTAACTTCTACAGCTATTTTCTCACCCCTTGAAGGTGCTGATGTTGCGCCGATGTTTGACCTGGTTACGGGCTACCTGGGTAGCCAGACTTCTGCCTCTAGACCAGAATGTCATTCTGCACCAGCTAATGGGCTATGCAGTGGCGGTTCTAACAGCGGTTCACACAGGGGCCCATGTGGCCAACTTTGGTAAGTGACAGTTTTCTAATTATTTATTTTAAATATTTTTATACAGCCTTTCAATCCTACCATGCCTCCTTTGAAGTAACAGGTAGGCCGGGTTGGGGGGTGGCTCTGTGAACTTTCCACCTCCACCCTAAAGACATAAGGAGAACAATGATTTTAGCCACCCATGGGCTGCTCTCCTGTGTTTTCCCTGTGGTGCTTGCATCTTTTTTTAGGCTGCAGAAAAATTGACTATTTTAAAGAGTCCAATAGCACAATCTCCACAGGTGTAAATGACTTAGCACTAATCTTTCCCCCCCTTTTTTTTAAAAAAAGAAGTGTGGTTTTTACATGTGCAGCGATGCCTATTGCCATGCATATCCACATAGGCACACTTGAACTACTACCTTTGCCCATGGTGTTATTTTATCAGCATGTTGCTTTTTTTTCCTTTATCAGGATTTTAATTTGTGCTAAAACACCTATTTTTAAAAACTGAAATATTCACACGCAATAGTGCGTAAATCAGAAATGTGTGGGGTTTTTTGCATACATTAATGTATCATTGTGTGTTGTTTCTAAAGGCTGCCTCCTCTGGTGTTTCTGGACGGTACCATTTTATCATCTCGTTCGCCCACTCCAATCCTCCAAGTTGCTCTAAAACTCTTTGAAACATCTGTTTTAAAGTTTTTGAAGCAACTGTGCCATAGCAGTTAAATAAAAATGTGCTTTAGTGCATACCTAGACAGTTGTTTAAAATCGAATTGTTTAAAGGTCTAAAAGATGCATGCTCTGGTCCTTCTCCAACATCTTTCTCCTTGCTCACATGCTTTGATGTGGGCAGAATGGATCAGGATGTTCACATACAAAAAGTGCTATTTGCTTGAAGAAAGTGTGTGCGCTTCCTACATTCCCTGCCTACACAAACAGACATACCGTCTGCTCCAACATGCCAGGGGCTTATGGGAGTTGTAGTCCAACTCTCATCTGGATGATACAAGGTTGTCTTAGAGCCTAATGGTTCATATCATCATCACCATCATCTTCATATAATAATAATTTATTATTTATACCCCACCCATCTGGCTGGGCTTCCCCAGCCACTCTGGGCGGCTTCCAACAAAATATACAGTAATGCATCAAACATTAAAACATTAAAAGCTTCCCTAAACAGCGCTGCCTTCAGATGTCTTCTAAAAGTCTGTGGTTGTTGTTCTCTTTGACATCTGGTGGGAGGGCATTCCACAGGGCGGGTGCCACTACCGAGAAGGCCCTCTGCCTGGTTCCCTGTAACGTGGCTTCTCACAGTGAGGGAACCACCAGAAGGCCCTCGGTACCGGACCTCAGTGTCTGGGTAGAATGATGGGGGTGGAGACGCTCCTTCAGATATACTGGACCGAGGCTGTTTAGGGCTTGAAAGGTCAGCACCAACACTGAATTGTGCTCGGAAATGTACAGAATGCCGTTATTGTGGTGCTAGTCCACTGCACGACTTGAATTCTCTTAGTGGAGGTCTTTCTCTCTCCCCTGTAGTGAGAATGTCTCAGACCAAAGGCACTTATCAGCTTTGGGAATACCTCTTCACCACCCAGCCTGGGATTGGCTGGATTTATGGAACTGCCTCCCTCACGGGCCTCATGCTGCAGCTCCTCATCGCCCTTATGCTGGTGTGCTCTAGTACTTTCGTCCGCAAGGGTGGCCATTTTGAGGTGATGTGCTTGACTTCCTCCTCCTTCCTGTTGCTTACGTCATTTGCCTTGCGAGTCAAGTAATTCCCAAGCGTCAGTGATCTCTTTTGAGCTTTGCTTATTTTAAATTATCGATGTGCTCTTCGTCCAATTTTAACTTCGGGCACATCCACATTTCCACTTGTTCAGTGGAAACTTCAATCCACAGAAAAATACTATTGTCGTTTGAACTGATTCAGTGGGACACAGCGGGTTTTACCGGGAGGAAGTGGTGGGACAAGCAGAAGTGTAGACAAGCCCTTAATCGTTCAAAACACCTCCTTGCTCTCTTGAATACGTAAGATGCCCTTCTTTGTCACCAGCAGGTCTTCTACTGGACTCACCTTTCTTACATCTTCATTTGGGCTTTGCTAATTGTCCACGGTCCTAATTTTTGGAAGTGGTTTGTGGTGCCTGGATTTCTTTTCCTCTTAGAGAAGATCTTCGGTGTTGCCATGTCACACGTTGGAGGACTGTACATAGTGGAAATCAACCTCTTGCCCTCAAAGGTTTGCGTCCCAAACAATGATGAATTAAAAGGGGAAATGTGTGAAAATACCTGATTTTCCGAACAGAGTAGAAGTGGAAGTGAGGTAGCTTAAGCATCTGATTTGATTTCCCAAGCTTAGAAAGCATTCTGATTTGTTGCAGGGAGGTTATAGGATGTTGTGTCAATCCAGAGTTTTCCGTGCATTTTTAACATCAAATTCCTTACCCCAGAAATTCATAGCACCCTAGAATTGCAGAGTTGGAATGGACTCCAAGGGTCATCTAGTCCAACCCTCTGCAAAGCAGGAATCACAGCTAAAGAATCCCTGACAGGTGGCCATCCATCCTCTGTTTAAAATCCTCAAATGAGGAATATTGTGTTGAAGAAAAATAAGAGGGTGAAGGTATATAAATTGCAATATAAAAATTAGGAAATGTGTAATTAAAAAATTGAATAATGGATGATTGTTAGAGAGGCTGAAGGAAGTCCAAAAGAGAAAATATGTGATGAATATGTTGGAAAATTAATAAAAATTATTTATAAAAAAAATAAAATAAAAGCCTCAAATGAAGGAGAGTTCACCCACTTCCAAGGTAGTACATTTCACTGTCAAACAGCTATTACCGTCAGAAAGTTATTTCTAAGGTTTAATCAGAATCTCATTTATGGTCAGGTTCTACCCTGTCGAGCAGGAGAAAACAAGCTTGCTCCATCTTTCATGTGAATGCCTGTTCAGATATCTGAAGAGGGCACTCATATCACCTCTCATCCTTCTCTTCTCCAGGCTAAACATACCTAACTCCCTCAATTGTTCCTCATAATAACAATCATTCTGAATATAATTATTTTTAAATGGATTTGCTGTGCAAGAGCACCAAATCCACTGTAAGTCTGTATGCATACCATACATTTAAAGCACATGACTTCTCCCAGAGAATGCTGGCAATTGCAGTTTACTCCTCACGGAGCTACAATTCCCAGCACCCTTTACAAACTACAGTTCCCAGGATTCTTTGAGGGGGAGTCGTGCACTTGGAATGCATAGAACATGCGCAGCCTCATTGTGCAACCTGAATTTGCTGGCATGCGACAGAATCCCAACCCGCTAAATAGTGACCATCTGGAAGCCTCATATGAGCTGGGCATTGTGATTCCAGGTCAATAGGCAAACAAGATGTTGCCTTAGTGACGGCATTTCCCCTCTTCACATGTGCACTATCTTGCTCTTTTTGATCCAGGTGACTCATCTGGTGATCAAGAGACCTCCATTTTTCCACTACAAACCTGGTGACTACGTGTACCTGAATATCCCAGTCATAGCCAAGTATGAATGGCATCCATTCACCATCAGCAGTGCTCCAGAGCAACCAGGTAGATCCCAAGCCAGCCGGAAAGCAGCCTGGGCTGGGGTTTAAAGGCAAGGGCATCAAACAGCCCACACCAACCTGGTGCCCTGCAGGTGTCGTGGGAACGGTTGTACGCAGGTCCTGCATGCAAGTTTCCCATTGAGGCACCTGGTTGGCCACTGTGAGGACAAAGCATTGGACTAGATGGATCCACCGGCTTGATCCAGCAGCCAGGCTATTCTTGTGTTCTTCTTCTTATTATTATTTAATGAATTTATATGCTGCCCTATACCCAGGGGTCTCAGGGCGGTTCACAAAATAAAATCAAGATATAAAACCACACAATACCTAATAAAAATTAAAACAGCAACCCAGTACCCATCCACACAAAAAAACCCCCACATTTTTAAAGGGCATAGAATGTAAATTGGATCAACCAAGTGCCTGGTTGAAAAGGAACGTTTTTGCCTGGACCCTAAAGGTGTACAATGAAGGTGCCAGGCGAACTTCCCTGGAGAGAGCATTCCACAGATGGGGAGCCACTGCAGAGAAGGCCTGTTCTTGTGTTGCCACCCTCCGGACCTCTCGAGGAGGCAGCACATGAAGGAGGGCCTCAGGAGATGATCTTAGGGTCTGGATAGGTTCCTATGGAAAGAGGTGCTCCTTGAGGTATTGCAGTCCTGAGCCATTTAAGGCTTTATAGGTTAAAACCAGCACTTATGCCAAGTCCTCCTATCAGTCCCAACCAGCACTGCCAGAAGCTATAGTCGAAAACATCTGGAGGGTATCAGGTTGGCAAAGGATGGCATAAAGGGTATAAAAACCTTGATATATAATTCATCTGGTCCCACTGTCTGTCATGCCAGGAAGAAAGAGTCCCATGCTATTGTCCCAGAGCAGCAACTCAGGGCTGTACAGATCTACTGAAGCAACCCACATCAATGCTGCAATAGATTTCTCTCTGCAGAAATATTGATAAAGTCACTTCTCTCCCTAATCCCCCTCTTGTGACCCAGGCTTGATATTCCCATTGGTTTGTATGTGTTATGAAATTAACGTTGGTCCTGTTCCTACTCTTTTCAAAATCAAGTTTGCAATATTCCAAAAGGCTTGCAAAGCTCAGATCAGGCTCAGGACGTTTCAGGTATAATCCCTTTTCTGGTGTCTCCAGCCCACCCAAACCTTGCCACCTCATCCTTGAGGCGGCTCTAAGTAAGTGAGGAGTTCCTGCCTCTTAATTTGGGAAAGGTGGCCTTGATCCACTTCTTGCTATGAGGTGGGTTACCTCCTGGCTCTTGGCTCAGTTTAACGAGGACGGCTAAGGATGCTTGTGTTCCTCACTGGGTAACCTTCTGCTTTCTCTCCAAAGGGACCATCTGGCTGCATATACGGTCCCTGGGACAGTGGACCAACAGGCTATATGAATACTTCTGGAATCAACAGGAGTGTCATGACCACAGGTCCGAATGGCTGGACAGAAAGGCAAAGGCAAAGAAGAAGAACAGGTCCCAGAAATGGGTGCAGGTTTGCGATTAAAACAACAACAACTCAGTAACCATGATTGTGGGGTCTTCTATGGCATTTAAAAAATCTTAATGGGTTGATTCTAAGTTAAATTCTTTGGCATTGCACTGGATGAACACAGTACTGGGGGGTTATGGAGTGGGGGTAGAGGCAAAGCTGAGGCTCTGGGCATGCTTGGACATTCATTGCATAGAGAAATCATTTCTGTATGGAGCAAGGTCTTTTGTGCGGAGGGGGATTACAATTTGTGTGGGCAGAATACTGAGCACAACCCATCACTGACTCACCCAGCCCTTGTCAACTTGTGGACAGCAACACAGAGCTGAAGCAAGGCCAAGGCCAAGAAGGCCGCAGGTCAGATCCTGCAGCTCACCATGAACTTTTGTTCCAGAAATGTCTCTTTGGCTCCTCTGACCTGGACCAGCCTGTGGCCAGCAGTTCCGATGAGATGGTTGAGATCTTATCTTACATGCCCATCAGGCATCCCAGCTGGGAGACTGCGAGTGTCGGAGCAGCCAGCCAGTGCAAGGAGGGGAACACACAACCCAGAAGAGGAAAGGTCTGGCTTCTCCTGGCAAATATGTGTACATTCCATCCTTGATAGATCTGCCCCTCTCCCCCACAGAAAGTCATACTTCAGCTCTTGCTATATGGCAAGGAGTCCAGAGACTGTGCTGAAGGGTTTAGTTTCCTTCAGGAGTGAGGCTACAGGAGGCTTAGGTGCTTCCTTGAATCTTGACAAATGTGCAAGGAGAACAGAGCAGAAGCAAACAGACTCCTAAGACAGACATGAAAATCTTCACCAGTTCCCCTGTGCTTCCAGGCCAGCATCATATAGCACTAAACTCACAGCTCTATTCCTCTGTTTCTGAATGAAAAAAGTTCAGCTTCTTTCATCTCTCCTTGCAGAGTGCTGGTTTCAAACTTACAGGTAAATTGGCCTCTTAAGGAAACTTGCACAGTTATTAGGGAACACTGTGAACTGGCAGGGTATACTGGTGTGCTTTTTCTGTCCATATATATATATATATATATATATATATATATATATATATATTGTTTCCTTATTCTTTGTTAAATAAAAAAAAAATTTAAAAAGAGATAGGGAAAAATGAGAAAGCAAAAGAAACAATAATTTACAGTGCCATCCACCCCTAAATAGGGCTCTTTTTTCTAATGGGACATGGTGGACCTTTTGCTAACAAGAACATATTTGTTAACAGATTCCTGGCAGGCTTAGTGAGAATCAGAGACTCTGTAACATCAAGGTAAGATCTGCTGCTGCTCTATGAAATGCCTTGAGCACCCACAAGCAGGCCAGGTTCTGTACAGAGTTTAGAAGCATCCCTTCCCCAGAGACATTGGGGGGGCTGCAGGAGGGAGCAACCAGGTATCAGGAGAAAGCTCAGGTTGTATCAAGTAGCTGAGTACAGAAGTCAGATTTTGTAAGGTTTCATAAAGGGGCAGGCAGGCACTTGAAGAAAAAAAGAGGTGGGAATGTGCCCTGGGCAGAGACAGAAGCATATTAGCACCTGCAACACCACAGTTTGTCTTAGCGTGTGTCAGGTGATGCTAAGCTAAAATGTGGGAGTGGGCTTTGGGACAACGTTCCCCCTCTTATAAAGATGTCCCCTTACTTTTGATGCAGTTTAAATCTCTCAGAGTGAGAGGAAAGCGAAAGCTTTGCTTGCCCTCTGTTCTGTCACGTAGCCAAATCTAAATAGGCTATATCTGGTGCTGCGGTGACATCATGTTCGTTACACAATCCCTGATGGGCTGGGATCATGCAGAGAAGAAGCCCTTCCAAGAGAAAAGTTGGCAGCAAGACAGCAACCAACAGGAAAAGCGATGGCCACAAAGAGGCATCCCAGAAGGGAGGGACAGTGGCAGCTAGCGGCAATGGCAGGGGTAGCGAATCCCTAGGCAAGCCAGGCCCAAATGCAGGCCAGGGTTCTGAACTCCCACAGTTGTGAATTCTTCCTTATAACTATGAAGATTGTTCACTGAAAGCTTAGTTAACTCCTCTGCGGTCCCCGAGGGCAAATCGTAACATAACAAGCCAGATTTACCACGAACAGGATCAAATCAGTGTTGTGCCGTTATCTCCCTAGTGTTACATCGATGGTCCTTATGGGACTCCCACTCGAAGGATCTTCACATCAGAGCATGCTGTTCTAATAGGAGCAGGAATTGGGATTACACCCTTTGCCTCCATTTTGCAAAGCATCATGTTCAGGTTGGTCTGCTGCAGATTAGAATCAATTCTTTTGTCAAAGTTGCAGAACCTGCATTTCCCCCCGTTTCCTAAACTAGTTTTAGAATGTGCAATCTTTTATTTGATCAACATCTTGTGCAAGGGTGGGGAAACCTTTTCAGTCTGAGAGCTGTATTCTCGCATGGGTACCTCCCGAGGGTCAGGGCAAAAGCGGGTGTGTCTGTACCTTTGTACAGCAGACTAAATTCCAGCCACAAAAATGCCGGAGGTCACCACAGATGATGCATCTCTACAGTCTTCATCCAGGTAAGCAAGAGGGATTATCGCAGGTCAAGGACGCATTCCAGCCTTCCCTAAACTTTCAGGAAATGTAGCTCTGGGGAGGAAGTGTGGCTTACTGAGAATCTTCATGGATAAATAGAGATATCTGCCTTTGGTTCTTGGAGGTCTGCATCCCACCCCAAACCCTCTCCCAGCCTGAGGTTTCCCACCCCTGGTCTACTGTCAGAAAGGTAGTATGATTCGAAACCTTGTCTACTTCTTGTAAACCAATACACGCAACTTTTAAAAATGGTTGCAACTTTTAAAAAATCGCCATTGAACTTTCCAAGTAATAAGCAACAGCCATTCCTGGTTGTATTTGTTAATGCCAGCTGCTAAGAAAGGCTGACAATTCTCTGCTCACCTCAAAAGATACCCTATAATTTTTCTTTCTTTCTTTCTAGACACCGTATGCGAAAGCAAACCTCTTCTAGCCAGGAAAACATGAAACTCCTGAAGGTGAGGTGGCGTCCTCAGCTGTGGCTTGGACGTTTGTGCAGAAAAGCATTTTTTCCCTACAAAAGCAATGAACAGCAGTAGCAGTAAGTAAAACCTTCTTGTCTTTAGGTTGACTTTATCTGGATCAACAGAGACCAAAAATCATTTGAATGGTTTGTAAGCCTGCTGACCGAGCTGGAAATCAATCAGGCTGAAGAAGACCCTAGCAGTAGGTGACCATTTTTTGTCCTTGCCTTTGTTTAACTGTGACCCAAACTGAACACCATCCTCAAGAGGATGAACTAGAATGATGCCCCCCTGAGGCTTCCAAACTTAAACTGTGGGTTGGATATATTTTGATGAGAAAACTGGACTGAATTCACACATGAACCATTCTAAACCCCCCCAGCACCCTTTATCTCTCCTCCCCCCTCCCTCCCTCCCCCCCCTCTCTCTCACACACAAACCTTCTCTTAGTGGGGTGCCAGAAAACCTGAACTGGCTCAAAACACAGAATTTCTCCATTCTAACATCCAGGCTTTCCTTATTGAAATTAATGTAAAAAAACAAACAAACCACACATGCAAAATACCATGTTTCAGTTGACCTCTCAATATGATTTCAAAGAAATGTGTGATGGATCATTGGGGGGGGGGGCTGTGCAAGGTATGCCCACTGCCTGCCACCACCAATGCTCCTGGCAACCATGCCACCAGCATGTTCAGCATGCATGAGAAGGTGGCGCTCTGTGTGTGTACCAATGTACCAGCACAGAACTTCTCCACATGCGATAAGATCCTGGGCCAACCAGAGTGGTGCATGCTCTAGTTATCTCCTGCTTGGACTACTGCAATGCGTTCTATGTGGGGCTACCTTTGAAGGTGAACCAGAAACAACAGTTAATCTGGAATGCGGCAGCTAGACTGGTGACTGGGAGCGGCTGCCGAGACCATATAACATTGGTCCTGAAAGACCTTCATTGGCTCCCAGTACGTTTCTGAGCACAATTCAAAGTGTTGGTGCTGACCTTTAAAGCCCTAAACGGCCTCAGCCCAGTATACCCAAAGGAGCGTCTCCACTCTCATGGTTCAGCCCGGACACTGAGGTCCAGCTCCGAGGGCCTTCTGGCAGTTCCTCACTGCGAGAAGTAAGGCTACAGGGAACCAGGCAAAGGGCCTTCTCGGTCGTGGTGCCCACCCTGTGGAACGCCCTCCCACCAGATGTCAAGGAAATAAACAACTAGCTGACTTTTAGAAGACATCTGAAGGTAGCCCTGTTTAGGGAAGTTTTTAATGTTTGATGTTTTATCGTGTTTTAAATATTCTGTTGGAAGCTGCCCAGAGTGGCTGGGGAAACCCAGCCAAATGGGCAGGGTAATTATTATTATTATTATTATTATTATTATTATTATTACCAGGACCTCGCCCACCTCTTATGTGGAAGAGGTTTATATGCACATATATGTTGCCATGCCTGTGTAGAGCCGCATCTCATGAGGGCCAAAGATGGGAAGGGGCTATAGCTCAGTAGAAGAGCCCCTGCTTTGCAGTCCCCAGTGGCGTCTCCAGGTAGGGCTGGGAGAGATTTCCTGAATCCCTGGAGAGCCACTGCTGCCAGTCAGTGTAGACAATACTGAGCTATATGGACCCAAGGTTCTCAGTCCGTATAAAGCAGTTTCCTCTGTTCCTGTGCAGCTGGTGGGTTGAGGTGAGGGTCACAAACCCCTGAACCCCCAACCCCCCGCTTTAAATATATTTCCATGTTCCTTCTGATGCGCAGACCGCTTCTTGGAGATGCACTTGTACATGACCTCTGCTCTTGGCAAGAATGACATGAAGGCTATCGGCCTGCAGATGGCGTTAGATCTCCTAGCCAAAAAGGAGAAGAAAGACTCCATCACGGGCCTCAAGACAAGAACCCAGCCGGGGCGCCCAGATTGGAACAAGGTAGACTTCACAAAGCTACTTTTCACATAATTTACAACAGCCCCCCCAACCCCCCCCCCCCGGTGCCCCATGTACATATTTGAGCTGCAGCTCCCACCAGTCCCTGACACCAAAACAGCTGAATGGCACCGGGCTGGGAAGACCGATTCCCAAACATCCTTCGTGGCTGTGGTATGAGCTGCTTTTTAAGAACAGATTCTAGGTCAGTAGTCCAGCCTGCTCAGTGGGTTCCCTTGGGCCAGGCAGCCTCAGCCTAACTGACCCCACAGAATTGTTGTGAAAATAAATGGGTGCGGGCAGAACCTTTGGAGGAAGGGCAGAATAAAAATGCATTTTTTTAAAAAAATGCATTTGAGATGTATCTGGGGAGCCCAAGGCGAGGCCAGCACCTTCTTCTGAAGCTTGAAAAGAGAGTTGTTAGATTTCTGTCTTGCATCTCTTCCCGGTACCCCCAGCTCTTTCAGAAACTAGCAAAAGAAAACAAAGGGAAGGTCCATGTCTTCTTCTGCGGCTCTCCAGCTCTTGCCAAAGTCATCAAAGCTCATTGCGAGCAGTTCAAATTCCAGTTCTTCAAGGAGCACTTTTGAGCAGCATCCCTGGACCATCCCGGACTGAGATGTTAAGGCTGCAAGTTATGCGTGAGTTAAGTAGGCAATTTGATTTGTGGAAGAAAACATTTGTGGAATAGTTCACCAAGACCCCCAGCCATTTTCAAGTGGTCCTTAGAAATGTTTTTGATAACTGCTGTCCTAGGGATACTTTGTAAATCAACCCTTCCTCTGTATTTGAATGGGCCAAACTACACATTGTGGTTAATCATGTAGTTTGCCATTGAATAAAAAGACCTTTCTTTCCGAAATAGCCAGCGTGAAAGGCAGTTGTCTGGATTGGGAGGGAGGTCAGCATGGGGAGGGGAGGGGGCTCGAACACTTTGTTCCCTGCTGTGGTCCCAATTTGGATCCCTCCACACACACACACCCCTGGGTTCTGGCCCTTTCTCTTCTCTCTTCCAACTGTATGCAAGAAGGAGTCACCATTGCAATGGGAAAGGACAGTGGGGAAAGCTCAGCTGAGCAGGCTCCTTCGGGGCAGAAGAACATGTTCGGTTCAGGGTGAGGAACAGCAGTTGGGCTGGCTGAGGATGCTTTTGCCAGCTGCATAGCGCAACCCGCCCCAGAATTCCTTGCAATGCCACAGAAGACACTCCCAGCTCACACATGCATGCCTGGCTCATTTGAGTGCACACCCTCCCCCCAATATTGCCACTCTAAGGCCCTGCTCTCTCTGTGTCTCGAAATCTGTGTGATCCGACTTTACGATACCTGCAGGGCCAGCAGCACATCAAGCACATTTTACCCATTTCTTGAACAGATTTTGAGAAGCCCCTGCCCCCTGCTTTCCTGGAGTAGGCTGTATTTCCACCACCGTCTAAGAGTAGTTGAGAAGAGATCCATCATATTTCCTATCCTTTCCTGGGCGAGAAAATATCCCCCTTCCTTCTTCCAGGAAGCGCTCCTCCAAGGGGCAGGCAATGATTCCAGCTGCTACCTGCTATCCCAGGCAGGCTTGTACTGGCAAAAGGAATGAAGAAATGCCAGAGGAGGAGGAGGAGGTGGAGGAGGGCAGTGTCTGTTTGTTGAGGCCTGGAAAGCAGGAGCTGCCTAGGGGTGAGCTAGGACAACCTTTCTTCTTCCTCCACCTCCTCTACCAGTGTTTGACAGACATAGCTGCCCTCATTTTAAGTTAATAAACAAGAGATTCTTGCTCAGTGAGTGTAATCCTTCTAATAAACAAAAATCTGCCCTTATTCCCGTATGGGGGACACAAGAGCCCTTACAGAGTCCTTTGTAGGTTCTCCATCAGTCGGAGAAAATAACAGAGGCCAACCAGAGAATATTGAGAAGCAAAGCAGCTCGTAAGCCTGATCTTTATTGAACTGTTGCAACAGGGTGCCCCCTTCACACGCAGGAGAAGGAGGAGGACCCAGAACAAAGGTGTGCCTGCCCTTATATAGACATTTTAAATTGCCTGCCCTGGAGTCCAAGACCACCCCAGATACATCATACCTGCATCACAGAAAGGGCAGTCTACAACAGAAATCTGAGTGTGTTGTTTATCTCCTGTCTGGCAGGCCTGTTAATGGTCACTTGGTTGGATACCCTGGGGAGCCTGGCCAGTCTTTTGTAATGACAAATACTTAGTTCCTGAGCCAGGTCACAGGCTCACCCTATTCATACACAGACATACCCTTAAGACAGGATTTGTGAATGAAAAGACAATGGGGAGGCTTTTCCATTTCCTTCGACCTTGCAGAGAAATATTTGAGGTCAATTTAGGAGTCAAAATGGTTTCAGGGCTGTTTTCCTGTGCTGCTTCAGACATGTGGTTTATATATTTATGTACATGTTTGTTTGGTACATTTATGAACATTTATTATACAAGACCTTAAATTTTTTTATTTCATCCTGAAGCCACTGTCTCGTGTAGGCTTGGCTGGCAATGGTGCCCCCACCACCCAAGCTGCTTTCCGGGCAGGTTAGCTCCACATTTCCCCCACCACCACCCAAAGGCATTTTCATGTTTCCAGCTTATCTGCTTCTATTTGCCCAGCACTGGCATCACATACTGGGTAAGACACTGGGAGGCAAATCAGGAAAGTGCCTGGTTCAAGTCTTTCCTTAGCTGTGACGGCACCAAGTGGCCTGGGCCAAACCACCCCTCCCACCTTGCAGCCTCGGCCTTCCTTTCTGTAATACAGGGGAAATAGAGATATATAGCAAGTGATGGCAGCAAGGAACTGGATGTGAAACGCTTTGAACATTTGAAAGTGCCAAGAATTTGATCAGGTTGCAGGATTTAAATTGAAGAAGTTAAAAACAAAGGTCTTAGAGAAAAACTTAACTGTGACTGAGAAAGAGAGGTTTCAGAATGAGACAGGTTTAACAGTGGTTAAGAAAGTGAAATACCTGGGGATTAACATGACAGCAAAAAATGGGAATCTATTTAAAGACAATTATGAAAAATGCTGGGCTGAAGTGAAAAAAGACTTAGAAATTTGGTCAAATTTGAAGCTTTCACTGCTAGGCCGTATTGCTGCGATAAAAATGAATGTATTGCCTAGAATGTTATTTCTCTTTCAAACATTGCAAATTTTGGACAAAATGGATTGCTTCAAGAGGTGGCAGAGAGATATCTCTAGATTTGTCTGGCAGGGCAAGAAGCCTAGAATAAAATTTAAAATACTAACGGATGCAAAGGAAAGAGGTGGATTTGCCCTGCCAGACCTTAAACTTTATTATGAATCAGCAGCTTTTTGCTGGCTGAAAGAATGGCTGCTTCTTGAAAACACAGACATTTTGGACTTAGAAGGTTTTGACAATGTATTTGGATGGCATGCATATTTGTGGTATGATAAGGTCAAAGCACATAAAGCATTTAAAAATCATATTGTCAGGAAAGCATTGTTTAATGTCTGGATAAGATATAAAGACTTACTGGAAAATAAAACCCCAAGGTGGTTGTCACCGATGGAAGCGAAAGCGCTGAAAAAGCTCAATACGGAGGCCAAATGGCCGAAATATTGGGAAATTCTGGAACAAGAGGGAGACAGATTGAAACTGCAGAGTTTTGAAAAACTAAAAAATAAAGTGTGAGATTGGCTTCATTATTATCAGATAATGGAGGCATATAATTTGGACAAGAAAATTGGCTTCCAGGTGGAAAAATCAAAATTAGAAACAGAACTGTTAGAACCCAAAACGAAGATTTTGTCAAAGACATATAACTTGCTGTTGAAATGGAATACTCAGGATGAAATGGTTAAATCTGCTATGATTAAGTGGGCACAAGATGTTGGACATAACATAATGATGGCTGACTGGGAACAGTTATGGACCACAGGTATGAAGTTTACGGCATGCAATGCCTTAAGAGAGAATATTATGAAAATGATATACAGGTGGTACATGACACCAGTCAAGCTTGCAAAAATCTATCATTTGCCCGATAATAAATGTTGGAAATGTAAAGAAACTGAAGGTACGTTCTTTCACCTTTGGTGGACGTGCCCAAGGATTAAGGCTTTCTGGGAGATGATTTATAATGAAATGAAAAGGGTATTTAAATATACCTTCTTGAAGAAACCAGAGGCCTTTCTCCTGGGCATGGTCGGCCAAACGGTGCCAAAGAAGGACAGAATTTTCTTTATGTATGCCACAACAGCAGCAAGAATACTTATTGCAAAGTATTGGAAGACACAAGATTTACCCACTCTGGAAGAATGGCAGATGAAGGTGATGGACTATATGGAACTGGCGGAAATGACTGGCAGAATCCGAGACCAGGGAGAAGAGTCGGTGGAAGAAGATTGGAAGAAATTTAAAGACTATTTACAGAAATACTGCAAAATTAATGAATGTTAGAATGATGTCAGAATGAAATTAAGTGGTCTTAGCAACAATGTTATAAAGGTGTATGTACAAATGGATTGTTAACAGATGAGAATCTAAAGTTATAATATGTTAAGTTAAAGGATTAAGATAAAAACAAAGAGGGAAAGGAATTGCTGAATTAACTAATAGAACTGGAATACAAAAAAGGGAGGTGTGAGGAAGTCAGGGAAGTAAGGAAATGAAATGTAAGTTATGGAAAGATCGATGTGTTTTTCTTTTTTCTGTATTTTGTATTTTTTTCTTTTTTCTTTTTTTCTTTTCTTTTTTACCTATGTAATTTTTTCTTTGAAACTTTAATAAATATCATTAAAAAAAAGAAAGAAAGTGCCATATAAATGCAAAATGCTTTTTAGATAGACTTTAAGTACAAATGCCTCCAAAAGTGGTTCGCAACCATTTAAAATACAAATCCACGAGTTCCAAAATAAAATAAACATTTAAAGTATTCAAAGTGCACGTTACCAGCATAATATAAAATTAAAATTTACCAATCAGCCTCCCTCAAAATACTATCTTTTTGAAAAACTGAGGCTTTAAGACCTGTTTAAAATTAAATTATTACTTCCCTGTGCCCCTTCCCACCTGCTCAAAATGTAAAAACGTTCAAGGTGTGTTTTAGCCCCCCACATATTTAAGCCCACATCATCCCTCTGCCAACATTAATTTTTTTTGCCACCAGAGGGAGCCAGCACCTCACCATCCAAAATATCCCTCCTTGAGAGAGAATTCATGAGGCTCAATCAGCAGATGTATGAGTAATTGGAAGGAGATTTCGCTTCCAACCACTCACTTAATATAAAGCATACAATCCAGGGATTTTCACAGCTACTTTCACAGCATAAGAAGCAATTCTTCTGCAGAAGCAGATTGTGATTCCCCCCCCCCAAAAAAAGCAGGGTATGCAGAAAAGTGCCTTGTTCCAGGTCAGACAGTCCATCTTGTCTGCCACTTTTACCTGTTCTTCCCATATTCCCATTGCAAGCAGCTGCCAGGGCTGGACTTTGATGGGTGCTGCTAGCACAAATCAGATTCTGTCCAGCTGTGCCAAACTTTCCAAGGAAGTACCAACATCTCCCTTTGTGAGGCACAGAAAAAAGCGGGGGACTTCTCTGCTTTTGGTCAAGTTAACCAACCTTGACCACAGTCTCTTCTGGCCAAGGGATCCATCCTGCCCTGCCTTCTTAGTTCAGAGGCCTCATATGCCATGGCAGAAAAACCACAGGAACAGATGGTTTCTGTGGGTCATAGGAGTAGTCAGAGGGGCACCCCCCATCAACTAAATAAAGAAAATACTTAACTAAAAGTAGAAATTGTAGAAAGATTTTTCTGGACAGTTGGGGTCAAAAGAAAGCACAGTTGTACCATGGAAGTTGAATGGAATCCGTTCCGGAAGTCCGTTCGACTTCCAAAACCAAAGTGCGGGTTCTGATTGGCTGCAGGAAGCTCCGGCAGCCAATCACAAGCTGTGGAAGCCCCATTGGACGTTTGGGTTCCAAAGAACGTTCACAAACCAGAACACTCACTTCCGGGTTTGCAGCGTTCAGGAGCCAAAACATCCAAGTACCAAGGTGTTTGGGATCCAAGGTACAACTGTAATTTAAAACAACCGTTGTTGAGACATTTCGTTCTGAATCTGCTAGATAGAGCCAGACAGAAGATGCTGGCATGTGGGTTTCCTGCCCCCTTCTAACATAAATCCCAGCTACGCTCATGGGGCTGGCAGCCGTTTGTACTGTAATTAAATGTGTTAGCTTAAATAACCCTCACCAAGAACCCTGTGACTCTGGTGGTAAAAAGAGGTTCAATGACCTTGACAAACTTAACTTGGATGTCGCAATCTCTTTGTTTGGGAGAATGGTCCTTTGCATCACCAAAGAGATGGTCAAGTACAAGTGATGTGTTGCCACAGAAACTGAATAGCTGGAGATTCTTCTGTAAGGGGAAGTATATTTTTCTTCTTCCCTCACTCCCCTTTCTGGAGGCGATGTCATCAAGATGCCTCCTGTTTGCAGGGCAGTCTTGAAACTGGGCCTGAGAGAGACACAACAAAAGGCTTGACTTGTTCTTGATAAGAATCCTTGCTCATCCCCAAGACCTAATGGGAGCAGTATTCACTCGAGTGTTGACACTGTGAACCTTCTGTCCTATGCTGAGCTTGTATAAATGGGTATATAAACTTCAAATCACAGAAATCTGCATTTCTGTACAGACGTCTGTTGGGTCATATGCAAAGCCTACCTCACCTGTGGCCTTGCTGGCTGCTAGCTGTGGGAGAGAGAGAAAAGGGGGAGCTTGCATTAGAATGCAAAACCCACA